TATATGGTCTTGTCCTGGGTATGACAATAAACTACATCCAGCAGCAAGGCCTCTGATTGGAGTTGAAGGTTTTGAGGATTGCTGTTGATCCAAGGTCCACCCTGACCCAGTGTGATAGTACCTATCAGGGTCCCAGCTATTGACAAACTGGGAACAAAACACTATGAAAATATAAAAATACATTTTTGTAGTGAAAATACCTGCAATGCATTTTCATAGCAAAAAAAATTACCAGCAATACATTTTTGTAAACAATAGTAAAATTACCAGCAATACTTTTTGGTAAAAAATAAAAAATTACTAGTAATATATTTTTGTAAAGAAAATTACTAAAGCTCCCAAGAAAATTAAATTTTGGCATTAAATAACCCATAAGGAGTTGATATACTGCTAAACAAATTTGTATTTGTTCAAAAATACACTCACACACTCATACACACATATTAGGGTGATATTTGATTAATTTTGACCCTGTTTTATCCTCTATATTAACTTTCTAATCAACTTGTTGGATTTTTGTGCCTTAGTGTGCCTTTTATATCTATTGATTTTTTCTTTTCATAAAAATTTTGTCATTGAATAAAAATAAAACTTTTACTCAATGATACAAACATTTATTTGAATAAATTCTTGAGCCTGCATCATATGCATAGTAGATTTATTGAATATAATTTTACGAAAAAAAAAATGAGACTGGCCAACAGAAGCTGACATTTATGCAATCATCATTGTAATTTATTTATCAAATTTTTTTGTACTTGATCAATTGGATACTTGTCTGCCAGTCTTTTATAGAAATTATTTATAGATAACAAGTGCAAATGAGTAGGTTTAGTTTAGTGTCCTTTTAAGAAAAACTGTAAATAAATAATATGTATACGTCTATCTTCTATCTAAATAAATAAACAACAAATTCTGGCTGTCTGTACTTGTGTCTGAAAACCCCTCTAACTCAGGCTACACTTGCTCTACTTAGACATATTATAACCTTTTTGGAATCAGGGTGATCCCCAGATTGAAAATCTGTCTTTCATCTGAACATCCAGTATTGGGATTTGCCTCCAGATGAGGAGGGAACAGTTAAAGATTCAAATTTTAAGGATGAATATGAATATGGAGAAGTGTAGGAGAAGAAACAAAAAACAAATTTGTACATTGCAAAATCTATCAAAATGCCAACTGCAGAAGCAATCACCTTCCAGTTATATGTAAACTTAGAAAAAAACTATGAAAATTGAAGAAGCCATAAGGCAGCATCCAACTGCAATATGACAGACTCTTGAATGACCTGAATCTGAAGGAGATATATATAGTGTGTAAAGCAGATACAGTGAACAAAATGAAAATGGAAACTCAAAGAGAAGCTTTAGTTTAGTTTAGTTTAGTTTAGTTTAGTTTAGTTTAGCTTTTCCTTCCGCTTGTGCTGTTAGGTGCCACAAGGAGACACAGTCGTCTGTCAGTGGCAAGGCGAGTGGCCTGGAGGAGAGGTATCTTATGGGCTCTGGGAGTGTCTTCCACTGAGTTGACCAGTGTCTTCTTGGTCTGCCTCAAACTCTCCAGCCAGAGTACCTGAAGGTGTATGCTCATAGGACTAGTTGATTGATAGGTATATGAGTGAGGTGTCCAAACCACTTGATCCTCTGTCGTTTGATGACAGTTGAGATTCTGGACATGATCAAAAAGAGACAAATAACAATGCCAGGACACAGAACAGAATATAGAACACTACACAAAAAAATAAGAGACAATTGCAGACAGGCTAAAGAGGAATGGCTTAACATAAGATGTGCAGAAATAGAAAGAATGAGTATCACAGATAAAGGAGACATGCCTAAGAAAATAATAAGAGAACTAACTCAACAAAAGACATCCTCATCAACAGGAAGCATAAAATCCAATGACAGAATTATGATATTGGTGAAGCAATAAATACTTCCAAGATGGAATGAATATATTAGAGATCTCTTCCACCATGACAAAAGGGAACAACCAGCAATACACAGAATTATCAGAAATATTAAAAACCAAAGTTGAAGCTGCATTGACCAAATTGAACAGAAACAAAGCAGCAGGGCCAGACAGAATTGTAATAGTGATGCTTTACATGATTTCAGTATAGTTAAGATTACAAAAATAATAAATTACATCTGCAACAGTGGCAATATACTGGAAAACCGAAGCAGATCTATTTTCATAGCACTGCCTAGAAACCAGGTGCAAAAGAATGTGAACTCTATTGGACAATCAGCCTAATGAGCCATATAACAAAACTCAGCATCCAAATTCTGATGAATAGTGCATGCAGTATCAGACCAATGATAGGGCAAGAACAGTGCAAGTTCATCAATGACACTGGACCAAGGAATACAATATTTATGCCCAGAATGTTATCAGAAAGAGCAATACAAATGCAGAATGATATGTACCTATTTTTTACAGATTACACAGAGGCATTGATAAAGTGTGTCACAAAGATCTATTGGAACTACTCAGCAACCTTGACATATTTAGGAAGGATATCAAAATAATAAAGAACCTATGCTGGCAGCAAACCACCTGCATATGGATAGAAAATGAGTTCAATAGATATACAAAAATAGAAAGGGGTATGAGACAAGGATGTGTTTTCTCTTTGGACTTATTCAACCTATACAGGAAGGTGATTCTGAGAGAACTGGAAATGCTACCAGGATTCATTATTGGTGGCCACAATATTAGCAGCATAAGATACAGATGATAGAGTGTTGATAGCAGACACAAAGAAAAAAACTACAAGGATAAGTCAAAAATTATCCAAACTTTCACCATAATCTATTTCTATCATGTGTGCTTACAAATGGTACTATTGTGGTAACATGATCAAAGTTTGAACTTGATCATGTCATTTCTCTTGCTGCTGTTACAATGTAAACATGGCCACACCACTAGCAGTGCGCACCAAGGAGGAACAAAGAGCAGTTATCCAGTTTCTCTGGTCAGAAGGTGTGTCAGGGGCTGAAATTCATCAGAGGCTTTTAGCACAATATGGTGACAGTGCACTACTGCATAGATATGTGTATGATTGAATTGAGAAATTTAAAAGTGGCTGAACAAGCATGATGCACGAAGAAGGAGCAGGACACCCATCAACCACTGAGGAGAAGATTCAGCAAGATTTAGAGGGTAATGGCAGATTGATGCCCTTTGTTCCTACTTGGTGCACACTGCTAGTGGAGCAGCCATGTTTATACTGTAACAGCAGCAAGAAAACTGGCATGATCACATTCAATCACATGAGCACAATGGTATCAACTATAAGTATGTATGAGCAGATGGTAGTTTGACAAACCTACAGATATATTATGGTGATAATTTTTGACTTGCCCTCATACAAAAGTTTCTACAGATATTAGTGAAGTAAAAGTAAGAAGAAAGGTCTTAATATAAACTACAAGAAGACTGAATGCATGGTTGTTAGCAAAAGGATGAGTCAAAAATACAAATTACAAATCAGAGATACCAAAATCAAACAAGTAAAAAATTTAAATATCTGTGAATTATTCTAACAGAGAATGGAAAGTGTGACACTGAAATCCGAAGATACATTGCGATAGCCAAAGATGCATTTCAAAATCTTAGCAGAGAATCAAGAGACAGAAAAACTTCATTAGAAATAAAGAAAAGAATACTGAACTGTGTTATATGATATCTGTTCTCCTATATAGCAGTGAATGCTGGACAATTTCTTCAAAGAGGCAACAGAAATGTGGTTCTACAGAAGGATACTGAGAATACCATGGACTGAACATGTGAGTAACAATGAGGTTTTAGAGAAAATGGAAGCAAAAAGGAAACTTATACTAAACACCAGGAAGAGACAGCTGAAATTTCACATAATGAAGAAGGAGGGCTTGGAAAATCTGATACTCACAGGACAGATTGTGGGCAAGATGGATAAAGGTAAACAGCATATAACATACTTGGTGAGCTTAAGTAAATGGATGGTGGAACAGGGTTTTAGAGAAATAACAAAAAGACAAAATTTACTAAGAGCTACAAAAGAAAGGAAATTGGGGAGAGCCATGATTGGCTACATCCTGGGGGTGACTAAGCACATAAAAAAGTTATAGTCAGTTCTTCTATAGATAGCATTATAACGCTCAGGACAGTTTCCAGTTTCCATTATAGGTTTAGTTTTCTTGGATAATAGTGTTTCCTGACACTTAAACTTCAGGGCTGACAAAAAAATGAGTATTAATAATATATATATCCCTTAAATTGGGACAGTACCAGTGAAATCTAAGTATAAGGTAATGATGATTTAAATAATGATCTCTCCCCTAATCAATACTCATCCTAACCAAGTAAATGTGCTCTTTAATCTCTGACAATCTTCTACAATCCTTTTCATCTAACTTTCACCATCTATCTCTTTTATATGTTATATTGACCTACATTGAACTCTATCACAAACTCAAGTTATAACATTGACTCTGTTGAAGATAAAGAGTTTGTACTATTTACAGCATATATTTAAATAAACTTATGGTTATTCTATGTTCTTTTCTACCAATTATATTAATGCCTTTTCTCAGCATGACTTCTTGGTAAACCTGATTTAAACTCCACTGCATCTTGGACAATCTGTAACATACACTTAAATTACAGTAACATTTCAAGAATGAAACATGCACACAAAGATGCCATGAGTAAACATGTGAAACCTACAAAAATTTAAACACACATACTAACACCATAAAATGAACATGTGATATCTCCCCAACCAATGAAAGCAAAACATAGAATTTAAAAATTGAAACAACTCCATATTATTACACTCCCACAAAAATTTCTGATGAATCTAAATAAATAGCAAAACACATTAAATTTGTAAATATCTTCCTACTTGTTCTTTATTTAATCAATATATTTTCTATATTCATTAATAATTCCAAGGTAATCTTTATAAATATTTTTATAAAAACACATCAATCATAAAACATCATTTTCTTCCATTTCAGTACAAATTCGGATCTTCCGGCTGAATGAAAATATGTACCCAATGAACATGTCTGTGAAAATGGTTATAAAGGTAAAAATATTTAAATGCTTTGGTTGAATTGTTTTACTGAAAATTTAGTACATATTTTTCTACTTAAATATTTAATTTTTGCATGTTTGATCTTTAACCCATATCCTCCTGGTGTCAGTTTAATCTGATACCCTCCTTCTGTTCTATATCTTGTAGCCATTTTGTTTTAAGGTAGTATTTTTTGATATTGGATGAAAACTTTGAAATTTTCCTACATATTTCAGTGAAACCTTAACTTTGTAAAATTATAGCTTAAATGTATGAAAAAAAGAGGACATCAATTGATGCCAAGAGGATATGGATTTAGATCAGGTTATTTTGAGCTTCTGGAGACTGACCATTCCACAAAGTTGAAGCTGATATTGCAGTCAAGGATAAATTAATGTTTCTTTCTGAGATATCTGAACTGATTTTTTGGAAAATTTATTTATAGTTTATTTTAATGATGATATGGCAACCTTTTCTGGATCAATATGAAATGGGGTTAGGATTTAAAGAAAAAAATCTGTTTTCATTAAGCCATTAAAAAGAAATGTCTGAAAGTAAATTCTATAGGTTTTATATGCCCTTAAAAGAGAGAGATCTCTGATTCATTACACCTGGCCAGAGAAAACCCTGGGGCCAGAATATGCCTGTTGGAGAGCAGTAAAATCTTAGCTTAAGTTTTTAAGAATTCAGTATTCCTCTGCTTCAGGGGATTTAGCAAAATGTCTTTATAAATGTGCACTATGATCAAAATGAAAACAGTGAACAGTAATCAACTGAACTGAACTTATCAATTTAACTTAAAAAATATTAGCTGTGTGCAAAAGTTTCCATTGAAAAACTGGTTTTCAACTGGTTTTCAACTGTGTATTCACTTTTCTAGTTTTCAACCAATAATGGTAGGAACTTTTGCATATGCCTGTTATATTCCGTGCTAATAGGAATATGGACTGGACAAACACGGTGGATAAATAGTAACAGGTTTATTGTAGAAACCAGTACAACAAGTAAGGAAGTAATAGTTATGAGCATAGTCATCGCAAGTCAGTACAGTTGTGTACGTGCTGCTATCAGAAGGCTGCTAGTTCTTGCAGATCCCAGCTCAACTCTCCTGTCCACTGTCCTAATGGATATAGGTGGTTACCACCTATAGTGCTGCCACTGATAGGGGTGGTAGGTTATTCCATTACATCAATGCCTAATACAAACACAAGCATGTGTACATAGTGTAGCAGTTATAAACACATCAAGCAGGTCTAGCATGTTGTGTTCAAATTCCAGCTGAGACAATTGCATTCACTTTAGCATAAATACATTTGCAAAAGGTATGAATCCATCGCTTCTATCCTAAGCTTTGGCTGAAAGTTAGTCTAGCAGAAGGACAACTCTGAATTCAAAACTGGTTGAGCACAGGATGTAACTCTACCCCATAAAAACCTTGCTACAAAAACCACAGGAGTAACACTTTGTATAGTGAGGCTGTGGTCCTATATTCCACAAAGGATCAACAGGGTTAACAACAACAATATAAACACATATATGCATATCCTGAGACCAAGGGATATGTTTATATGTTTTAAAAACATTAATAATATTATTACTGAAATTGGAAATTAATAAAATTATGTTTTTCTGCTTGAATTTTTGAAACAAGGTATTATTATTCAATGTTCCATTTGAACTTGTATCCTTGTATTCTTTTTTACACTATTCCAACCAATTTCCTTCTTATCCTTCCTCAGATACCTGAGGAAGGATAAGGTATCTGTCATACCAAGTAACCAAGTATCTGTCATACCAAGTAACCTTTAAATAAATGTTGAAAAAACATTTAATTTCATTGAGTAACTGCTTTTATCCATTCAGCCTACTCGAAATTTTGAGTTCAATTTCAAGCATAAAGCAGTACAAAAGTACAGTAGTTTAATAAACAAAAAAAACAACAGAAGGTGAAAGGTTTTGTAGTGATATACAGTTAATGCTCATTAAATAAACTTAGAGTAGAAAAATGACCCTTAAATTGAGTATGATACTTCAAAATACTTGGGAACAACACTTATCTATCTCCAATGAAAATATTTTGATTTGGGACAAGTATTGACTGGGAGCTGTGATTTATGACTTTTCTTAATTAAGCTGGGCAACCATTTGATCGGCTAGTAGTCCACCCTTATCAGTGCTGTGGGGGATGAACCCTATTTTACACTGCTTTCTGTTTTACAAAAGTCTGATAGCAAACATTCTCTCTAATTGTTAACACACATGAATAAAGCAGAATGATGCCTTCAACTGATGTTTTTGTTGATCCTGATGTTTCAACAATGGGGTTACTTTTCAATCGCACCACTTTTTCCGCATCCAGATGCAGCAATCATCCATAAGCAGCATTTGAAATCCAACCAGATGCTGATCCAAAGTGCAACATTACATTTTGAATTCTAAAATACTAGGGATGCCAACAAAAAGTTATGGGTGATGACAATATATTTCTATGGATAAAATAAAGAAAACCTGAGTGTGTATTAAATATAACATTATAAGGAACACATCCAAGATGGAGATCCTTACTGAATACTTTAATTCATTCAATTTTTTGCAGTCAAAAAATGTATCAACCAAAATGTGATACAAAAGCAACATTAATGATATAGAGTAGAGTTTGGGGCTGATTCAAGGTACTGTCAACACAGGCAATCACATGGGTTGCCATCAAGGCTGAGGGTACCACTATGTCATGTGTTTGAGATCTTTTAAACAAAAAGGAAAAAGCATGAAAATAATAAATAAAATGAAATAAGAAAAAACCAAAATATAAACTTTCTTGAGTGGAGTAAAATTTTTGAGAATTTGATTATTATGTCTTTCTGTTACGGGATCATGATCAAACACCATAACAGAAAAATGAATGAGTGGGTGACATGGCCATAATATAGGATAATGAATGTTTTCTTTAGCTTGTATTAAGTTATATATTTTAATAAATTCATTATTTTACATTTTCAGTTTTTCTCCTTGCAAAATTTTTTTTTAAAATTATATTTATAAGGGCACTGAAATTCAGCTTGCCCAGGGTGCTAGATAAAGTTCATAATAAAATTAATAAAGATGAAAATCTTCATCATCATTTATGTACCATGTTCCATCATGGCTTTCCATGACTTCCTGTCTCTTGTAACTCTTTGCCATTTGTCCTTGCTCTCTGTCATTCATTCATACAAAACTTATTAAATTACTCACTTGTTCCTTCTATCTATCCTTCTCTCAATACATTCTGTATTACATTTTCCTAATGTGTCCCAGAAATTTCAATTGTCTCTTTCTTAGTGTCTTTGCAGTTCCCATTATCCCAATACTAAAAATGCTTTATCTGAAAACACTTTCAATCATATAATTCTTGCTTACTCAAGTTAATTTGAAAAAAAAAGGAAATCTGTTATAAAAGTCATAACCAGAAATTGTGTATAGAAATTTGTATTATATATTTCTTAGATGAAGCACTGAAATCATTAACTTTTTTTCTGCCTATATTTCTGAGCTGATGCATTGTTTACACTATTTACATTGGTTGGACTATTGTCCTCATCACAATGTTTTGGCCATTGTACACTCCAGCCTTCTTCAGGTGATATACGTTTGGAATTACAAACCGGACCCTTTATTTCATTCACTGGGGTAGACTGTGTTGATTTCACAGAAAGTAGGGAATGATTGTAGAAGTTTCTCCCCTCCCCTCTTATAGTCAGAAATAAACAAAATTCATGCTGGTATATTTTTCTTGGCCAATAAAATGGGACAGTTTGCGTTTTGACATGACTCAGTTCAGATCTGGCTTATCTACTAGACAGATCTACTGCGTTCGCTTGTCTGAACTTGCTTTTGTATACAAACACTAACTCATAGTTTGTGATTTCTTTTGCCTTATCTGTTTGATTTGCTTTAGCTATATTGTTTGCTTGTATGTTTGTTGCTGTTTCATCCTTCTGCCCTTTTTTCTTTTCATTGCAAACTTTATTAGCTCTGTTTGTGTTATTTACCTTGCATTTTGACAATGGCTTCTAACCCATCAGATTATTCTCATTCTACATGCCATGCCTTTTCTGGATATATGTTTTCAGTTATTTCCCTTTAGTAACTTAACTCTCCAAGTTTTTGTTCACCTCTACTGTGGCCAAGTATTGAACTTACAGCTCTTTGACTCAAGTCAGTGGATAACTTCAACCAACACTTTTATCCACTAGGACCATGTGTCCTTAATCAATTTATAAATTATTTTTTTTACTAGTTTTTTTGCATGTTGTTTCTGTTGCTTTATAACAACAGAAATAATCTGAAAGAGAGAATAGTTAAAAAAAATTAATCTGAGTATTTTATAGCTTTATTCTATAAAAAAGGTTCCAACTATTTTCTCAACAAATAGAAACCAGTGTAATGAAATAATGTTGCATTGATTAATGAAAATATGAAACTTAATCTCATACTTTACATGACATTTTATTCAACTCCAGACTTCATCAATTATAATCAGCTAGTTTGTGTATGGCCCTGTACTCATCAAAACATAGACCTTACATTCTCATGGGCAATATTCAAAACATAGACCTTACATTCTCATGGGCAATGTGTGAGAGTCTGCCTATGATGCCTCTCAGTTTGTATACTTACCCATTATACAGATTTCTTCACACACACTTCCTAGTTGCAGCTGGTCTGGTCATGAAGATCTGTACTTGACAACCAGGAGGTTACCTCAGGTTAATCCTGCACCTGGCTTTTCTGAAGGACACTGAGTGCAAAGTCTATGTATATGATCCCAAACCCATCATTCTATGTGTATGGCCCTGAACCCATCATTTAAAACATAGACCTTACATTCTCATGTGCAATGTGTGAGAGTCTGCCTCTAAAGGTGTTATACCGGAACACACCTATTCTATAGTTAATAGACTCTCCCACATATAATAAGTAGTAGTAGTAATAGTAATAGTAACGAGTCACTCAGTGAGTCGGTTTGAGTTCAGTCTGAAGTCGGATGACTGGCTGACCAGCTGACCAGTTGAACTCTCTGCCTTTTGGGGGTGAGGAACCCGAACGAGGCTACACCAAAGGGTGGAGTCTCTTTCGGGGAGGTAAACCGACCCTGAACCAGTTTATACGGGTTCAAAGGGCATATTTTTGTCCGAGCCCATGTGCTCGGAGATCCCATGTTAAACTGGCCTTGTGCCACATGATGCCCTTGTTGGAGGAGTGACTGAATACTGCTCAGTGAGTTGGTCAGTCAGTCAATGTCAGACAACCATTAGTCAGATATTAAAGTATCAGCCACCACAACTAGATTGCTGCGTCATTAACTATTATATCAAGTTCCTAATGTTTTGTATGTCGAACCTATTTTAGGACTGACTTAGTGAAATACAAGCCTCCACTGTGAAACTACTCTATAACAGAAGGACATTGAGTGCAATGTCTATTCTAACATGCTCTAGGATGAGACAACTATTATATCATTATTTAGATTAATTTTCTACAGAAATGGGCCAGACATATTATAATAGCTAAAATGTAAAAAAAAAAATTAATAGTGAAACTGCTGAGAATTATTAACTTCTCATTATAATTCTGCTTGTCCCTCCCTCAATGCCTTATTTAGCACAACTGTTATGCCCTGATAATACCTCATAAATAATGGACTATTCTGTTTTGATCATGTGGAAATATAGAAAAGACATATCAAAGACACTACTTGTTTTCAGTGAGAAAATGAAAGAAAGAGGCAATAACACTCTCATATGTTTAACATTTGTTTAAGTGAAAGGGAAAATGTCAGTTTCAAATCTTTTCATTTGTACCTCCTTACATCATTAAATAATGACCAACATTCACATTTATGATTGTTATTGCAATATTTTGTTAAATTTTGTTAAGCTCAAATATTTAACAATATGATAGGGAAATTTTTATGGATATTTTATTCTTGTAGAACTTGCTATAAGCTTATTCAATCATTAACTGTAAAGTTATGATTCATCAGAAAATTTCAATAGGAAAACCAGGTATTTATAGTAAATAGCAATTATATAATTTACTATTGTTGCAATAAACATGGTTTAATTTTTAATCTTTAGAATTACAGAAAATTTACTTATTTTATAACTACCATATATGCTTGTATATAAGCCATATTTATGCATAGTGTAACCCCTAAATTTTTTGCATGAATTTTAACCCCGCTGGAAAAGATTTACCTGTATATAGTGCAACTGAACGTGAATGATTTTTAATCTATTCTAAAAAAATTACCTGTGTATAGTGCAACCCCTTAATTTGTTGTGTAAAAAAAACACTGATCTTAAAAATTATCACTATACTTGAGTATAACATTAATTACAAATGAATGATTTCTTTTCTTTTAGGACCCATCCAATTCTGTGGTTAAATCCCAAATATTCAATGATGAAGCAGATATTATTTCAACTTCATTTAAACTGAATGATAATTCCCAGACTGGAGCATGGATAATTTCAGTGAAATATATTGGAAAAGAGGTAAAAGAAAGTTTGTTTTTTTATTGAAACATAACATTAAAATCTGTCTATATTTCAAAGATGGGGTATTGTAAGTATTTACACTATTCAGACTGTTGTCTCATCTTTGTCATATTCACAATGTTTCAGCCATTGTACACTCTGGCCTTCTTCAGGTGATATATGTTGGAATTTCAAACCAAACCCTTTATTTAGTCCACGGGGTTAGATTGTTCTTGACCAATGTAAATATTATTAGAAATATTGATCTTTGACTCCATTTCTTACAAATTGTGAGAAATTCATATTTTCCTGACAGAAATTCAAAACTGAAAAAGAACCAATATAAGCAGCTGTCATCATTTAAATTATTTTATTTACATTCAGGCGAATGTCTTCATCTTTGTTGTTATTATCATAACATTTTGACCATTGTGCTCTCTAACTTTCTTCAAATGTCTACCAATCTGTGAAACCTTCAGCGAATTTCAAACTGAACACTTTATTTAATCTACAAGGGCAGACTGTTCACATTCCACTCTCCATGTCTAGGGATATCTCATCCTATTCTTTTTTTTTATTACTTGCCCTGTTCCTACTGTGTGTAATTCTGTATTACCCAACCAATGGATTGGATTCATGGGATTAAAGTATTGATTTATGAATTTGATAGCATAATAGTTGTGAGTTTATTCCCTAGGACAGGCAGTACAGACTTAGACAGTGGAAACTGAGTGAGCAATAACTGAACAGTAATAAAAAAAGAGCAGTGGAGTAATGGATAGAAGCTCAGATTGAGAAATCAGAGAGCCGAGTTTAAATTCCAGTCAAATCCATTACATTCACTTACCTGCTAATAATAACCTTGGGAAACGTATGAATCTCCCCCCAGCTATGGATAAATAGCAGAGCAGACTGGGTTCTATAGCCTTGGATAGAAACTGGTCTACTGCAGAAAGAAATGGCAACCTACTGCGGGAAAAAAACTGCCTCACCAGTCATGTATCAAAAGATACATGATCGCCTAAGCATGTATCATGAATAAAAAGAGCAAGACATGATATCCTCAGACATGATATCCTCAGACATGATATCCTCAGACATGGATAGCATAAAGAGAATAATCTATCCCAGTAGATTAAATAAAGGTTTCAATTTGAAATTTTCTGGAGGTTACTCAGATCGATAGACACTGGAAGAAAGGCAGAGGATACATCTGAAATCTGGTAATAGCAATAATTTTTTATCAGAAATTCAAACTTAAGCCATTTATATTGCTTGAGTTTGGATTTACCAATAAAACAATTTCCACAAATTTTCATCATCTATGAGAATATCTGCTTTAACATAAAAAAATATCTGATTATTGAGGTTATTCACAATATTTTTTTCTACAGACGTTACAAATTGCTTTGAAAAGACTATAATTATTTTCTGTTTGCAAAGGATAATTGGTAATTAAGATCTATTATCACATTAGTTATGGAGAAACCTGTTTGAATATTTATTTGGTAGTATATAAAATCTTTTCTAAATGTACTTCCTTTATTATATCTTGTGTGTTAGCATTTGTCAGACAAAAGTATATCCGTAAGTTATATAAAAAGCATTATAATGAAATAATTTTTAGTACTAGAAAGCAACCAATGAAATTTTTCAACCCCAATCATCAGTTTTCTGGTTATTCCCAAAAGACATGCCAGAAGGTCATTGATGTCAAAGTAGGTGTTACTATGCCCAATTAGGTTAAATGTAGGCTAGAAACCACTGTCTTCATGAATAAAATAAATGTAGTAAAATGTTTAGAGAAATTTGTAGCACTGAATAATAATTATATAAGAAAAATAAACTTATTATTTTAAAGATAAATAAATTTAATTTGTTTTCATACCAGTTTCATTATTCTATTTGGTAGAAAATTTGTTTCATAAGATTGAAAACCTTACTTATTGATGAATTTGTTGTGGATGATGACAAATCTTAGGCAATGTTTAAGCTTCATGCCTGCAAAGAAAATGGCATCTCAAAAGTACAGTTATCCCCTTGACAATACTATTACTGTATACACTTTGACTCTCTCAGGGTGACTACTTGGGAATACCAGGTTCTGTAAGTTTGGATGTGCAGGTAGTGTAATGAATAATGGCTTGGAATTGTTAATCAGAGAGCCAAGTTCCAATTCCCATTGGGTTTATTATATTCAATTATGAGCTAATGCCTTTGGAAAAGGTATGAATCCATCTCTTCTCCTTCAAGCTATGGATTAATTAGGAAGACTTGTCTCCCTAAACCATTATTATCTCAAAAAATCTTACAATCTAAAAATATTTCCTGGCTTTAAATAACCTGCAAAAAGGGTTGATAAGCCATAAAAGATGAATCAACCAGTCGACACCCTTAACAATATTTATTAGGTTGTCACACATGAAATGGCCCACTTTATAGGAAATGAATAAAATGCTTCTGAAATGTTAAATGATTAATTTATTTAGTTGAAATAGGCAGCATATTGATGAATGACTGTTCTCCAGCATACCTCTAAATTCTTGATCCCATCTTTAAAAAAATATTCATCCTTTGATATGATAAACAATTCAAATGCTTTGATTACCTCTTCCTTATTGAAGAATGTTTTATTGCATACGAAAAGCTCAAAATGGTGAATATGGAGGATGTGGCAAAATTTCATAATTCAGGCTATTGGACAGTTGCTTGAGAAGCATGCAGCCTTGCAAGCAAAATTAGGCCATCCTTATTCACAAGTCTAGGATATTTCTTTTTCAATTTTTCATGCATACACTCAATTTCTCCACAATGCAAGGTTGCTGTTATTGTTTCCCTAGAGACAAGAATAAATAATGAATGACCCCTTTGAAAGACCACCATACAGTAACCATTAACATTTTAGGGTGCAATGGAAGTTTTGGGTATTGTTTTGGTGATTCACTCGCATCTAATCACTGGCCTACTCTTTTACTGTTGTCAAAGAGTATCCATTTCTATTACATGTAATGATTCGATTACTGTATGGGAAAACCCATACAGTAAGATTACTTGACATTGTTTCATTGTAATCATTTTCATTGGGCTTATGAGTAACAATATATTGAAAGAAAAATTATCTGGAATAAGTCAAGATTTTTTATATACTAAGATTACTTCGTTAGATGACGGGATCAACAACCAACCAAAAAGTGCGTCATTTCATGTATGACCACCAAATATTTACAAGATTAGAAAAATACAAGAATCAAGTACAATGCGATATTTATTATTTACCTTTTTATAAAGATTTATTTGCTATTTCATAAATGATTAAATTTGAAAATAAATATTTTTATTCAAAAAAATTTATAAAAAAGTTACAAAATTATCAAAATATGTAAATCGACTACAATACAATATTTATTATTTATCATTTTAGAAATAACTATGAAAAGTTTTTTATTCAATCTAATCAATAAATAAATAGTATTTAATATCTTTTTTGTCAATTCTCAAGAATAAAGAAAATGTATAAATCCATTTTCATATTTTGGGGTTTCATTAATCATCACTTTTAAAAACAATAAACATTGCCAAGGGCATCAAAATTGTATACAGTAATAGTGGTATCAAGGGAATAACCATCCTTTTGACACATTGTTGGGTTTTTTTGTAATTTTGTAGGTTAAACATTGCTAAATCTTTTAAATGACAAGATAATAAATGACATAGAATAAATGACATTATTGTATATTTATATTATTATGACACAAGGCGACAAGTATAGATTTCTCAGAGAAGATCAAATGCACTCTCTACATGCAAGCTGCAAGTGGCCTGCTGGCAGGCTGCCAATGGCAATGCCAGCAATCCTCTGGTGACAGTCACCAGTGGGCCACTGGTGGGCCTCTAGCGGTCTGCCAATGGTAACATTGCCGAGACAAACACGTCAGCAGTTCGACAGCGGGCCACCAGCAGTAAATGCTGATGGCCATTGACCCAGTGGCAGATTGGTGGCTTGCACGTAGGGACAGTTGTAATGATCTGATAATAAATGATGTTAAGAAACAACTAAACTTAACTAGACAACTATGTGCAATACAGTGATTGGGGGGGGGTAACATATTTTTACACTCACTTTTGTACAAATAACTTTGGGAAGGTATGGATCAATCTCTTCTCCCCCCAGCTATGGGTTAAATAGCAGCACTGACTGGGCTCTCTAGAAGAACAACTCTGAATTCAAAACCTAGTACAAAGATGGTTAAATGTGTTATGTCTATAAAAAGAAAACTATAGATTTCAACAATTATGGATGATCTCATTGGAGAGTGGTTATTCAGAATTATTTTAACATCCACAAGCATCAGGCTCAAGGAAGGTGGGTGGATGAATTTGCTATTTCCTGCTTTACAGTCATCAACTATTGATCTTTTTTTATTTTATTCTTAATTTAATTTGCCAACCTTATATTTCTTCTCTATCATTGAAATTTTAATTTGAATAAGCATCAATGTGATTGGCTGATTTTATTGGTCGATGGTCAATGTGCCTTGACTGGCTTCTTGATTGGTTAATATTTTCACACATGTATCAATAAGTCTGTACTTTAATGATGCATAAAGCATTTATTTGACAGAAAAAATATTTCATTTTCAACACAAACTTCTTCCTTGTCAATGCACTTAATTCAAATATGCAGTGAAAATTCCAGTTTAAAATTTAGCTAGTGACTACATATCAGGTTATTGATCTGCCCTCAAAAATATATACACCAATTGGAGAATATCAAGGCAAAAAAATCATTATTTTATTTTTACTTTTCAGATGCTTAAAGAAACAAATATAAGATTTTTGGTGCAAGAATATGGTAAGTTTTACATAATGAAAATGAAACAGTATTTGTGCAATTTTCTTAAAATAAGACACAATCACTACATTATTGTGATATTTCTAATTTTCTACAATGTTTTAGAATAATTTAACATGCAAACCTATTTTCATCATCATCACTTTTGTCCAAAATATTATTTTTAATATAATAAATATTTTAAAATATTTTTGCCTCCAAATTTATGTTAAATTTAATAATTAATCTTATCCATAGAATAAATATTATCAGGGTCGTATTCTATACAGTGTGTATCTATGTGTGTATGCACGCACGCACGCAGGCGCGCACACACACACATATTGTGTATTTATACAAGTTTCATTAAAGATGACTGACAGGGTAGTGTGATTAAGCTTTTTATTTAATTTTTCTTGTGTTTGTACAAGTGTTTTCTTTTCTGGACATAAAGTATATAAAATCTGTTTGAATTTTCTATATATCCAAGTGCATTCAGCTATTCCATTAGCCATTATCAAGGTTTTTTTAGTTTTTTTTTTAACTAAATATGTAAATTTTTATATATGTATATCTAAAGTGAGAATTTTTTTTTCTTCCAAACACAGTTGATATTGTGGCCATGGTTGATATTATTTAGTTAGAACCCATTTAAACACATAAAGAAATCTACCAAACTCCATTTGCAACACACTCATAGAAAATACAACTATAATAGCCTCATCCACATGTCTTTAAAACAAAAAAGGCTAAAAGTAATGAATGCATTATTAAGAAAGAAAACGGCAACACTCAATAATATCAACTATGAATATGGCCATGAGGAACATCACAAGCAAGGTTCTGTTTTCCCTTTTTAAGGAAAGCATATCCTTTTCACTCAGATTATTTTCTTAAAAGCTTCATATCTGTTCAGTTTCATATCTGAATTGTGAACAAAACAATTTCTAAAAAATTAATAGTTACTTTATTTAAAATTTTTATTACTTCAAACATTATTATAGTGGATACTTTGTATTTGAAATAGACACACCATATATATATATATATATATATATATATATATATATATACATATATATATATAGGCAGCATATTTTCATTCAAATATGTTTCATTGAATAATATAGATATATTGTGTCTACTTATTTTTATACTGATCTTTTCCAGTTATCTAATTTTTTGATGTTAAGATGAAATTCATCAAGGAAGGCACCATGATTTTTTTTTTTAACTCAAGATCTGCTTCAGGGGTAAATTACAAAGACAAACTTATAACTGTATTTTCGTTAAAAAAAAAAACTGTGACACTTTCCTTGATGAATTTCATCTTAGCATCAAATAACAGATTAGACAACTGGAAAGGACCAGTATAAAATTAAGTAAACACAATATTCTTCAATGGTACATATTTGAAGATATATATATATATATATATATATATATATATATATATATATATATATATATAAATCCCTTTCATAAAGAAATAAAATAAAAAAATAAATAAATCTCCATAGACACGTAAACCAGACTAGGCTAAAACATCTTCCGTTTCAAATTTAGACACCCCCACCTCACCCTGACTTGACATCTATGAAAGTAACTCTATACTGATACTTATTATTAACACCCAACACACGCCTACCCAATTTAAACAATTCGCCCTAGCTGTTACCATGGAAATTTTGATTTCTATTATTAAAACACGTAAATTTCAGAAATACATTATTCCCCAAAAAAATTTCGCTTGAAGATGGAACAGAGCTTACTTAAACTCAATTTAATTCAAATAATTATATTGAAGTTTTTGGCTCTTGTTTTGAAACATGAGACCTCTTATGTCGCGAGTTGGAATCATATTTTTAAAATAAATATATATATATATATATATATATATATATATATATATATATATATATATATATATATATATATAATTATTTATTTAAAAAAATTATAACATAAATATGTTATAAAATCACTACAAAAATAGCCATTTTGTTTCAACACCTCCGGTGTCTTATCAAGTGATGATGTTGAATGTAAAATAAATGGTTTTAAAATTTTTAATTAATTAACGATCCTTCGCAAGGGGAAAACATTGTTACAAAAGCTAGAATGACCAATCAAAATACAAGTATAGGAAAATTCAAAAAGCTTGATAACGATGTCATGTTATAATAGCTATTCAGATCTTTAAAATAGGGGTAATATTAAAAAACAATTTATCCTAACCAATAATTATTAAATTATATGATAAAATTTGATATTAAAATTAAAAATTACCAATTTTAAAATCCAAATTTAATCACTATTAAGTTTAAAGTTATAAAATTGCTGAGGAGGAAAGAAGAAATACGTATGTTATTCAATTTATTTCTTCAGTGAAATTACGTTAGAATAGACGCTTATCTGTCATCCGGTCATCTGACAATATGTATACATTTTAATCCCAAGTGTGTGAATATATATATATATATATATATATATATATATATATATATATATATATATATATATAACCAGATGCTTTTAAACATTATCAACATTTGCTCAAACACATTCATATTTATTGTATGACCATAAATTTAAAACATTTTTTGGCAATCTTGCTTCTTTCTCTATACAAATATCCATGAACAGTATAGGAAGTGTTACGATTTCACCTTTATCTTTTATTTATAGCATCTGGAATTTTGAAACTATATCCCATTTGGGTAATAACCACATGCATGTACATGTGTGACTGTTTATCTCATATGATTTTAAACACACCAAGATGCTAGAGAAATGCTAACATTGCCTTGTCAAAGGTACATCTTGGTCAGCTTTACAAGAATGATTTAAAAATATATTCTGACATTTTTCAGTTATGCCAAAATTTGAAATACACATTGATGTTCAGCCCAAGTTGATTTCAAAGTCCACCAAGTTTATGAACATATCAATATCTGCAATGTAAGTATGAATGGAGAATCTTCCTGTTTATAAGTTACAACAATTACACTAAACCTGGATAAAGTCAGTATACAGAAAAAGAAGAAAAATAGATATCTCTATTTTCAAACAAGAGACTTTATTCAGTAGTCAAAACAAGTAAAAGTTATTTCATTATGTAACTTAAAATTTGATGAACTTGCTATTACAATATTTTTTAAATGTAATGAATGATTAAATTTATTAAATCTACTATCTTCATTTGCAAGATCTCCAAACAAACACATTCAAGGCAAATCCAAAGAACAGTGTGCAATGTTATCAGTCCTAACCTGGCACTTTGGTTTCAATAACTTTCTCCCCACCATAACATAGTTTCACTGTGCCTTTTTCTATAAATATTGTTTTGATAAGTTGTATCCTTTGGTACCTCGACTTCTTGAATTTAAGCATGGTACTAGATGTACAACTAGGTCTCGTCATTTTCCTATCGAAATTTCTAAACATAGCCACATTCTATTCTAATAGTTTCTTCTCTCATCCATCTTGCCAATATAACTTTATTCCAGCTTCTTGCTTTCCTGTGAACTATGATCATCAAAAATTTAAATGCAGTGCCAGTTATCAACTTCTGTCTTTTTGGATCTTGTTTTTTTGTTATCTTTTCTCCTCAGTGACATTTTCTCAGTTTCCTCCACTCTCAGTAACCCATTGCATCTTAGGGGCTTTATTGCCTTGCTTGGTGTGAAATGATTAAAAAATGAAAAATTTTCTTTTTGCAGAGGTTTTCTAGATATTTTCATTATTTCATGATCCAAAATGGCTGACATGTTTTGTAGAGTTCATATCAGAAAACTGACCAGGTCATGAAAATTGTTTAATTCTTTTTAAATCTGCCATTCTTGAGATATGCAGGTAGTGTAATGGTTATCAGTGAGGAAAGTAGAATCAGCAAGCAAAATTTAAATTCCAGGCTTGTCTGTTGAGTTTACTTTTGTTCAAATGCTCTTAGGAAAGGTATGAATTCATTTCATTGTCTAAGAAGCAATGTTTAACCTTCATGCACACACACACAAAAAAGCAGTGTTTCAAAAAGATGGTTATTCCCTTACTTTATACACTTTTGACTCCCTTAGCAATGTTTATTGTTTTAAAAACTGATGATTAGGATTTTGATAAAATCCAAACATATGAAAGTCGATTTATATATTTTCTTTATTCTTGAGATGTGACAACAAAGATGTTAAACACTATTTATTAGATTTAGAAGAAGAATTTTATCTTATATTTACAAGATTAAAAGATATAAACCAACTATAATGAAATATTTATTATTTACAATTTTATAAAGAAATATATAGGAAAAAAAATTTTTATTCATAAATTTATAAATACAAAATACAAAATGATAGGAAATTGTAATTATAAATTTTGAAAAAATGCATTTTCTGGACATTTCTTTCATTTGCTCTCACCTCATAAATTCAATAAAATAAGCTAAGAGCATCTCTTCTTATCTCTTTGATAATTTTGTAATTTTTTATAAATCTTTTACTAAAAAGATTTCTTTTCAAATTTATTTCTTTATAAAATAGTAAATAATAAATTTTTTATAAAAGGTAAATAATAAATATCAAATTGTACTTGGTTCGCATATTTTTATAATCTTGTAAATAAACATTGCTGAGGGAGTCAAAAGTGTATACAGTAATATCAGTGTCAATGGAATAACTGTCCTTTTGATTCACCTTTTTTTGTGGGAATGAAAGGTAAGGATTGCCGTCAGATATGGGTTAAATAGTAGAATCAGCTGGGTTCCCTAGACTTTCGTAACAATTAGTCTAAGAGAAAGGAAACTCTGAATTCATAATCATAGAGAAGGTAATGGGAAACCACTCCATTATCTTTCCCAAAGAAGGCATGGCAATACACAGATAATAAAAAAAGAAATCTGTAAAGAACCATTAGCACCTATGTCCTGAAAGAAGATGGGATGTTTCATATTCTTGAGACTGTTTTCTATATAGTGTATTATTCTACCTTCTTTGAAAAGAATGCTGTTTTTATTGAATAAGTATCTGCCTGCAGAATTTACCTTTCTGCACTGATACTCCCCACACATTCCAGAAGCCTTAAACAACTTACTCTAAATTAATTTCCATATCATAGTGGGCTGCAGATGGTGCAGTTAAATATTTGGCTAGGCAATCTCTAGACTCATCTATTGTTAAAAAATTGAGTAAATGTAATCTTACCTGAAAAGGCCCAAAAGTCTCCCAACCATCTGAACAGCTTAATATTCTTTCTCTGCTCAATGTTCACTAATTTAAGGAGTGGCTTTCTTCTGGCTGTTCTATCATTTGAATCCACATGTTTTTGCTATACTGCTGTTCTTAGTCTGATTTCAATACACTGCCATATCACCTACCTTGCAACAGGGACTTTTTTTCAATCTCCTGTTTCATCATATACATTTTTAATGGCTAGATTGATTAATGATTTCTTTTTCTCAGTTTATGAACTGTACTTTCATAACAATCCAGTTTTAATTTTGATGCTACATTACCACCCATGCATCTCCTCCCACCATTTATTTTATAAAAAGCAAAACTTTCAGTGATATAAGGATTTGTCATAAACAGTACCTCATAATATCCATTTTGATTATGTAATGTTCCACAAAAAATGATAAAATCCTACTATGTTTGGTTTAGATAAAAATTAACTTACCATATTACTGAAGTTTCTCATTTATTTTCAGGCATTTTTATAATAAGACCGTAGAGGGAAAGGTTTATTTACAATATGGAAACAATGGAGACAAAATTTCAGGAAAGGTAAGCTAGCTGCTGAATCTTTGATTTTTCAAATGTTTCTCGATTTTAAACTCATTTTAATTTATTCTTCAAAAATAATTGAATTGTAACATTGTTATTAGTGTTAACAAATCAGAAACAAAAATCTTCATAATATAATAAAAGATATCCTACATTTGATTCCATACATTTAAAAAATCTTTAGAATTTAAGAAAACTGAAGCTGTCATGTACTCCATGTGATTGCTCAGCTGATATTTTACGATTGGAAAAAGATAGCTATTCATCTGTCTTCAAGAAATATCCCAAGTTAAAAAAAATAAAGTTAGACATTTCATTAAACTTAGTGAAAATTAACATCTAATTTAATTTTCTCCTTTATGACATCAAAGCATGGTTTATATGGGTTAGTAAAGATTTAAGGAGAATATATTTTAAAAGTAATCATGTAGATATTTGGATTCTTTCATTATCATCTTATTTTTCATATTTTATCATATTTATTAAGAATCATCAGTTGATAAAATGATAATTAAAATCATGTTCCTTATTTCCTATATGAGGATGCAATTCATTGTGTAATGATGTCAATGTACAGGCTAACAAAACATGAGATGAAATCTTTCATATGTAAAATTGTTTATTTATATCTGAACTTTGTCAATTAATATCTTTGAGTAGGTGTGTGGCTTCCTCTATAAATATGGATTCTTCTTCTCATGATGATGTGAGAGAAACTGTCTTTTCCCTCTTTGGTGGGGTGCTTATATATCTTCCTGTCACCTGGTTGTACCATGTGCACATCCTCAGCACATTTTTTCTTTTTTATCATTTCACCCTAAACAAGGCAGGAATGGCACATACACAGGGGCTTGCAGGGAGTGAAAGTGAGAGAAAAGACTGAGTATAGGGAGGATTGAGGAAAGGACAAAAGATGAATGAGATTCAAGAAGATAGAAGATGGCAATTGACATTGCATTTAAATGTTTGAAGATTGTAGTTATCAGGGAAGCAAGTAAATGGGAGTTCCACAGGAGAGAAGTGCGAGAAAAGAAACTGTTGAAGTAGAAATAGCAGTTGCATCTGGGTCAACCACCTGTTCATGTGTCTGTCAAGGACACCCACTGACACAATGTGAGGTGCAAATCTGCACCTGGCTTCTCTGATGCACTAGAGTAACAATGAAGGCAAAGTCTATTTTGGTATCCTTTGCGGTGGACCCAGTACATACTAGGGACACCACATGTCAACTTCACTTTTGAACAAAGGTTCCTTATTGATATTGTAGGAATTTCTCTTGGTTGTGTGTGTGCGTGTATGTGTGTGCTTGGCAGTGAGAGTAGAATGAACAAATCCCAAGGCTTCAAGTAACTGTTTGACAGCTTTTATTTATAAGTGAAAGAGAATGCAAAATAGTTATATTTTGCAGAAAAAAAAGAGTTGGATTTCCCAGTTTCTTGGGTATATGTTTAGTAGAGAGAAATTTCTTTGCTTGTTCCCTTGAGGAATGAGAAATCTGAACGTCAAGCTGCTAGGACTGGTACAAGTCTTCTGCAGCAAAGGTTGTGAGTAGTCCTTGGGCCTTGAAGGTAGCAGCCGCTGAAAAGAAAAAAGTGGGAAAGACACTGAATAAGGTTCAGTCAGCACTGTTATGAGTTCTGGGACTTCCAGTTGAACCCTGCCAATTTCTTCCATTGCTGCTACTGCTTAATCGAGCAAAGTAAGGAAACCCCCACAAGCCACAAAAGCCAACAAGTGAGATAAGATAACATAAATTTAAATTCTGAACATCTGGTATTGTCTGGCTTGAATCATGCACTATGCATCCCCTGTATTTTTTTTTCAAATACATAACTTTCCCAAAATTATGAATTTCTTTATTTTCTAACTGAATTTGCAAGATATACATTTCCTCCTACCAGTTGTATTGGCAAGTCTCTACACGTCACACTCCTCAGGCCATAAGATACTTGTGTATAAAAATGTCAGCAATGCAAAAAACAAAATGACATATCAAAATGTATTGTCTTTAAGTAAAGAGCAACATGAAAAATAAATTTTGATAGTAATCAAATAATTAAAAACTCTCTTCATTACATTATGAGCAAATCTTTTTTATTCATTTCAGTTGAAGAATGGACAATATTTCAAGCGAGTGGAAATAAAAGGCGAACATTGTGGAGCATTCCATATCAATGCAAAAGTAATTGAAAAAAATACACGAATGGCAGAATATAAAACTGACAGTACAGCAAACTTTATAAACAGTAATATAAGTACAGAAGTAAGTTCAACCACTATCATTAACAAAAACACTTTCTATGGGATATCATTTTTATTTACTTTTTTTTGAGTGATATTAATCAAAATTAATTTCATCAAGCTTACCCAGTTTCTAAAATCTGACTAAATGACCAAAGATTAGATTCTGTTTTGGAATTCCTTCTTGGTTAGCTTACAGAAAAATTGAAATAAAATTGGTTCATAAGAGTCAGTGATAATCCTAAAAGCAAAGGAGTAATAATTAACCTTCCAAACGTGTGTAAAAAAAGCCTGTAATTCAAAGTTTTCAATTTCCTTTCTTTCCTTCAATCAGTTGCATGCAGAAAGCAGGGACAGTGAGTGCAACAACCCCAGGCATCTATAATGGGAGGGCATTCAAATCTAAGAGTGAAATAAAAATTTAGTTTTTGCAGTTTGAAATACTCTCTGCTAACTTTGTTATACAAGCACCCTACAATCCCACAAGCTGGCGTGAATGGGAATTCATGTTTTGATAAGTGAGACCAGAGCAGGCCCCACTTATTTGAATCTTAGGCACATACAATCAAGGAGTTGGCCCCAGGCATCACCAGACCTCTGCACGTCACTGTCTTCTTTCTGCTTACCCTTTTTTTTATGATTCATATTCTTACACAGAAAATATGCACACAATTATGTATTTTTTTTGATAACTTCTGGAATTTTAAAAAGTCATTATCCTGCATTGCTGTCAGTGGTATGGTCCACTTAGTGTATTTGTTCCTATTTCTTTTCTGCTTGTTACCATTTTCTAACTTGCTTTAGCAACTAAAACAAAAGTTATTCTTTCTATTAGCTTGATACACATGCAGCAAGATGATCAAATTTCAAATCTGAATTGTTTGTCCATTTAAAATACAGCATTTATTAGAAAATAAATTCAGTTTAAAAAATAGAGTAGTCATAAAAATTACTTCAAAAGATCAGCTTCTCTTTCTTGTTACCCAGGATTGGTTGCTAGACAAGGAGGGAAATTATCCCTTGAGACAGATGTTGATTTCAATGTCATTCAAATTATGTGAAGGTACACATTTATATTTTAATCCAATGACAGGCTTAAAAATATTTCTACAAAATTTTTTAAAAAGCTTTAAAAATAATTCTATTTATTATCAAATCATTCCTGAAAAGTTCAAGAAAATCTTAGTTTAAAAAATTAAGTTATTTTCCACGTCTCCAGATTTATGATATTATTGTTCAGTTCAGAGTAGGTGTTGTCCAGACTGAAAGAGATAGAAATTTATTATTCCAATGTATTATTCCAAACTCAGTCAAATTGTGTATATGTATGTATAATATTGAACATAATCAACAAATTATTAATTAGTAAGAAGGTAAGGGAATTCCTTATAAAAGAAGTTACTCAAATTTTTCAGTGAGAATTTTTGCCTCCTAGTAAACATGCAGGCCTGAAACTACTAAGAATGAATCAGAAAAACTGACTCTGTCCACTTCCAGACAATGAGAATGGCAGTCAAATATTCACTCGTATGATCAGCAGTCATACAAAGAAGTTGGTGGTAGAACCACAGACCTACAGTACGGCCATATACTCAACCACATAAGATATTGTGACAATGTAACAAAATTATCTGTTTCTGTTTCACTGTGTCATTCAAACAAGCCAATTTCTCACTATAGAAATGAATAGTTACACTCTGTTCAGATTTCAATAATTTCTAATAAAGAATTTTATTTAAATCTTACCAAACACAGAGAACTTCTGTAAGTTCATGTGAAACATCTTTCCACTGTTTTTAATTTTCCTGAAGCTTATAGGCAACAATTGACTGATTCACCTCTAATTTTTCAGCAAGTCCAAATGTTGTTCCTTAAGTTCAGAGATCTCCCAGAATGTGATTTATCTTTCAGTTCAAATTCTCCATTTTAAAATTTTGTAAACCACTCCTGACATATGCTTGCACATGCTACACCTTTATCATAAGCTTCAATGATCCATTACCTTGACTAATAAATAAAATAATAAATTCAAAAATAAATAAGAAAACTAAAATACATGACTATCAAAAAATCCTAAAGCATTAACCCAGAACCAAAGAACAAAGATCTGGTTTCTCCTTTCCCAACTTCCCTTAATCACTCCATGATCCATATAGGACTATTAACACATAATCTGAAGACCACTTGAGGCATAAAACTAACAGTCACCATAGTTTTTATTTCTATATCCATACTGCTTGTATTAAAAAATGAACTATCCCCAATATTAAGCATTCCTCCCCATTAATATTGCAAATTTTTATCAGTGTGTGTGTGGTTTGTATTCATTCAAATATTTTTTGTTGAATTCTGTCTGTTTTTTTTTTGTTTTTTATTACATTTTTTTCAGTTTGCATATAAGTAGTCACACAGCCACATTCTTTATGAAGAAACTGACCAAAATTCACATTTGAATATTTATATTGAGTCATTATCAAGAACTTTAATATTATTAGTTACTACAGAGAAAAGATTTGATTCTAGACAAAGTGCACAGATACTATGCTGATCTTAGGCAGAAGTGCTGATCCATATGTAAAAATCCTATCATTTCTTACGGATACAATGTATGTTTATATATTTAAGCACTTTCATTAACTGTCAGCTGTATATAATCGCTTTCTAAGATCATGGTTAAAAATGACTGAGTGAGTGAAGCCTGAGGGTGTTGGCAAAGACCATCCTTCTTTGAGCATTGTGGACTGATGCTATAGAATCACAAAGAAAGAACTGTACCATACAAATGAAGCCACATCACTTGAGGATATTCAACAGTAGCAAAAGCTAAAATGGTTAGCACATGTAACTTGAAGAGAAAATAATGACATAATCAAAATGTTGACATTCCACACTACATCAAATAAAAGGTCAGGAAGGAAACCCCCGTCAATACTAGAAAAAGCAATAACAGCTACTGAAATTAAATCTATTTTCCTGAAAAATTATTTTAAGAGAAATTTATAAATTTCAACCAAAAGCAGCACTGGCTGCTTAGTCAATGAATACTAATGTTTCCTTATAGGGAAACAACTAATATCCCCATTACTATTTAAAAAAAGAGTAAGGACATAACAAAATGTGCCAATATTTTTGGATGGCATAGGCAAACTAATTGAATTATATTAACAAGTAGAAGGTTGCTTAAGTTTAACAACTACTGATGAAATTCTAAGATAGTCACTACATGTTGTGAAGAAGTATTCTTTCCAACTTTTATCCAACCTAATTCTTTCCTTATATTGGTCATATTCAGATATATTTCTTGTGGAATGTTAATGGCTTCAGTATGTGATTTCAATAAGTTCAGCTGGTTTGAGTCACAAAAACATTTGAGCTTTTTCTCCTCAAAACACTAGCAAATACATTTGTATAGCTTTCAATACAGCAGTTTAAAAAATGTGACAGCTTTCATTTTGGAATGCGATATCATAAGGGCAAAAACATTGCAGATTCAGGAAAATATATCAAAGTTTTATTTGGGCATTATTATACAAAAGTTATGATTTTCTTCTATAAAATTTGACCATAAGGATTCTTACACACACACACACACACACACACAGACATATATATAGACAGAGGCAGGGGATCTCCCATCATTTTTCAACGTCAGTGTCCAGCATCTCAGTCCTTAGAACTGACCAACGCATATGTTTTGATTATATTTGTGTTGTCGTGTGCAGAACTGAACACAATTTTTAGAAGAGCTGAATACAGAGAACTAGTATATATATTACAGAAACATTATTTCACTTTTTTTCTAACATGACTTAATATATGTGCAAAATATGTAATAGTCAGTGCCTTAGAACAAGAAGTCAGTGACCAGAGTTTGAATTCTGGTTAAGGTATAACTCAATGTCTTCTCCTCCAGTTGTGGGTTAAATAATAGGGCACTGGGTTCTCTAGCCATGGTTAGCCAGTCTAGGAGAAGAACTCTGAATTCAAAGGATATATTATAGTATATGGTGTCTTCTTTTTTCTTTAATCATTTCACTCTAAGCAAGGCAATAAAGCCACTAAGACACAAAGGGTTACTAAGAGTTAGAGAATATGAAAAAAGAAAAAATACTATTAAGGAGTGAGAACAATAAAAGAACAAGATTTAAGAATACAGAATATGATGATTGGCATTTCATTTAAATTTTTAAAGATTAAAGTTCTGGGAAGCAAAAAGCTGGAAGAGAGAACTTACAGTTACATCTAGCCATTTCAATATAAGATAATGAGATCTTGCTGCCAATCTAGCACTGCACTTAAATTTAAAAAAATACAAGGTACCATGGAGGAAAATTCATCATAACAATCACCATAAAAATATTTATAGAGAAGGTATAAGGAAGCTATGTTAGTGTGGTTGGAAAGTGACTGAAACCAAGATGCCAGGTCAGGACCAATAACATTGCAGATTCTTCTTTGGATTTTATTAAGAATCTCTAAATACATAGCAGAAACATCAGAGCAGATGTGGCAGCAATATACAATGCATGGATGAATGGTAGCCTCATAAAAGTATAAGATTCTGGTGAGGAAAAGTGTCTAGTACGACACAGTGTACCAACTTTCCTTGCATCTTTTGTGAAAGAGTGTAATTTAACCAATTATCTTAAATAAAAATAATTTTTTTCTTTAATTATTTAATTTTTTTTTCTTTTCTCTATTCTTTGCTAATTTCTGTTTCTTCCCATTGTTTCTATAACCAGGAGAAAAATGTATATGAAAGGAAGCCAAAACATGAGTTGTATCTTAAGAAAATTTCTGACAAAGAATATTACATGGTAAGTATGGCTTCTTTGTTTCTTTGACTTTTAAAAAATATTAATATTTTCTTATTCAACATGTAATTGCCAGTGTTATGTTAAACATGACATTTCTACAGTTGTTTAAAAAAATTATGAAATATCTTAATATACACTGATGTGACAAAAAGCATGATAACAGTATGTAAAGGTAATGGCAGATAGAACCACCATGTCATACAAATGTCCTGACCTATATCAATTGAGCTTACTGCCACATCACATTGAAACACTGGTTCTCATAAAATCACTGAAGTTAAGCAACATCAAGCCTGATCAGTATCTAAATGGGCAACTGTTTGGGAATACCAGGTGCTGTAAACTTGGTTGTGCAGGTGGTGTAATTGATAATCACTCAGAATTGTTAAGCGGAGAGCCAAGTTCCAATTCCAGATAGGTTTGTTATATTTACTTACACACAAATACCTTTAGGAAAATTATCCATCTCTTCTCCCCCCACCCCCGCTATGAATTAATTAATAAGACTTTTATCACTAAGACTATTATTCTTTCCAAAAAGAAAAGATAATTGCATACAAAATATTTATTTATATTATTTATTTATTTATATTAAATAACCAACCAACCTATAACAGTTAGGCTCTGATATTTGGTGAGTTAATATGAACACCATCTAAGCTACACATCGCAAGCAATGTGAGAGTTCAAATTGAACAAGATGATGTGTGACAAATGGATATGACGTTCCATTTCTGATGTTGTGAGGACATTTGACATCTGTGGTATCATGTGTCTACTGGGAATATCTGATAGAAAGTATTACCACCCACTATGAACAGTCCAATGGCCAACCATGGTTCATTAATAATGGTAACCAGAGTCATTTGTTCTACAATTGTCTGTGGTAGCAGACAAGCAACATTCACTCAAATTCCATCCACATTCAATGCAGGTAGTAGAGGACACATATCCAGCAGGTCAGTTCAGTGTTCTTTAACTTCTCTATATGTGATATCGGAGCAAAAGACTCACCAGGATGCACCACAATAACTTGTGACTTCATGTTAACACAACTATTGACAGTTTCTCAACAGTTCTATCTACCCAATTTCACTCACAAGTCTTGGTTCAACCCATGCTGTGTAAACACTGGTAAGGCTATTCATAGCAAGTTAATATGAAATCAGTGTTCAGACAGAACATAACACTGAGTGCCGGTTGGTTGGGATATGTGTATACTGGGAAGGCATTACTGTCCACTGTGGAGAGTGCAATTGGTGGCCCCCAACTCCTTGATGATCATGACCAGAAACATCTGGCTAAAGTTGACTGCAATAACAGATAAGTAATGCAAGTTCAAATCACATCCACATTCAATGCAGTTTTACCACACATATACCCAGTAAGCCATTTCAGTGTTCTTTAACTTCCATGTGATATAGGAACAGAAGGCCAACCAGAATGCCACTTTTAACCTCACAACATTGGACACAATGACTCACCTGGGTTCATGATATTACAATTTAAACTTTGGAAGACAAGTAATATGTGATTTAATCCAACAAGTCATAGTTCCAGATGTTTCAAGTTGATAGTAAGACTCAGGTATGGCACCAGACCCCATGAGGTCATGGATCCCAGTTGTCAACAAGAGCATTGTACAGGCTGATGGTGGTTATATACCCAAAATTATAAGAAAGCCGTATGTGAAAGTAATGGTATGTAGTGCCACTGTACCTTAATGTCATGTAAATAGCCAGATCTGTATCAGTTGTGGTAACTGGTAATTCAATGTGAACACTGGCCAAGGTGCTTATGCCAAGGTGACATGAATTATTGGAATTGAACAAGGGATAATAATGAATGTCAGACAGTTGAGATATTTAATTTCTGAAAATGTGAGGACATTTAACATTCCTCAATATACAGATTTACATGTATACTACCATAGCAGTTACTGATAATATGTCCTTAAATCAGAGGCATCTGTCACAAGTACATTCACTGCAAGAGATACCAGACACGGATTCAGTAGCTTCTATGAGATATGGAAGTAGAAGACCCATTTGTGTACCCCTATTAACATCATGTCATTCAACATTGCATTATCTGGACCTGTAATATCAATAATTGTACTATGAAAGTCTGGCAATGTGCGACATGGTCAGATGAGTGTTAGGTCTATCTGTTTGAGGCTGATGGTAGGGTTCAATTATATCAGAGACCCCATGAGGCTATGGACTCCAGTTGTTAACAAGATACTATACAGGCTGATGGTGGTTCTATAATGGTATGGAATGTGTTCCAGTAACTGCAACATTGTACTGCATCAAGACCAATTGCACCAATTCATAGACTCCATATACCCCAACAACAATGGATTATTCGAGCAAGATAATGCACCATCTCATTGGACCTAAGTTGGTTAGAATTGGTTTGAGGAGCATTCTGGAGATTTTTTTATCAATAATGTGGCCACCATGTTTATCCAAATTTACCCCAGTTTAACATTTGTGATACATGGTTGAGAGGTTTATTTATATGGACAGCTATCAAGATGGCATGGATCAACCACTCTCTAAAAGTCTTCCAACCACTTGTAGAATCAATGCCATTTTGAATTGATGCACTTTGCTGGGTTATAGGGTATGCTACACAATGCTAGGCATCTTCCATGGCTTTTGGCACATCAGTGTATATATATGTTTGCTTATTCAGTTAAAATTTAATTTCATTCCAATTTACTGAGTTTTTTAAAAATAGAAAACCTTTTATCTTATTTTAAAGATTTATGAGTTCATGTTGGATATAATGGAGCTAAAGTTGTGGAAAATAAAAATTCTGCATGTAAAGTAAACAAATAAAAATAATGGCAGATTTATTCAACCTTTACAGAAAGGCAATCCTAAAAGCACTAGAAATCCTACCAGAATTTATTATTAGTGGGCACAGCCTTAACAACACAGATGATAGTGTTGATTCCAGACATAGAAAGAAAATTGACAGAACTTCTTGACAAGTTAGTAAAGGAAGGCAGAAAGAAAGGACTAACTATCAATCGGTACAATATAGAATGTATGATTGTAAGCAAGAGAAACTGGCCAAGATACAAGTTACAAATTACAAATGTCAAAATCAAACAAGTATAGAACTTTAAATATCTGGGAAGTGTTTTAGCAGATAACAGAAAATGTAGCGCACCATAATAGCAAAAGATACCTTCCAAAAGTTACACAAAGTATTAAGAAATGGGCAAATTTCATTAAAAACAAAGAAAAGAATGCTGAACTGCTATGTAATCTCAGTCTTCTTATATGGCAGTGAATGCTGGATAATTTTCTCACAGAGCAAGAAGAGATTTGAGGCAACAGAGATGTAGTTCTATAGAAGGACACTGAAAATGCCATGAACAGAGCATGCGAGCAAAGACAATTTTAAATAAAATAGAAACAAAAATGGCACTTTGAATCAAAAAGAGATAAACTTTCTAGCACACATAATGAAGAAAGAAAGCTAGGAAAATTTGACATTCACAGGTTTACCAAAGGAAAGAGGATAGAGGGGAAACAGCAAGTAACAAACTCTATCAAGCTTGTGTGAATGGTTGACAGAATAAAGTTTTGAAGGGACAATAAAAAGAAAAAACTTGCTAAAAGCTACAAAGGATAAGAAGTTGTAGAAGCTATGATCATCCATGTTCTGAAAGGACACAATACATAGAAGAGGAATATATTACTAATTCATTGATGGGCATCTACCAAATAAATGTAATTATTTGTTATGGTATTGACATTTTTTTTTACTAAATATAGGTTTGTCTTTGCATTTTCTGACCTGAAGACACTTACCCATGAAGGTGAAGCATGTTGTCATTAAAAAGCCTTTTCCATTTTCTTTCATTTTTCCAATTTCAACTGTGTATATGATTTTTTTTTTTTTTGCAGTTGAGCTTGCTGTTTTAAATTGTATTTATCTTACTTTTCTTTCTGTTTTACCAGACAGGAGATCTGATTGAAGTTACTGCAGAAAATTGTAACCAAATTCACTACTGTGTAAGTACAATACATGACCTTTATAATGTAACACAAACACATATGATTCTCTTTTCTATGCTTACATATATGAAGACAGTCACAAAAATAATATAAACATACACATATGCATATACAAACACAAACTTCAGTAGATTATCCCCAACAAATGCTTTGTGCCATTTTAAACTTAGTAAATATCTATTCTTGTGTGCCCAATGGAAGTGAGAGATTTAATAAATGAGGTTGTTGGAATTTTTCTTAGTATGCAATAAATAGGTGTCACAATAAATGAGGAGTCAGAAAATCATTTAAAGTTTTAAAAAGTACAAACTTAATAAACTGGGTCATCCTAATAAGCTCTAAAGTTGGCATCAGAAAGTTTTTTTTAAATTAAATAAACATGCTGACCAAGTTATTAGGCAACTAAGAGTACAAGCATATGAAGAAGACCATCTCTTCACTAGGTAGCTTATTTGTGTGTGTTTTTCATTCAGAATTTTATTTCCATCATTTTTACCCATGCGAACACTTTACTATGGGCCCGTAAGTGATTCTTAAGGCCAACTTCCCTTTTACAACCTCTCTTACACACATGGCAAACATAAAGTTTGTCAGTTTTACCTATGTTGGAAACTTACCTGTCCCTCTGTACAATCATGTGTGTCTCTGGTGTGATCTCACATGACTGGCTAAGCCAACCACCAAAAGGGTGAATTTACCTTAAATAATGCAACTGCAACTGTGTTGATGTCCTAATAGCTCTGGGGTAGATTCTATTTCACCCTTCCTAATGGCATACAATCTGATTTTTGTTTCATTTACCAGTAAAACACTTGTTCTGATGCAGCATTTATTTATGTATTTATTTAATTATTTTTTTATAATCTAATTTTTTCTTTCTTTATTGTTAATTACCATTCTTATCTGTATTCTAAAGTATTTTTATTGCTTAATTTTTCTTTTATTTTTATTTTGATTCCAGACTACTACATAGTCTAATAAGGGTTGGATGTTATTTAGTAATTTATTTGTTGCTATCACTACAAATTTAACACAATATATTTTAAAATATTTTAAGGAAAGGTACATATAAAAGTTTCAAAATTCATTATTTTTGTTTTGTGTTTTTTTCAGATGAATATAAAGATTATAAAAAATTTTGTATAAAATATCGAAATATTTTTAAATTGTTAAATATAATTTGTTCCTGAAATCTTGCATTTTAACAATAATTCTCTTTTCTTCAATAAAGAAAACATGGAAATCATTAACGATTATCTTATTTCAGAATAAAACAGAATCATCTATTTAAAAATAACAAAATAATAATTTTGATATATAAACCGATATTTTGTAGATGACCCAAAATCAATCTTAAGAATGATAACCAGTATTAAAAATCATTCATTATTTTCAACAGTTTGAAATGTGACAAAAGAACAAAGTAAAATATGCACTGTTTGATTGTTTCACAGATAATTGGACGTGGCAGGATATTGAATTGTGGAAAAGAATATAAATATTCTGAAAACACCCCTGCAAAAATAATATTTTCTTTAGACGAAAACATGATTCCTGTGGCAGAACTTATTACTTACTGCTTCAAACAAGAATTAATTAATTCAACAGCATCATTGAGCTTTAAAGTTCTTGACATTTGCTCTCAAAAGGTTTGTACAATTATTGTCTTGCTGAAAAGAAAAGAATCTATCAGTTTATTTAAGTGAGATAATATTTAATTATACACATAATATGAAAATGGGCACTGGAACATGTTAAAATTCCTTTTTTTCTTTTTTTTTTTTAAAGTGTACTTCTGAGTACTGAATACAAGGGGATTTAAATACTAGGAAGGAGTGTGACAATAGTTGCTAAAATATAATATGCAGTGTGGAGTCAAATAGTAAATTGAGAGAATATTTCATAAAACTCTTTATGAAATTTTCTAGATTGGAATTTCTTCAGAATATTAATAAGTGGTGGGAGTTGGAATAAGAAAGTCCTGGGTAGAAATATTTCAAAAGATTAAGTACAGGAGAAGGGGGAACACCTATTCATGACTTGAGAGTACATGTTTTTCCTACTATGTGTGTGTATATATATGTATGTATTTATGCATATGAACTGAACAGAAGATTGAAAGATAAGAAACTTAAATTAAATACCTTTGTTTCATATCATTATAAAGTAACAACTATTTTCATATTCTACACCAAAGAATTAATAAATATATTCAACCAAAAATAAAAATATTATGGAATTATTCTACCTTGTGTACTAGAGAATTTCTCTTAATATCCACTAGGTGGCATTGTATAAAGCAGTATAAAAGGAAAGGATGCCATTTTGACTCAAAGGATTCCATGGTGATGTCTCATTTCCCTTCCAGGGAGATTTCTTAGCCCCTGACTGAATCATGTGTTACATACAGGATTTTACTCTATTTTTCTCTGCTACACCTATTTCTATATATAAATATATATATAAAAGCTCATGTATGTGTTGAATTCACTTATTTTGAAAATGTCAAAAAATATACTACCATATGTTGTTTCAATTGGTAACCTCTTCATAACAATATTATCAAGTTTTTAACATTTACTCCCCATTAGGTTCTTGAAAATTATTGTTAATTTGGATATATAGACTTTTAAAAAATGATTAAAAACCAATAATTGAAGACTTGCAATTTTTAAAATCCTTTTTCCAAAAAATTTCAAATAAAAATCAACACACATGTTTTCACTTCCTTTTCAAAATATCTACATTACTTTTCATTAACCTCAATATATCTGTGATATATTGAGATGGCGATAGGTATCAAAACTGTTCCTCACCCTCCTACTATCCTGATCTTGCTCCCTGTGACTTTTGGTTTTTGTCCAAGCTGAAGGAGAACCTCAGGGACAGTGGTTTTGAAGACACTGAGCAGATGAAGTAGGCTGTTATAAGGGACCTGGATGCCTTCACTTTTGGATGACTTCCATGGGACCTTCATGAAGTGGCTGGAGTGCTACAAGGGCATTGAAGTCTGAGGATCCTACTTTGAAAGAGATTGGAATTTTTTACTTCCCTAAAATTAGTAAATGTCTCTCCTGAAAGCTTCTGAAATGCACTTCATACATTGCCCAAGTATCTCAAGTTCATGGGTGTCAAAAAGAGTGAACTCATTTCAAAAGATATGACATTAAAATTATTTGAACTATAAATTTATGAAAACAAAACTGTTTAAAATTTTATTTCATAAGTTTTACAATTCATCTCTATTTCTTTTTTTTTAATCTTTCTCCAAATCACATAAGCAAAAGATATACAAATTCATTTTGCAATGAAGAATGTTTATTAAGTTTGAATAACTTTAGAATTTGTTGATTCAGGTATCATATCCATTATGATTTCAAAGAAAATATAATCTGTTAATTGCACTCATTTAGTTCCCAAAATAAGTGATTTCTCATTGTGTAATATCTTTGGGAGTAAGCAGTAAACAATAGGAGTTACAGGAGGAACTAGATCAGCTGATTTTATTTAAGAAATTCACTTCTTCATTTCTGTATTATGAGTAATGATTATATTTGTCAGGTTTCCAACTTCCTATTTGGTAGAATGTAATTTTGGCATGATTCTCTTCAATCAGTAGGGAACATGGAGAGTCTAACAACTATAGGTGTAAGAAGTGAGATCACTGAGCCAAGTTCAAATTCTACACAATTCCATTTTGTTCACTTTGTGCTAATGCCCTTAAAAAAGACATAAATGCACCTTTTCTCTAGTTATGGATTAAATAGCAGGGAAAACAACTCTCTATGAGAAGGAAAATAATTTCAAAGCCAGCCAGAAAGGGAATGTGCTCCATCCGGCTATCTTGACTTGGACATGCCACTATATCTATGACTGCAGTATATGTGGTGTTCCTATGGCTATAATGGGTTATGGAACATGTGAAATGATGTGACATAACCTTCAATCAAAGAAATCAGCCTGTATTAATTTAAATATTTTTAAGTAAATATTTATAAACTTTATATCATCTTATCAAGTCTTTTTAAGAAACCAAGTAGTTACTGAACATGTATTTAAGATTGTTTCATGTTCAAAAGCATTTACACAGACTTGTGGATGATTAATTATTTTCAACTCTTCAACTTTTATCTCACAGAAAAAATGTTGCTAGCCTCTCACTACTCTGTTGCTATTACTATGGCAGATGTTCAGATGATTTAGTTCCACTAGTTTAGACCATATCACCTAGGACCCACCATGCCATGTTCTTGGTGGTAAATCATTCCCATTCCCCTTGTGTTTCTTTGATGAGGTGTAAGTTCTATTAAGACAGCTTCTTCCTAAGAACTGTTACTTTGTGGAACAGACTCACAAGAGGATGCTTCCCTGATCACTCCAGTCTTAACCTCCTCAGGTCTAGAGTCAAATGTTATTTATTCTACATATTTGAATACAAGGTTGGTGTAGATAGAATAAATTTCCAGTAACCACAAACACTATTTTCAAAAAAAGTGCTTAATACAGAGTAGAATGAATAATATTTATTTAAAAATTATAACATATGTATGTTATAACACCACTACAAAAATAGCCATTTTGTTTCAACACTTCAAGTGTCTTGTCAAGTGATGGTGTTGCCTTCCCTGCTTCCTTCTTTCTCCTCTCTTATAACAATCTCACTCAGTAACCCTCTACATTGAATGGCTTTTGAGCCTTATATTGAGTGAGCCTAAAGTAAAAAAAAATAAATTAAATTATATATATATATTTATTTACAATATGATGAACGAGTTCAATAATAAACTCTCATACAACTAAATAAGTTATTTTAATGTTTTTTTCCAATAAAAACAGTATAAGCTGAAATTCCCATGTTATATGCTATATATCCTGAGAACAACATAAGTTATTTAATAATAAATTTATTTTTAAAACACTGGCATGCATAATAAAATCTTATATAGTATAAGTTATTCAAATTAATATTTTGGATACTGTGGTTTTTAGTGTTTAGTAAAAAAAATAATCACAAATTCTAAAATGATTTGGTTTCAATATAATGTTCAATATAATGTTCAATATAATGTTCAATATCTTTTATAGAAATCTTTTAGAAATCAGAAGGTATTTTTTTTAAATTTATATTGCTTATCATTCTTGAGTGTAAAATGTTTTTTTTACAGAAACAGTTGCAGGTGCAGATCCTACCCAAAAAGAAATTCTACTCACCTAAAGAAAAAATCATCATTCAAATGAAAGGATCTCAAGACCAGACAATTGGGTTGTCACTTGTTGATGATGCTGTACATGTCATAAGCAACAGATACAGACTAACAACTGATTTTGTAAGTATGTGATATGTCCTGAAAAGGGATATATTTGTTCGAAGTAGCAAAGTGGTTTTGGACTACTGTAACCGAGTAGGACAATCTAGAAGGTAACCATAATGGACTGGTCCTTGTCGTAGTGGTAAGCAATGGGCGTAGGCAATAGGCAAAGACTATAGGCGTAGCCAATAGGCATCATCCTGTACCTCCACATCAGTCTGTATTTATGGCTGACACCCGCCAATCATATTACTGTGAGGAGGAACCCAGGTGTATGCATATTCATTACATCAGTATGAAAAAGAGAGTAATAATAATACCTGGTTCTTTGTAAGCAGCATGTGAAACAAGATAAATATCATTGGATAAAGAAGACAGATGACTGATAAAAGAAAATGTAATGTTATTGTGGAATTATTTCATCTTGTCTGCCAGGAGATTTTTCCTAATGTCCACTAGGTGGTGCTTTATAAAGCAGTATAAAAGAAATGATACCAACCTTCTTGCCTTTCTTTTGTGCTTTACCTATGAGATGCTGTGACAGTATATATCTTGTTTCCTCTTTCGGGATTTCTTAATCCCCAGGCATGCAATGTGTCACATCCAACACACCTCCTGTTAAAAAAAACTCATGTGACCACAGTATCATATACAACCTAAATATATATATATATATATATATATATATATATATATATATATATATAATATTAAAATATTTTTATTATAATAGATTACAATAAAAACATTTTACATTGCTACAAGAAAACTTTAATGTTTCAAACTTTAATCATTCCTCATCAGCAATGGTAGATTACATATAACACAAATGATCTATTTGGGAAATTTGAAAACAAATTGTTACCTCTTTTAAAAGTTAAAAACTTGGGGGAAGCATATTGTCAGAATTAAAACATATACTTGTGTGCATGTTTGAATTAACCAATTAAAAGTCAGATCCTTGCTAAAATAGAAAGATGAAAAATAAGATCAGAGGGTGGAGGGAGGTGGGTTATAAAAGTGATACAGTGATATGTCAGTGTCAAACATAATGTAATGAAATCCAAAGTTCAGATTTGGTGAAGCAGAAATAGAGTAACCTTGAACAAAAAAAAATTATTTTTAAGAATTTTTCAAAATTTTTTATACTACAGTAACTTCTTAAAAGAACTGAATAGATAAAGTTAAAAGAAATTTATTTGTGGAACTTTAATATACAATGCTAATTTTATTGAATGATCCATAAAAACAGGGCAGTATTAAAGTTGAAAAATAAATAAAAATTGAGTGAACCATTATATACTTATAAAATAATGGCTATGTAATTGTAATGCATAAAATTCTTTTAACAATGTTTTAATGTAAAATTTAGACAATGCCTACATAAAACTGTTAATTCATTTCTTTGGTTTAGCAGAACTTTATTTTAGGAAACTTTATAATATGCAGCTTTTCTTGTAATCACAAGGGGCATGGGACATATAAAGATTTACAGATTCTCATTGTTTTTAATATTTTCCATTTAACCATAGGAGTTTTACTAATTTCTTTTAAATGCCAAAAATATTTAGAAAAGGATGTTTGATTATGGTAGGCATTGTTGTTGAAAGAAGATATATGCTGATACCACCTCACTTTAAAGGGATTTTTTTTTTGTACTGCCAATATAAAATTTCTTAACAGTTGGATTTTCACAAGATGAAATGGTACATTGATAAACAATAGATCCAGTAAGATGCCTATTCTGTAATGGACATTCATTTGGACTTCTACAATTACACAATTTTTTTTCCTTATTGCTTTCTGTTTTGGAATAACGATTGTTACTTTGGTTTAAGTGTAGATTTAAAATTTTATTATTATGTTTTTTAATAATTTTTCTAAATTATCTGTACAACTGTAACTTAATTTAAGTGTATTTTTATTAAAAATCTTGCTTAGAGAAGTATTACTGGGGAAATGTTTCTCAATTAAATTGGGAAACTTCTGCCCTAACTTAGTACTAACCGTTTGGTTAAATGGGGTGGTATACCAAATGATTTTTCTATTTCTATTTTTTTTTCTGCTATCACTATTATGTTTTCTGTATTTAATGTCAGGGCATTTATAGCCACTATTTTTAAGGCATTGTTGTAAAAATTGCTATGTTTATAAAATACATCTTCATTGGAAGAGTTATTACAAATTCTATATTCTATGGAGGAGGGTATGTGTTTGATTCCTTTGTACAGAGTTTGCTAACCCTGTCACTAATTTTAAGTTTGTCTATAATAATTTTGCTAGTTTCATTAATTCTGTCAACCAAGTTAACTAAGCCTTCATAGTAATTTTATAGAAATTTTATTATATATATATATATATCTCACACAAGAAATATACCAGTTTAACAAATAGATAAACCAGTTCAGCTGGGTAGTTGTTAGTTTACAAGTCAGATTTTCTTAATAGTTGCCAACTTATTGGCAACTGTCAAGAGTATGATTACTTTGGAAATATATTGTGGTGTCAAACTGCTGTGTATTCTTGGCCCTCACAAAGGGTGGAAAAATGTCTTAAGCAGGTGGATGCATAGTTCTTTACATAACACACCCATGCCACATATAAAAACAAAAAAAAAATAATAATTAAATTTAAATTGTAAAATTTTTGTGTCCCCTCTCCTTCATGTGCATGTGTAGTTACATCCATGGAAATATCACTTTAGTCCAATGAACTCCGAAAGGACAAATTACATCATGTAAAATATTTTTTCAATGTCATTAATTTTCCTAACATTGTTCTGGCATATAAAAATTTATATATCATTTTCTCACATACATACACATAAATGTTATTAAAATTTCAAATCAATCAAAAGTACTGGTTTTGCTGTTAAAGAAAATAAAGCTCTTTTTTGATAAATTCATTAACATTTTCCAGGTGAGAAGAAAGATGCTGTCCCATAATCTTGAGTCCTTTGCCAGCTTGCAGAAACTACATAAATTCAAATTCTCAGTAAGTAGACATTATTGCAATCATCAACATTAATGTACATTACACGTGATCAGCTGAGCTAATTATTTATCAAATATTAATTGCATAATAAGAGCAATTTCAATAGAAAAGAAATAGATTTATATATATTTAAAATATTATCAGTTTTATATGGATAACAATTACAGACTCTAAATAAATACCTACTGGTTTTGCCTCAACATTTTGGCAAGCTGCTTATAATAAAATTGAATATAATTGTTACCATCAAACAAGAGGGTCTCAATTTGTATTGTGTGCCATAAGCAATGTAAGAAAGAGTCTGGTCCCACCTAGCATGGAAAGATAAATAATATCAATCATGAAAACATGGTACAAATACATTTTACAATTTACAGCAGTGTAATAGAACATTTAAAAGCCTTTCTGTTTTTAAGAATCATAGCTTGATACCTGAGTGTGCTGTAGCAGCAGATGGTGGACAGGTAGTTCACCTCATAATCAATTAGATAGCCATATATATTTGGTAATCTGTCTTATTAACCCTGGTGTAGACTGAGTTTGTGTCAGAAATAGAAATTTAACTGTGAAAGCTAAAAAAAAAAAAGCAGTCAAAATACCAATGGAGAATTTATCCATTCCAATGTTTCAGTCAGACAAAAGGCACAAAACAGAGGTCAAGGGAGGGTGGAAGGTATTTGTCTTAAAGGCAAGAAGTTTTATAAAATTAAACCCGAATATTAACCTTATGAGATTAACTTGGGGCTACATGAAGAATGAAATATTAATTTAAAATTAAAAGAGGAATAAAAAGGGGTTTTAAAATAATAAAAGGATATAAGGGATTAATAGAAAGAGAGTTGGGGAGATTTTAGAGTAGGGGAAAGTTTATAAATTAGAATTAATATAGGTAAAGGGGTTATAGAAGGTGGGGAATATAGAAATTAGAATTAGTTATACATTCAATATTTGAAGAGAGGGGAGTGAATAATATACAAATTAACTCTTCAAATGTCGAATGTATAACCAGTTCTAATTAGATTTTATTCTTTGTTAATTATATTGCTCTGTAATAATAAACACATTGAGCACTTTTTGTGGATCAGTTTTAATATTTTATATTACTAGGAACTAAGATCCATTTGGATTATATACCAATGGATTTGTTACCTTTACTATATATATATATATACTAGCAGTAGAGCCCGGCGTTGCCCGGGGATATAACAGTAAGAGATAGACCAAGTATCCACCATCATAAAGACTGAAAAATAAAATTGACAAAGATTATTGTTTAAGGTTGACGGACACACATGTCTTAATTAGTTTTTTTTTTTTGTTTTTTTTTTTTTACGAATTGGTCAAACCCAAACTCAAACAAAAACATTGTTTTCAATCGTTATGAGTCTCCCAATTGAATAGAATTTTATTCTAAATAATTGTCTTGTAAATGGAATTTTTAAAGCATTCTGAATGTTAAAAATAAAGAAAAAAGTGTGCAAGACAATAAGAAACACTACCTGCCAAGAAAAAAAAAAAGTGAAGTTTTGTTTTATCAGCTGAAAAATATAGGAAATCCATTCTCATATTTAAAGGAACCCACACAAAAAACCCGATGTGAGTTGTCCCCCTTCCATTTTCACGATGTCTCTTAATCGTGTTTTCAAATTGATTTTGTGCAAAAACAATTATATTTTTCCCATTTTTGGCACTGTTAGAACCACCACAAGGTAATTTTATGTAGTCCTGTGAAGTTTTGTTGAAATCGGTTGAAAAATGTAGGAAAACCGATCCAATATATAAACGTTACAGACACACACACACACCCACAATCTGCATTTTATAATAAGTAAGATATATATATATATATATATATATATATCCATGAATTTTGCAAAAAGATGCTGGCCTGACCCATTTCCACAAATTTGTATAAATGCCCAAATACTAGAATTTTTGCAATTCCTTCTTAGTAAATCCAAAAGGTTTTCTCATGCACTTGATATATATATATATATATATATATATATATATATATATATGTACTAACAGAAGTACTCATACTTACCTGAATTTCTAAATGTCTAAAATAAATACAATCATGAGTTCATTATGCATTGTATCAGTTATTTAAAAAAAAGAAGATATTGACAATTTTCAGTAATTCTTCTAATTAACATGTGATAACCTCTAATGTCCTCAAAAATCATCACCACATATCCTATGGTCATCGATAAATCACATTATCCTTATAGACTAATTTTTAGCCTCCTGGATCCAACTGTTTGGTTGGCCATAATCTCTTGCTTTATCAATTTACTTAATCCAATTCTTCTTCATTAATCACAAATATTGAATATTAAAGAATATAAATTTCAGATCAAAATTCAGTTAATGACACTATCAGGGTAATGAATGACCCTCACAAATGTTTTGGTGATGATTGGTCACCCTGAACAGACATCATCTTGAATCAACATTTTATTGGCTTTGAAATAAGCATGCTACTCAAAAATCTGAATGTATGCTAAAGCCTAATGAAAAGACTTTTTGTAGCAGATTTTCCAATCTTCACTCAAAATTTGATGGAGACATGTTTTATGAATTTGTCAGCCATTGTAAAGATCTCAGAACCATTCTACTACAACATTACAAAATCTCTCATAATAATTGATATGATTAGTCAGGATGAAACCTATTGGCAATCTGAGTGGAATGGTTACCAATGAGGGTTATCTGCATGAGCATTTGCACTGAATGACATAATCATAGCATATATTGTTAAAGGAATTTTCACATACTCCTAAATTTATAAATGTTTGGAAAAATAGTATAAATTTTTCTGAGTTGTGGTAAAAGATTAAAAACTAACACGCAAACTTATTTCCTGATAAGCATAGAAATATGGTAAAATATTTTCTGAAATACTCCATAGCAGTCATTTTTTTCTATGTTTTAACCCCTTCCCCAGCATAGATGTGTATATATATTTTTACTGAAAATGTCTTTTTCAGACACAGATGAATAAACACACCAAAACATAACATTAAAAGACCAGCTACAGACGTATTTATATGTAGATCTTGATTCTTTTTATACTTTTCTGAGCTTGAAACAAGTCCAGTTGTTAACTCATATGTCTGTTAGAGGTATTAGCCACCACATGGGTATGTCAAGGTACAATATATTATATGGTTACAATGCTTTTTAATATAGTAACTAAGAAACTGAGACACCTTAAAGAACCAAAGTAGTGACTAACACCTCCAACAGACATATGAGTTGACAATTGAACTCACTCCAAGCTCAGAATTGTATAAAAATAATTAAGATCAATAAAACAATTTGTCTGAAAATGAAACATTTTTCCCAAAATAGTTAGCAAGGAAAGGGTTAATTTTATTGATATAATTTGAATAGATTTAAAGATATGACCAAGTTTCAAACCGTAGATCTTTCACATATCAGCTGATCTTTTAACAATTTTTTTTTCTCATAACCTCTTCTTCTTGTAATTGTTCAAGTTTGCTTTCCTGATATTACAAATATTTTTGTAAATCCCATAAGATGAACATTGCTCAGTTAAGGAAAACAAGCATACAATTATGGAAAAAGCCATGACAATAATTGGTATGATATAAAATGACTCCACTGTTTTTGTTCTTTTTACTTCAGCATGCTGGGTATAATATTCATGAAGTACAACCTGAAAAGAAAGAGGCTTTGATCATCTTGGACAAAGCTTCTCCTACACACCAACATGATTTGGAGGGTGACATAGAAGTAAGCATTTTCTGATTTTTTTTCTTACAGTTGTTTTTTTACTTCCTGAAAACAATCCCTGTATTTTCAGTCCCCAAATTACTACCTATCACAGTTATAATGTTGATGTTTCTATTGGATCTTGACTATTTCTTTGAGGAGTGGCTATTATGGTGCATAATCTCCAAATATTTTCTTCTTCAACAATGGATTTCTATGCAAAATAATTTAAATTATGATTTTAATTTAATTCTTTATTATTGAAATTAAAATGGAATAGAATTCTATTCATCTAAAAATATTTTACAAAAAAAAAGTTCTGTTTTTTATATTTTAAAACTGACATATTTTCTTCTTCTGTGCCTACTTATATTTGCAAATCGTGTTTTTGAAGTTTTAACGAATATTGCTTCACATACATTATTTACATTATTCAGACCGTTATCCTCATCTTCATTGTTATATTCACAACATTTCAGCAGTTGTACACTCCAGCCTTCTTCATGTGATAAGAATTTCAAATTGAACCCTTTATTTCATCCACCAGGGTAGATTGTTCTAGTTCCTCTTCCTTGAGGACACATGGCCCAGTGGATAAAGGTGTTGGTTAGATCCAGTGACTAGACCCAAAGAGTTGTGAGTTCAATACCTGGCTACAGCAATAGTGAACCAAAACTTGGAGAGTTGAGTTAAAGGGAAATGGGACATCTGGAAGAGGTATGGCATGTGGAACTAGAACAATCTACCCCGGTGGACAAAATAGTGTGTTCAGTTTGAAATTCCAATCACCTGAAGAAGGCCGAAACATACAATGGCCAAAACATACAATGGCCAAAAAATTGTGAATATGACAATGAAGATGAGGATAACAGTACAAATAATGTAAATAATGTAAGTAACCATAATAACTCATCTCAGAAATAGAGAAATATTGCTTCAATTTAATTATTATTGAAAAGTACTCACATTGCATTGCTTTGCTTATCAAACCAAAAGAAACAATTGTTATTTTATAACTGAAATAATTATTTTTATAGAAATTTGTAAGCTTTAAAACAGCCAGATTTTTATGCTGTACTGTTTACTTGTTTGAACTTTTAGGTAAACTCTATAGAAAAAAATATTAGGATAATCTATAACATTTACTGGAAAAAAACCATGCAGAGAGGAAATAAGTAAGCACACAAAAAATAGAATGAGGAGTAAGACAAGGATGTGTTTTGTCACCAGATTTATTTAATTTATACAGCCTTAAGGAGGCACAGTGGAGTAATGGATAGTGGCTCGGATTGAGGAATCAGAGAACCCAGTTTGAATTCCAGTCAAGTTCATTACATTCATTTAAGTGATAATAACATTGAGAAAGGTATGAATCCATCTTTTCTCCATCCAGTCACGGGTAAATAGCAGAACAGACTGGGTGCTATAGCCTTGGATGACATCCAGTCTAAAAGAAGGAAATCAGCCTTGAAAGGGTTGGGCTTTGTCAAGCTATCTTGCTCAGGAAACACCACTGCTACTGCTGCCTATATGGTGCCACAACAACCCTAGAGGGTTACAAGTTAAAAAAAATGCAGCCATCTGATCCTAACAGAACAAAAAGATTTACCATGATTTGCTGTCAGTGGCCATGGTCTTAACAATACAGTGTGCAGGAAAAGTAATGAAGGCTCAAATCCTGACAGAGAGCTCATATTTTTCTTTAAGATTTATTGAATATTCAGGCGAGTAGATGAAAATAAATAAATATACTGTTTAATAGATAAACAGAACATCTATTCAAATATGTGTATCCACTAAAAATAATGTTTAAAGTGATAAAATATATATATATACTAGCAGAGCTACTCAGACTTACCTGCATTTTTAAATGTTTAAAATAAATACAATCATGAGTTCATTATATTTTATATCAGTCATTTAAAGAAAAATACTGACAATTTTCAGTAATTCTTCTAATTGTCATGTGGTAACCTCTAATGTCTTCAGAAGTACTACTTATTCTATGTTCCTCCACCAATCACTTTATCCTTATAGATTAATTTTTAGCTTTAGAATTTGGCTATTTCGCTGGCTGGCCATAATCTCTTTCTTTATCAATGTACTTAATCCAATGCTTTTCTATTAATCACAAATATTGAATATTAAACAATATACATTTCTGTCTATGTTTCTGAGATGAGATATTGTAACTATTTACATTGTTCAGACTAGATTATTCTAGTTCCATTAAACTGAGATATCCAGAAAAGGCATGGCATATAGAACTAGAACAATCTACCCCTGTGTACTAATTAAAGGGTTCAGTTCAAAATTCCATTGTATATCACCTGATGAAGGCCAGAGCATACAATGGCTGAAACATTGTGAATATGACACTAAAGATGAAAACAACAGTCCAAACAATGTAAAAAGTGTAAATATAAATTTCAGATCAAAATTCAGCTAATAACTCTATCAGCATATGAATGATCCTCACAAATGTTTTCCTTTTTCTGAGATTTAGGCACCCTGAATAGACATAATCGTGAACCAACATTTGATTGACCTTGAAATAAGCATGCTAATAAAAAGTCTGTGTTTGATTTGTCGTAGCCATAAAGAAATACATAAATAAAAATTAATTATACTATCATTGTGTTGTGTCCATAAAAAAAGATTAATTAATGTCAAAAATAAATATAATAAGACAATTATAATTATCATTAATTCACTCATTCTAAAAAAATGAAAATCAACCCCACTTTTATTCTCTACACACACAAACACATGACATTATCACTATTAACCCCAGACACTTGTATTTTCTAACTAAATTACATGGACACTCATTACATACATCTATAAAAAAAACTATAGGAATTGCTTATTCATTACCTTATCCTTCTGTTGGATTCCAATCCATATTTGATTTACAATTGACCCTAAACTCATAATTTTATTTAGTATTACTGTCTCTCATGTCTCCAACACTGCATAGCAACCAGACAATAAATAATACTTGTTTTGTTGTTTCCATATCTTGCTGTTTCTCATTTTTATGAGTATCCTTGCATATATAAATGTTAAGGGGTTTATAATTATTTACTCAGAGTTATAACTCCCCTACAGATTGAAAGAATGTGCACCACAAGTCTGAAGAGTTTTGGTAGCAGAAGTACTGAGCTTTACTCAAAATTTCATTCAGACATGTTTCCTGAATTTGTCTACCATTGTAAAGATCTCAGAACCATTCCACTACAACATTACAAAATCTCTCATAATAATTGAATATGAGTAAATAGGATGAAGTCTATTGGCAGATTGGGTCAAATGTTGCTTAGAACTACAAGGAATAGGAAGTTGTGGGACGCCATGATAAACCATGTCCTTTAGTGAGTTAGCACATAAATGATGATGAATATTAACTTCTTTATAATAAAACTGCCTTCTGCAAACATCTGAGATATTAGGAATCAGTATGTAAAGACAACTCTTATTTTTATTTTATTTTATTTATTTTTTTACTTTTTATTTTTTTGAAAATGCAGTTTGTCCTAATTCCCAATTGTAATTCTGGTGCATTTTATATTTCACAAGGAATTTTAATTTGAAAAAAAAGATATAAATGAGAAATCATGAACTGTTACAGCCATTGTCTTTCATAAGGAAAAATTTCTCAATTCAATTAGCTGGAATATAGTCATACCATTTCTATCCAGTCATGTAGAAATAAAATTACTAAATTATACATTTTTTTGCTTTCTTATAGGTGTCCGATAAATACCATGTTCCAAAAGCTTTACCCCAAAGATCAGATTTAGGTACTATGGATTTCTTACTTTGTTTCATTAATCTTTCATTTTTACTTTGTTTCATTAAATTTTAAAATTATTTTATAACTCACAATTCTACCAAGAAAATATATTCAGAAAATATTTGACATTCAAAATGATTAATATTCTGAATACTTGACCAAAACAATTTTAATATAATCACAATTTATATAATTTTAATGTAATATCAAACTGAATATTAACTTATGAATATGAGATGGTTTTCAAATTTGATATTTCCACAAATGGTATCAATCAAGATTTTTAAATTCTTAAAGTTTAAATGCCAAATTTTCATGAATACAGAAATGTTAAATTCAACATTTTTCTTCCATAACATTTAAAAACATTATGTTTTTAAAAAAAACCCTTTGTCTCCATCATCATTTATCAATAATACTTTATATAAGTACCTATTTAGTGATTATAATTATTGAAATTTTACTGCTGTTTATTTAATACTAGGTCAGAGCATTTTTAAGTAAATTTCAAAGACAATATTTAGATATTTGTACATAGATTTATTCAATCACATATTTGCCATCCTTGAAGAAACCTCATGATTCCATTATTCCAGAATTTGGCATCTTTTGGGCAACAAATTGATCTAAGTGATTTTACAGGCTTCCAGAGAATTGATGTTAATCATATTAAGAGTATTTTGTAGGGACTGAAATAAGTGCTAATCCAAAAGTGCAAAGTCAGATGAGTACAGCAAGGATAGTAGGACATCCCAGCCAAACTGTACCAATTGTAGCCAGGTCAGTAGAAAGAGGTCTGTTGTTGTCAGATGGAAGACAACACTTTTCTAATTGACCAATTCAGGATGCTTTTAATTGATGGCTGCCTTTTAATTGGTCCAATTGGGAACAGTACTTGTCGAAATGCTAGATCTGATTTTGCAAAAGGAACTTGTAATATACAATGCCTTTCTAATCCCACCAGATGCAAAGTTCATCACTTCTTCAGATGAAAACCATCTTTTGGGAGGATTAATAGTGATTCATTTCATTTTCCCCAGGAATTTTACCACTCCACATTGTAAACAATTCATTTTTAATTGCCTTTCTCTCAGGTCATTTTCCTTGAGTTTGTACAGAGAATTGCTGATAAAAATGCAGTTCATTAAATTTTTTTTCCCATTAAATTGAGAAGTAACCATTGTAGTGATTTACATATCCATGTCTTTTCAAATGCCTTACAATGCTCAGTAAAATGTGGCTTATCTATGAGCTGTCCCATGTCATGTCACTTGAATTATTTTTAATCAAATATTTCAATTTGGTTATCATCAATGACTGCAGGCCTGCCAGAATGTTTTCCCTCTTACAAATCAAAATGTTCATTTCTGAATCAAGTAAGCAACAAAAAAATACTCTCAGCTATGGCACCTTCTCTGTAAATGGTATATATGTTTTTGTTGTTTGTACAACATTTTTTCCTTTCTGGAAATGAAAGAGAATCAGTTGATGAAAATGCATCCCATTTTCCTCTATTACCACTTTAAATGTAAAAGCATTTAAAAATCACAGACCATGCATGAATCATATAGATAGACATTTTAAAATGTCACCTTTCAGATTATGTATGAATGTCAAAAATATCAGTTACATGTAGAACGTAATCCCATTGAAATATCACCTATTGAAAAGCAGTATGAACTTTTCTACCAACCCAATATATATACTTTCCAAAGCACAAAGAAAATTAATGTTTACATAAATTAAGCCATGTTTATAATTTAAGGTGAATTTAGAATTACATAATTTCCAAAATTTAGAACCATTAGATTATTTAAAAATATAAAAACCTTCAATATCCTTATTGTTTCATCCACAACCATAAGAGAAAGACATAAAACTCAAAAAAAGATAATGATATTAACAGCAACAACAACAATAACAATGACAATCTATATAAAGACATGCACATAATACTACCTAACTCCTTAACATCTAGTATTCAAAACAATTTATCCAATCTTAACAAAATCAAAATAGTTACAACCATATCCAAAACTATTATGAATATGATCAGAACTCAAAGTACCCATAACAATAATAATTCCAAAGCTATATATAAAATAAATATATTTATTTATATACTGCCACAACTGCTCCTTACAATACATTAGGGAAATTTGCAGAAATTTAAAAAAAAAGTTATGTCTATGAACACCAAAAAGATCTTTATACATTTATCAAATTTTAAGTTCAACCACAACTTTGATCTAAAGAATGCCATATTTATTAAAAGAGAGAGTAACTTACTTGCTTCGAAATTTCTTGAGAGTGCCACTATCAGATCTTACCAAAATATAAATATGCATCCTGGATTTTTTCAAATATATCCTTTCCTAAAAGAAACCAACATACATGACTACAATTTTTTTTTAATTAAAAGAAAATGGTTAAATTCAAAACCTTCAATTATTTAAAAATCTATAATGTATAAATTAACATCAAACTAAAATAATACAAATAATAATTAAATTACAAAAAAAAATCAACATTTACTCATTTTCATTTATTAGACATTAAATGACATCACTTAGCATCCTCTATAATTTCTCTTGACTTTCACTTAGCCTAATGTATATTTATGAGGGTTCTTAAATTTTAAAATTCTGAAAAACTAACATTTTTACTTTTGTTTATAAATACTTGTTGCAAAATAAAATCCTTACATTTGCCTTGATAAAGTCCATCAGAGGATGAAACACTAAGATAAGTTTTGTTTTTATTCATATTGCTTCTTTTCTTTTAAAAGGTCAGAAAATATATAATTACTTCCCAGCATCAAAATTATTTAAAAGTTACAGCTTAAGGTAAGTAATATGATAGCATCTTACATTTTTATTCTTGAAAATTTATGAATAAAATAGCAACTTTAAAAAAATAAATTCAAAAAGATTTTTTGTATTAGTATATTTCTACTTACTTTTTAGTTTCCATATTGTGATTTTTTTGTTTTTTGTCACGCATAGATGAACAAATAATGTCAAGATAAAAATCAAAATTAAAGGTCTTTACTTGTAAATAATTAGCAGTTAGAAAATTGAAACAAAACCTATATATTTTGAAAGTGATTCCTAGAGACTCAGTTTATAAAAAAAATAATTTGAGGGAATTTTTTTTTTGTTTTATTTTAATACCATATCTCTTCAGAATGTAGACAATCATGGTTCACCAAAAATTCCTTTTCTTTATTATCTGTGAATTGTCATATATTCTTAGAAAATTTCAAAATTTTCCTTCTCTAAAACTGGTTGCCACTCAGGGCAAAGTAATCCAGTCTATTCCAGAGCTTGTAGGATAAGAAATGGATCCATACCTTTCCAAAGTGAAAGTGAATGCAATGAACTTAATCATAATTTTTTTTAACTGTGGACAGGGCAGAATAGAGACACTAATTTGATTGATTGATTCATTTTCTACTGATTATCAACCTTTTGCAGGTTATTTAAAGCCAGAAAATATTTTAAGAATTTATTTTTATTTTTGTTTTTTTTTTAGGTAATAATGATTTAGTGATACAAGTCTTACTAATTAACTTATAGTTAACAGAAGTGGATTTATATCTTTCCTAAGGCTTTTTGTATGTAAGTGAATATAACAAACCCAACTGGAATTGGAACACAGCTCTCCAACTAACAATTCCAAACCATTATCCATTATACCACCGATATGTCCAAACTTACAACATTATTAGATTTGGTGAGGCGTCATAACCTACTTGGGTTAGGAATCTAATGCAATCAAATTAAAACCCCCAGAAATCCATCTCAGCAAATTTCCACTGCAGTGTGTCTGTCAATGTTGCCTAGATTCCTTGCTGATTGACTCCCGCTATCTTGCTGACCTTTTTCCTTCTTTATGTAAACTTTATCACTAATAAAATGCTATGACTCCTTTCCTCTCACTATTTCAACATTTTCTACCTGGAAAGTAGCATAAATTTATGTCTACTGAATATTTTTTCTTGTTTTTTCTTATCTACAGCCATGGTAAGGTATTAAATGAGACTCTAATTTTGCCTGACTCTCTGACCCGTTGGCGCTTTCAGGCTATATCACTCTCAAAAAATAGTCCATTTTGTGTCTATGAACCTCCACCCATTATTACATTTAAATATATTGTTCCTGAGTTACATACTCCAAAATATGTGAAGATATATGGAATGTTTGAAGTCAAATTTATTCTCTACAACTATGGACACAAAGCAGTTAATGTAAGTGATATTATTAATTATGCATGCATATATATATATATATATATATATATATATATATATATATATATATATATAATAGGCCATTATAATGAAATTAGAGAAATAAAAACACAACAAAATGATGGCAATATTAGCAATAAGATTGATGATATTTATTTATTATATATTAGTAGGCCTTTTGACTAAATTTGTGGTGAATATGAAATAAAAATGACTCTCTTTTCTCTACTGTTTTCAAATTTGCGAGCCTATGCAAAAATTTATTTTGACCAATAGAAAAAGGGATTGGCTCTGGACTGAAGAAAAGACCAGGGCAAAGTTTAACGAGTCTATGTGAAAAGAAGAGGATCCATACCTTTCCCAAGGCTATTGGCACATAAGTGAATATAATGGATTTGACTGGAATTCAAACTCGGCCCTCAGATTCCTCAATCCAAGCCACTATTCATTATGCCACCATGCCTCCCAAAAGGCCTACTAATATATTATAAATATCATCAATCTTACTGCCAATATTGTTATCATTTCATTGGCTTTTTATTCCTCAAATTTCATTAACCAGCTTATTAAATCTACTTATTATAAGATGCACACATAGACCATCTTTCATTTTAATTACATATATATATATATATATATATATATATATATCATTAAAAATGACTGACAAGATACTGTATTTAAGATTTAAGTTTTTATTTAATTTTTCATGTGTTCTTATAATTGTTTTCTTTTTGGAAACATTAATTTTAATAGAAATTACCCAGATGTTTTGTATGTTCAAGTGCTTTCAGCTATACTTTTAAACATTATTAACTGTGTTCCTGATCAATCAAAATTCATAAATAATTATATCGGATATACTACAACATGCCTCACAAGAACACTCTCATTACATCTCTCTGACCATAGCTCAATTTAAATACACATGGAGACCTACCAAACTTTATACACAACATACTCATTGATAATACATAATTATATAACAGCCTCATCTATATGTAAAAATAGGCTAAAAATAATGGAAGCATTATTAATAAAAAGAAAAAGCCAACACTCAATAATATCAACTATGAACACGGCCATGATGTGATGACCATGTTTGGAAAATAAAGCATTCCTATAACACTAGATACATACATAAAACAATCCATACATTCAATTAAAAGTAAAAATAAAACTCATCCTTGATAATGGCTAAAAGTATAGCTGAAAGACATGCAAAACGTTTGGACAATTTCTGTATAATTTACCTCCAGCAAAGAAGAAAATTATAAGAACACATGTAAAATTAAATAAAAACCTTAACTGCAGTAACTTGTCAGTCATCTTTAATAAAACTTGTATAAAAGCGGGATTGCATAAAAAATTGGAGATGATAAGATAAAGTGGAAAACTATTCAGCTGTGCATTTGTGCCCTTAGAGTGGTCATCTCAGTTGGTGTTTTCATACTGGCTGATAAAGAAAAAAACAGATCTGCTCAAAGAGGGTTAAATTTAAAACCCAGCAAATATTAGGGGCTTTAGAATGAAAAAGACCAACTATCTGGCTGCAATGTTTGATTATGATCATTATTACCTCTTTCCCATATTCCCAAACCCTTTTCTCAAACATGGGTTGTGACTCCCATTCCAGCCCCAGAATGCTGACTATAAGGGGTGACAGGCATAACTGAATATTTTGTCTTTTTATCTCCACATATATACAAGTTTAGTTGAATATCAATGAAAGTGTTTTGGATAAGATGTTTTTCTTTTAATCTTTCTTTGGTTCAGATGTTTTTTGGGCCTTCTGAGAAGAATTTGTACATAAATTGTCAAGTCTCTTTGAAGCTTTTTTCTGCTTTTAGAAGCCATTATCAAAGAATTTTTTGTGGGTTAATGGGGTTGTGCCTAGATGTATACATTATATTCCTTAGATAGTTTTCAAGTATTATGTCTTCCCACATCAGTGGGAGACATGTTAGGTTTATTTTATATTTATAATATCATTCTTTGTATCAGTTTGTGATGTCATGTTAAAGTACAATATGTATACATATACACATTATCAACATACAAAAAATCCTTTGATGATTGATGTCTTATAAATGACAATTTTTCACAGAAACCAGAAAAATGGTCTGAACTGCAGAAAAATTAAATAAGAAATCTGATAAACAGAACTTCTATTAGTGTTCAGCCAAACTTGCATAAATTAAAAATTGCTGCCAAGCAAAAGTAATTAATTGATGTGTATTGAATACTTATTTATCTTACTGTATGTGTGCATGTACACACACACACACACACACGTATATATAAAATTTCAGATATAAGTAAAAATATATCTGTAAAAGGACAATATTAATAATGACAAAAGAAAAACTTAGCCAATGCATTTGTTTCATCCTCTGATGGACTTTATGAAGACAAATGCAAAGATAAAGTTCATTGGAAGACAAAATGTGTCAGCTAAGATAAGTTTTCCTCTTGTATTTATTCCTATTGTCCTTTTACAGATATAATTTTAGTTATATAAATATAAATGGACATTGAGATGCCAGTCTGTTTCATGTTTAAACGCAATTGTCAGACAATTTATATTTACATACACTCTGACTCTGATATTGAGCACTTTAACCCATAAATATAGCATACCTTAAAACCATATTTTTATCATGTGTGTATGAGAGAGAGAATTGCTGATACCTCTTGATAAGTAAATCAAACAATTACAAAAATGTACGTCTAAACTATGAAGTCAGGGTGCTGAATATAATATCAATCAGCTAAGTGACAAATTTTATATTTATATTAATCCTATATATATATATATATATATATATATATATATATAGTAATAAAAATATTGGATTAAAAATAAATCCATTAATTTTTTTAGAAAATATATATATATACACACACACACACATATATACTATCGGGCGGCATTTAAGTTTGCTCCTGCAGAGGGCTATTATACGTTCTTTTTATAGATACAAATATTTAAGTAAATGCTCTGTTTATAATAAACAGTATTAACAACATTTACCAACTTGAATGTTCAAGAAATTTTCATAGAAAATATGCATATCTATAAAAAAAACGTATAAACATAAAAATGTCTTAAAAAATAATTGTCCAACTTTGTCCATTTCATAATGTGTGACGTCATTTGTTTACATTTGGATATGCATTGAGCAAATATGAATGTACGTGAGCGAGTCATGGAAGATTGTGTTTAAAAGCAGTAAAATCGACCTTGCTAACCGAACGCTCCTCTGTGGCCCAATCGGTTAAGGCACATCAAGCTATATGACGGTTCAGTATAGGATACAGGTTCAATTCCTGTCGGAGGATGCATATTTTCTATGAAAATTTCTCAGACATTCATGGCAGTAAATGTTGTTAATACTGTTTATTATAAACATTTACTTAAATATTTGTATCTATAAAAAGTATGTATAAACATAAAAAATGTCTTAAAAAATAATTGTCAGACTTTGTCCATTTCATAATATATATATATATATATATTTTGTATTTACCTCAAAATTGCAACACATTTCAGTTTCATTTTTGCAATAGTAAATATAAGCAACAATCTCCAGAATTACATTTATATAACAGTATTAAAAGGTATATATAAAAAATACAAAGTATTAAAAGGCATATATCCAAAAATATTATCAATTATTTTCTTTTTCTGGTAAATAATTTTGACTGTTGACTTTTCTTTAGGTAAAAATCACCTTGGACAAGACAAAATACATTTGTTCAAAACAGAACACAATGAATGTGAATGTACCATCCTTGAACTCCAAGGTAACAAAATTTCTTGCCTATACCATGTACACTGGGAATGTGCCTATCTCAGTAACCATTGAATATTACCAAGATCCTGATGGTAACGTTAGGGAGACCATTGAAAAGATTATTTTTGTTCAAGTAAGTAAATCTTTTTAAAAATGTTTCCAAACTACCTGATCACATACTCAGAAAATGATTTGTTATAAAAACTGTAAAATCAATTTCTTGTTCTGAAAATTAGTCCCACCTAATTTTTTTTCTTATATTAAGTTAAAACTTTCTTTTCTAAGTACCATATTTTCTTGAATGTAATGACTTGAGTATATATGATGACCCCATGTTTCTGAAGTTAAAAATGGAATAAATTACATCATTGAGTATAATATATCCTCATAGTACAGCCATACCTTTGTAATTTTTTTGAAAAGTTGTACCATATCCATTAAAATCTTAGTGCCATATGTATATTTCATTAAAAAATTTAATTTTTCATGATTAAAGAATAGAAATGAATTAAATTTTTAGACATTGCCTGTTTCTTCTCCTAATATCCATTTCAAAAATTTTTGAATTTTCAGGAAAGGTGTTTTGTTGTAACATCAATTGTGACAGATCTTATGTATTCCCTTTATTCATTTTTTAAAAATCAATTTCAGTGAATTTGTTGTCCTAGAAACAAAAGATGTTCAATTACACTGATTCCCAAAGATATTGCTGACATATCAAATACCTTTTATAAACAATTGCTGTCAAACCCAGTCTACTTTCTTTTTTATTATCGACTGTGCTGATTAAAACTGTTGACAATTTTGCTGTTTCACATAAGAGATTTTTTAACCTGAGTAAAAATTTCTGTAAACGTGTCAGTCAGTTATGTGCCATGTGGGATACACATTTAGGCGATCATGTATCTTCCAATACATGACTGATGAGTCCATAGTAGGTTGCCATTTCTTTCTGCAGTAGACCAGTTGCCATACTGGGCTATAAGACTTGTCTGTCCTGCTATTTATCCATTACTCCCCCATGTCCTTAAGTATAATGCGCCCCCCCACTTTTTGGCCTTTAATTTTCATTCAAAATGTCTCATATTATGCACTAATTATTATATTATTATTATAATGTTATTATCATACTTTTCTGTTTGATATGATTTTTATTATATTTCTATATATTAATAAACTATGAAAATAAAAGAAAGTATTGTCTTTCATTAAGAATGAAGAGAGAAACAAATATTGCCAACATATCAAATACCATTTGTAAACAATTGTTACCAACACCTGCCTACTTTGTATTTTATTATCTGTTGTGCTAAGTGAACGTATTTGCAATCTTGCTATTTCAAAAAAGAGATTTTCTGAAGCTAAGTAAAAATATTTCTGAATCGTTTACTTTTTGCCTTTAATTTCTATACACTAAAAATAATGTTTAAAGTGATAAAAAACATTTATGTGTGCAGGAGGTAAAAATTCAGATATAACTAAAATATATCTGTAAAAGGGTAATATTAATAAACACAAAGGAATAGTTACCTCAGCCAATATACAGTCTATCAGAGGACAAAGTATGTCAGCTAAGATAAGTTTTCTTTTGTCTTTGTTCACACACACACACATATAAATATATATATAAGAGTAGATGCTCCATTTATTTATCAAACAGTATATTCATTTATTTGTGTCTACCTGCTTGAATATTTGAGAAATCTTATGAGATTTCTTGAATATTCAGGCCAATATATATATATATATATATATATATATATATATATATATATATATATATATATATATATATATATATATATATATATATATATATATATATATATATATATATATATATATATATATATATATATATATATATATATATATATATATATATATATATATATATATATATATATATATATATATATATATGCATGTTTCATTAAAAACGACCGACAAGGTACTACTGTTGAGCTTTTTATTTAATTTTTCTTGTGTTCTGACAAGAGATTTCTTTTCTGGACAAAAGTGTGTAAGAACTGTCCGAATGTTCTGTGTTTCCGAGCGCTTTTCAGCTATACCTTTAGCCATTATCAAGGATGGTTCAATTATCAGCTTAGTAGGTGTGTGTTCTATGTATGTTCAGTGTGTGGTAGTGATGTTTTAGTTTCCAAATACGGTTAGCACATTGTGGCTTTGTTCATAGTTAATATTGTTAAGAGTTGGCTTTTTCTTTTTTATTATTAGAGCTTCCATTATTTTTAGTCTTTTTTTGCAAGTGGATGCAGTTAATATATTAGTGTTTTCTACTAGTATGTTCCTAATAGTGTCTGGTAAATCTGAGTGTGTGTTTAAATGTGTTCTGATGGAACTGTGATCAGATAGGTGTAATGTAAGACGTCAAGCATATGTAAAATTAACGAAGTGAGGAGGTGAGGTGGGAGAGAAGATAAGATATGAGTGGGTTAGATGTACCATTTCAATTCCTTATTCTTAACCCCACTGTGTGTCAGCTAACGGGTATTGTCTCTAGATATAGATGGGTAAGGGGTGGGGGAGAAGACCGACATTAAAGTGGTTTGTTTTTATTCAAACGTATCGGCTCTGAATTTTACATTGAGCTCTCCGGATATCATCCTCCTTGGGTCTACCCATGTGGAATACCTAGTTTTGCATAAACTATATATATATATATACATTTATATATATATATATATATATATATATATATATATATATATAGATGTAGCTGTAACTTCTAAGCTGACAGTTTATTTTCTCACACTTCTCACTTGTGGAACTCCCTTCTGGATCCATACTTTCCAGCTAACTTTAATCTGCAAAAATTTAAATGCAATGTCAATTGCGATCTATTGCCCTCCTAATTGCTCTTTTCTCTTTCTACTCATTACTAATATTTCTGTTCTTAATTTCTCCACCCCCTATATACCCTTGTGTGCTAGTGGCTGTACCGCCTTGCTTGGGCTGATACTGATTAAAAAGAAAAAAAAAGTTGTTTGTAATAAAAATATGAACACAATTGAATACATGGCAGATGATATTCAGCTTTTGTGCATATACATATTTGGGTGGACATTATTACTAGAGGTGGTAGTATGTCTGTTTTATTATAATTATATATATATATATATATATATATATATATATATATATATATATATATATATATATATTCATCTCTACTGCTATATAAGGATATGTATTGCTGTCAATTAGATTTGTGAAAAAGATAGCAATTCTGCATGATGTTTTTTATTTCAAATTTTTTAATTTTTTTTCAGGACCATGAGGTTTCAAATGCAAAAATTTTAACTTTCTTTCTGGAAAAGACGGATGACTTTGAAGACTCTGCAGTCACTGGAATGACATGCAATGAACGTGAGAAACATTGAATTGATTTTAAGTACATTTCAGTCTTAAGAAAATTCTGGGGCTAATGAAAGCTTGAAAATAATAAAAAATATATTAATGTAGAAATTTCTTTTAAATTAATTAAAATTGAGAATCGTTTCTTGTTACTAATGTTGTCTTTTTCAAAATTTTCCTTTCTGGGATCATCCATGTCAATTGAGTTTTCTCATTTAAGGAAGAATTACTTTATCCATTGATGAAAATACTCATATGAGTGTGTGTTAATAAATTTACAGTCTGTTGCATAAATATTATATGAATTTAATCTGAAATTTTCACTGTCTAATGTTCAATCCATGTGATTAATATTCACCACTGGATTAAGAGAATTTTATTTTTTACTTATTTTTTTATTTATTCTCTTCTTTTCTAAAATCACATCAAGATTTTCCTAAAGAGGCCTTCAAATATGATTAAGTCATATTATTTATATTTATATTTTTATTAATAGAGATCAAAAATATGATATTCATTTTATTTGCTAAGACTTTATATGGTATTGTAAAATTAATATATTAGAATTTAATTATGCAATTATAAATTATTTTATTTATAATCAAATAATATGTATATAATTATGTCAATTATTTTTAAGGAAAATATGAGACAATGTCTACAGAAAATTGCTATTTCATTTCTTTGATTTAATAAATTTTTATTTTTCAGAAACTTCATAATATATAACTTTCCATGTATTAAGTTTCTGAAAAATAAAAATTTAGTAATTATTGAATACCCCTTTAAGAAAATCTCAATTTTCTTCATTTGTCAAAAGGCCAATACCTGCTTAATAAAAAATAAAAAATTCTGAATTCTCATTACCCTATAAACTTAAAATATATAGTACTGCTTGACTTATAGAGCAAATCAATTGTTTTGAAGGTTATTCTCAACATCGCTTGAAAATGGAACCAAACTCCAAACTTCAAATGTTAAGTTTAATTTAAGATTTAAGTTTTTTTTTCGAAACATAGTAATTTCTGTGTTGCAATGGATGCATATTTTTAAAAAAATAATTATATATATATAAGTATATATATATATATATATTTGGGCAGTAACCTTTCTTTCAGACATGTTATGACAGACAAGAAAACTTTTCTAGTATTCTTAAATTTTTCTTTTTGGTGATGTAAAGGAGTGTAAAAATTGTCCATAGCATTTCTTTAGTCATTTTCAATGGGTTAGTTGTTAATAATTATTAATTTCTTTTGAGATGTAATTGTGTGATGCATATTGATTGTTAATTGTCATCAATTATTATGGTTGTCTTTTAAAATGTATTATGTGATGCATATTGTAGGATAGTAGCATTTATTCTATGAAAGGAGCATGGCTAGAATTCAAGTTGATGTCCTTCTATTTTAAAACAAACCTTTAGCATATTGTTTCCATTGTTAAATAAAGTAAGATTAATACTAGGTTCCAGATGTTCTATATAAAGTGCTTCTCTCACAAGAAGATGTTTTTTTTTAGAGGAGTGAGTATGGGACTTATGAAGAATGACCATCAACCAGAATGTTCCTTATGGGTTCTTATGGGTGGCTAAATGCCTTTTTATGGCACTTTGATCAGATAAGTGACATATGAGGTGTCTGCTCAAGGAGATAGTGATGTGACCTTCCTTTAAAAGATGTTAATGTTTGTTAAGCTATTTTTTGTGTTTTTCCTGGTGTCAAATAAGTCATTTGATGTCAAGTGAAAAATGTCAAGGAACTTGCTGAAATTATGTTAGCTTCTATGACCATCTTTGATCATTTTCAATGAAAGATGGTAGAAAGTCAAGAAGTAGTTGTTGTAGCATTTGTTGTTAAGGATCCAAAGTTTGAAATGCTATGACTGCTGTGAACATGCTATGACTGTGGAATTTATTTTAGTGTCAAGTAGCAAAAATTATTTTACAGTTCAAATATATTTAAGAGTGAGTCAGTAAGTCTGTATCCTGTCACATAATTATTAACTGAATTTTTACTGTATAACGTTCACTCTCTGTGATTAATATTTAACATTGTATTAATATATCTGTCCATATTCTAAAGTACATTCTGAAGGAAATTGTGTTGAAAATATTTCTGTAAATAAATTTGTTTTCTCATCATTAAGCCACAGTCCTTATACCTACATTACATTGTGGCTTAAAATGTTTCAGTAGTGGAAGTGCCAAATGGTACAATGATTATAAACACTATAAAGAAAATCAGCAAAATAATGCTCTTAGAAAAGACATGAATCCACTTCTCCCTGCACTCTGTGCCATTGGCATGTATTTTCATAAGCAGATTTTCTTACTGTTATGCTATAATGGTTGACAGAGAAAAGAGTGAATGAGTGAGTACTTAGGCAAATCACTATCCCAGTAATAGTTAAAAGTTCTTTTGTCAACCTTAACAAGTTCTGGTTACTTATAAGTATAATAATAAGAAAACTAAGGCAATTGCCCACTAACAGTTAAAAGCTTATACCTCTTTCATCAACCTTGACAGATTCCAGTAATAAGCATAATAATAATAAGAAAACTGATGCATTATCCCAGTAACAGTTAAAAGCTGTTACCATTTTCATCAACCTTGACATATTCTAGTAAGTTATAAGTATAATAATAATCCGAAAACTAATGGATCTTCTTTATTGCCATTTCAAAATAACAATAATAAATAATGAAAAGAATAATGATGTTTTCTTTGTATCAAGTTTCCACAAATTTCTAATAGAATCTTTTAACATATAATATGCTGTACTGTATGTATTCTAGAAGTTATCCATTCGTTACAAATAATCTTGTGTCATTTTTTTTAGAAACGGTTTGTTTTAATTTTTTTTATTTTAGGGACTGTGCTAGCAGACATTGTAAAGACAACACTGCAAGAACCTGAAAAACTGATGCAAAAATCACATGGGTCAGGCAATCAAAATATCATCTACATGGCCATGTCTGTCTATGTTCTAAAATACATTCTAAACACAAAACAAATGAATCAAGAGATCTATAATAATGGAACAAAGTTTATCAGAATGGGTAAGTCCAAACTGACAAAGAAGAAAATAACATTTTTATATCTTTTCAATTCTCCCAATATTTCAAAACAGAGTTTTTCAAACTGTGGGTCCTGACCCTTCAGTGGGTCCCGAGATAATAAAATGGGTTGTGACACAAAAGGAAAGAAAGAAAATATGTAAGTGAGAGCAAAGTGCAGAATAAAAACAACCCTAAATGTTGCACAACACTCATAAATCATCGCTAGTTCTTCACCAAGGTAAGCTTGTATTATATTTTATTTTTTTTTATATATATATATATATATATATGTCTGTTCTCATTGAGTTTATGCATCTTGTTTGTCAAACTCATTGCGGATTGAGTGATGTCAGTTCTCTCTCGCTAAGACACCTCATGCGAAAACTTAGCTACAAAGGTTCCCAATTGGAATCAGCTACTTATGAACAAAAAAGCACATCTATCTCATTAAATGACATTTTTTTTCAAATATTATTTACTTTACCTTTGTGTTGGAAATTCCTTTAAATTTGTTTTTCTAAAAGTAATAATTTTATATTCATACAAATAGATAATACAAACAGATACATGCAATTCCAATATGTGAGGATCATATGAAATATACATAGAAATTGTCAATGCTAAAATGAACCTAGTGAACCTAGGTGTTGCTGTGGTTTCCATAACAATTAGGGTTTTACAGGGTGGAGTTGCCAGGACTACACCCAACTAGTTTTGAATTCAGAATTACTATTTAACCCAGAGCTGGAAGGAAGAATACATTGCTTAATACTGTTACTAATTTGTGCAAAAGTGAATGCAATGAACTTGACCAGAATTTGAACTCTGAATGTTGATTCCATTTTTTATGCTGATAACTGCTATGCTGTATGTCCATCTTTGGTGTAATCTACATGTATACAATCAAAAATAATGGAACGACAATAAAAAATGTGTAGAACGTTAATCAAAAATGATAAAAAGCATAAAAACATTCTTTTTTTTTTAGAATCTTTTTAGCCAGATTGATTACTTTTCTATGACAACTAAAGTGAAATAAATACCGCTTCAATAATAAATATATTCTTGTGTATAAATGAATAACAAGCAATGTAAAGTAGATAAGACATGACTCTTAATCTGAGGAATTTCACTTCTGGGAGGGAAGCTGATTTCAAGAGAAGTGATAAAATATCTGGCAGGATTCAGAAAACACTGGATAATTTGACAAATCAACAGATAAATCTGTTAAAATTCTCCAAATTTTAGCATAACACTTCAAACAGTTATTCCTAGCATTTTTTTCTGGTTACAATCTTATAAAAGACAAGAACATGATTACAAGATGAAATTTTTTTATATTAATGTTCACCCAATACAAGGTCCAAGAGCCACTCAAGATAGATGGTTACTGTGAGGTGTTGTATGAGCATAAGAAGACATAAAAAGTGAAGTTCATGAAATTAAGTAGGAAATATAACAGTTAACTCTGGACTTGAAGAGGCCAAGATTGTAGTGATTGGGAAAACATCCTGCTGGGAATCTGTTTCACAAAGCAAGAGTTCTTGGGAAGAAGCTGTCTGAGTAGAACTTACCTCTTATTAATGGAATAAAAAAGGAATGAGGATGATTCATTCTTGTGTACATGGCATAGTAGGCCCCAGTTGTGAAGTTCAAGGGTGGTGAGACTAGGGAATGTAGCTCATCAGAACACATGCCATGAAATAATGATTGATATTAGCAAGATCGCCTTAACATGTAAAAATGGTATTGTCACCAAAATTACTTCACTAGGATTAAAAATTCTACAAGAAAACAACACAGGTAAATAGTATAATTATATCAAAGCTGAAACAAAATTGGACAATGAAAATATTTAAAATTGTTTATTTGATAAAAAACATTTTCCCTTTCGTTTAGATTGAAATAAGGGTTTAATTTTTCACTTGCTTCCATAGGAAAGTTAAGTTGCATAATCTTCTTTTTCAAGATGTTGGCAATCATGGTGCTCCATAAATTTCTGTCCCTTATAGCACTTAGTAAATTTTATCTTTTTATCTCTTCTAAACCATGTTCCGCCATCCATTTACTCAAGAACATTAGGTAAGCTATGCATTGTTTTCGTCTGTCCCTCTTGCCTTCAATCTGTCCTGTGAGTATCAAATTTTACTTGTGATAACAGAATTCTAATTTATCAATGGTTACTCATGTCCAAGATTGTGTCATCTAATGTCAAATTGTTTAGCTCACTTTACCAAAATCAGGTTAATGTCTGTGAGCAATAAAGAAAAACAAAACAGCAATGAGAATTGTTTAACATTTAAACTGTTTTTTGCTTTTGGTAGCTTCAACCATTTCAAAAACTAATGAGTAGAACCTGCAATTTCATTTCTTTACTTACACTTTGTAAGTATACAATAAAACATCAAACAAACAAAAAACCCCCAAAATCAAGTTAGTCAGTACTATCTACATTGGGTAGAATCACTGATAATACATGAGAATTTAGCTTACAGAAGTTTGGAATTGATAGCTTATAAACCAGGCATGGACAACATTTTTTTAAGAAGTGGGTCACATAAGACATAGCTCATCATCACGCAGGTTGCACTACTAAAATATTCAAGGTAATTTTTCATTGAAGGTACATCAACCATTTTTACTACCATATGCATAAGCATCTGCCTTAGAAATAGGAAAAAGTCAATGTTTTTTCTTCAGTAAAATGGTCTTTTCTATAAAAAATTGAAGTTTTGGTATAATATTATCACTGATATCAATGTGATTAACACACGCCACTGCCCTGGTACATTAAAAGAAAAAATGAATACTTGAAAAATCAATGTATGAATATGATCCATGTATTGAAGAAAAAATTGAATAGGAATCAAGCATGCAATATGTAGTTATTCCCCTCTGACACTAGCTTCCCCAAAACGTTTTGAGAGAGAGTGTGTGAGTGAACAAGTGAGAATGAAACAAGACAAACAAAATATTTTAATAAATGTCATTTTCTTTGTGAAACCCGGTGGGATATTCAGAAAGCACCATGGACCACAGTTTATCCATGACTGTTATAAATAAACTTTATAAAAAATTTTAAGATAGTATTATGAACAGTCACATTTAATTTCTGTTATAAATTATATTATTCATAGTCATTCAAATTGAGATTATTATAAAACTGTCCTTTCTTAAACCTATCTACCTCTACACTAAAATTCACTAAAATTACCATCTTCAAGATTGGTTTGATTTGATAATTTTGTAGGGTAATAATTTTGAATCATAATAAAAAAGGATTGTTTCTGTTAAAAGGAATGACAAGATCCCTTTAGCTTTGCTTCTGAAGAAATGCAGGCTGTACAAACAACTATTATTATTTCAAGTTCGTTTTTGCACTTGAGTATAGAGTATTGTCTTCGAATACTGTAAGATGTCAGATAAGTTGTTAGCTTTAATGTAGATTTGACTGTAGCTTGTTACTATTTATTTAAGAGGCATCAGTCTCATGACTGAGTATGGTCATAGAGTAGCTGAGGACCTGGCCAGTTCAACCTTTATGGGTTATTTAATGGTAAAATCTAAATATTTTGAACACAATTTTATGCCATCAACTACAGTTAAAATGTATTGCTGGCCCATTTTCTATAAATATGTATTGTTATTCCTTTTTTATATATAAAAATGTATTACTGGTATTTTTACCATCTTCAAGATTGGTTTAGTATTTTTACTATAAAAATGTATATTTATACTTTGATAGTGTTTTCTTTTTGTTTGGGGGTTCACTATTTGTTGGGACCCTAACAGATGCTACGACCCTGGAAACCTGGGAACAACAGCCACTAAGAGGTGGTTCTATGCTCATCAAAACCTCCAATCTCCCGATCAGAGGCCTTGCTGCTAGATATAGTTTATCGTCATACCCAGGAGTCACACTGCATGAAACATTTCATATAAAAAGGTGTACATGAATGTCATCAATAAACAATAGATACAATTTAATTAAATTGATTACTAAATTAGAAAATTTTTACATTATTTTTCATAGTAATTCTAACCAGGTAAATTTAAACTATATACTTCAAAAAATTAACTTGGTACTGTGAATTAAGAAGACATTGTTAACTGTTGAAATTTTTTTAAGTCTCCAATTTTTCTATTTCTAGGAATTGAAAAGCAGAAGTTATTCCAAAAGAATGATGGCTCCTATTCAACTTATGATGATACCAGGTCCAGTATATGGTGTGTAAATTCATTTTAGTTCCATATGATAAAGTAAAGTGCCACAAAATTAGAGACACCTACCGATCATACTTTTCAGTGTATCAGATGCATTCTTTTACCCAAAAATTTGATGTTAAAATCTGCTTGCACCCTATACATCAAAAGTATGAATAATATATATATATATATATATATATATATATATATATATATATACACATCATAGTAAAAATTTTCTTTCTGGTCTGCATTTAGAGATGAGTTTTGATCATTTATTTAGTAATTTGTGTTGCTCTAGGAAAGTAATTATAGCTAATGGTACCTATATAAAATGTAGTACTGATATTTTTACTATAAAAATGCATTTTTATACTTTCATAATGTTTTTTCTGGGGGAAGTTCACTATTTACCCATAGCTGGGACCCTAACAGATGCTACCACCCTGGGTCAGGATGGACCTAGGAACAATATCAATTAGGAGCTGTTTTCACTCTCCTCAAAATCTCCAATCTTCCAATCAGAGGTCTTGCAACCAGATGTAGTTTATAATCATATCCAACACTACCAAATCATTGGAATTTGTAAAAACTAATTTTGATAGTAGTAGTAGTAGTAGACATCCATTTCTCTTGCCAGATAATGTTAGTGCCTTGTTTAATCAAAATTCAGTCCTGTTTTGAGCAGCATCTGAAGTGGCTTAGCAAGTCCAATCTTCACATGGTAGATTCTTCTATAGGGGTGACAGATGAAACTGGAATGTGGAACAAAGGTCTCTTTGCTATTTGTATTGTCTTCGAGCTTCAAGCTGTTGGTCTTACTTTTTCTCAATTTTTCATAACTGCCTCTTGAACTGCATGGCATCTGCTATTGCAGTTATCTGCTAACTGTTCACAGCTACCTGGACCAATGCCTGTGAATTTAAGGTCTGTCTTGAGTATGTCCTTGAAACATAGAGTAGGGAGGTTTGTAAAAAAAAAATAATTCAGCTAACTTTTTTTTATCATTTATTTTTGTTGTTGTTGCTTTTTCCAGGTTAACAGCATTTGTCTTAAAGATATTCTGTCAAGCATCAGAATTTGAAGAAATTGACAATAGTCTTACACGACAAACAATGTTTTGGTTACTAAAGCAGCAGAACTTGGATGGCCATTTTGAAGATACTTCATATCTACATTCGGATATTATGGTAAGTAGAAACTAATGTATTCTTTCAATATTATCATTTTACAGACTAATAATCAATTTACAGTTAAAATGGCTAGATGTAACTTAAGTTCTATGTTAACAGTTTCTTCTATCGCACTTCTCGCTTGTGGAACTCTCTTCCAGCTTTTTGCAATTATCAGCTTGCTTGGAGTGAAACAAAAATAAAAATAAACTTGATCCATAACTGTTAACTTCTTATCCTCTAGAACAGGGGTCACCAAACTTTTCACAGTGATAATGACGAGCGCAGATTGGATAACCATTTTGTTCAATACAATACATTGAATACACAAAAAATAAAGACAACAAACATTTATTTATCAAAGAAGGCGACATTAGCAATAAAATAGTTATATCACATCCAGTACACACATATCCAAATCTCACAAACAAAGCAGCAAAAAAGGTTAGTGAGATTTGTGAAACTGGTGTTTACTTTTGCAGATAGAATCAATATTTGCTTTGGAATTGCTACATCCAACCAAGAGAATTGCTTTCAAATGTTCATCAGTCAAGATCATTACATGTGCTGACTTTACATTTTATAATGAGTTCAGGCAAAATATGACATAATTTGCTGAAGTCAGTCCTTTTTATATACGGCACTCTTCAGACCAGTTTAAATACAGCAATGCAAGTTAAAAAATGATTGAATTTTTTTCCACATTGTAATGTTACTACAATCTATTGATAATTCCATATAAATAATTATATTTTAGCTCATTTGTGGCACAGTGCAGCTTTGGGCTGGATGAACTGACATCTGTAGTTTGGTGACCCCTGCTCTAGAAGTTCACCTAACATATTTACCAAAAATGCCTTCTTAAATATGAAAAGGGGGTGCTCTTCTTTCAAACAATATATAAAAAAGATATTTTATTTATTATACATTGGAGTAATAAAAATTATTATAAAGACCAACATTCAAGTTAACAGTAACAATTGAATTAAAAATTGAAAAACTTAGGAAAATTGTATCATGCATTTATAAAAGTCTTTGTATTTGCCAGAAGTCCTGAGAACTGTTTTATAGTTCAGTGTGTTGGTTACTTCTATAATTATTGTAAGGTTTCTACAAGAATATTTTACATGAAATAATGGTGGTGAAAAGGTACTTACACAGAATAACAGTGACTGATTGATTTGCAATGCAAGATAACATTTATTAAACAAAATAGCAAAAGGAAAGTTTAAGTGTTTCTTTTCCTAGAAATAAATGAAATACACAACAAAAATTGTTACTGAATGTATTTGAATGTAACTTGCCTGTGTAGGTGTGTTTGCGTGTAAAGTGTCCACAGCCCTTTTTGCTTTAGTGTGAAAAGTCAATAGCATACACTTCTAAAGGAGGGAAAACAGGAAAAGAGAGTTATTTAAGGGTTCACTTGTTTTTAGACCCTCAGTGCTACTGCTGATACTATGTTTATTAAGGGCTGCTGCTGATTATATGTTTATTAAGGGTTGCTGCTGATACTATGTTTATTAAAACACTACAATTGGCTACCATGAATAAATTTTAATTTTTATTATTTTTTTTTTTTAGGGTGGAAGATCTGTTTTGGAACTGACAGCATTTGTTCTTATCAGCTTAATGGAATGCAGGCAAATACATGCCAAGGAGGTAATCTTAAATTGTCATATAAAAAGTAAAAGAATTTAAAGACTATTTCAGTATTGATATAGAAAGTAATTTTTTGCGGAATTTATGGATAACAAAAAAAGTAGAGCCCAGTTTGTTGAAAGCAAATTCAATTATTTTATTTCATCTGTGGTATGTGGACTAAAAATAATCTTGGTAAATAATTTATTTTAAAAATGCTAAAAAATTCCAAAATTTATCAAAAACGTTTTATTTTATTATTTATATTTACTATGCTTGCATATTTATCCAAAAGGAAAATGTAATGATAGAAATAATTTATCGTTAATGACACTAGCTATATACTTATTTAACAATTGAAAAAATAATGATACAAATGATTTACATTTAATGAAAGAAACTATATGCTTGTTTACTCTTAAGTGCAGGATAGATGGATAGGTTGAAAAATGCATTCAAAATTAATTTGTTTTGGAACAAAAATGAAGAGGTTGGGATAAAGAGACTTATAATAAACAAATAGGTTGGAAAAAAGTGGAAAATAAAATAAGTGTGTCTGGAATAAAAATGGCTATTTTGGGGAAAAAAATTAAAATTTGAATAAACAGGCATCCTCATCTATTCTGGACATAAGAGTAACTTCTGAAAAAATAATGACAAAAATTCTGTATATTTAATGACATCAGGTCTGATGTAAGGGTCTCATCCCACCCCCCACAACCTATGGTACAGAGACCCCCCTCCCTGCTGTAGTATATCTCAATTTTCATAAGACAGTATATTCATATAAAATACAAATTTTACTGTAACTAAATTATGTACAATAATGGATCATGTGCAATATAGGTGAACAATTCAACTAGAAAAATTGAAAATAAATACAATGTATCTAAAAACAAATTTGAGACATGTCATAATAGATCATTCCATCTTAAATAAGAGACATGTCATAATAGATCATTCCATCTTAAATAAATCAACAATGTTTTGCAGCAATTTTTAGCATCAACTTGAGATTTTTCTTGTTAAAAGGTTGAATAATTTTAACAGATTCAACATTATGGATAAAAAATAGTGAATTTTATATAATGTTTTTTCAAGACGTAACATGAGCAAAACAAATTCACAGATTTGGAAGGGGGGGAAAGACCCCAGAATGACATCAAAATCTACAAAACTTTTTCATTCCTTAATAGTCAGTTGTGCTTAATGTAATTTGTAACATATAAATGTAGGTAGACAGAAGCAAATGTTGATAAGATAGCAAGGCCTGAGACCCTCAATCAAGCTTGGGTCACTCCAGTCAAGGAATTTGTGGGTAGTACACACTGGCTCTGGATAACACTAAATATGCTTATATATAATGATAAAAATAATGTATATGTATTTTTCTGGATATGTGGATTGTTTTTAAACATTTTAGTGTGCTATTTGACACATGGGCTTTACTTGTTTAGATTTTAACCTATTTTCTTGCTGTAAAGGAAATAGCTGAAAAACAATGTATTCAAAGAATTTGTTTATTTTGTTCTTGCAGAAACTTAATACGATGATGACCATGTATTTTTATTTCTTCTCTGTGCCTTGTCAGTTTATTTCCACCCATATGCTGACATATTTCCCAGGTTTCAATAATTTAAATCATTTGTTGGAGTGAAGAAAAAAATAGTACAAGAATGAACATGGGAAGAAAATATTCTGTCAAATCAGCCACTTTTTTTATAATGAGAAATATTCTTCTATGTGGCATGTCCCTTCAGACCCTGGGCGATCATGGCTCTCCACAATTTCCTGTCTTTTGTAGCTCTTAGTAAATTTTATCTTTTTGCTATCTCTCCTAACCCCTGTTCTGACATCTATTTACACATGTACATTAGATAGGTTATGCACTACTTTCCTACGTCCTTATTGCCCTCAATATGTGCTGTGAGTATCAAATTTTCCAAGCCCTTTTTCTTCATTATGTTCTCTAAAAATTTCAACTTTCTCTTTCTGAGGTTAAGTATAAGTGTCCTTTTTGTTTCTATTTTCTTTAAAACTTTGTTATTGCTCACATGTTCAGTCCATAGTATTCTCAGCATCCTTCTGTAGAACATCATTTCTGTTGCTTCACGTTTTTTCTTCATCTGTGCTGAGATGATCCAGCATTCACCACAGGTCTGATATTGCAAAACAGTTAAGTACTCTTCTTTTTTTTTTTTTTTGTTCCTAACAAAATTTTCATCTTTCTTAATACTTTGCTTATCTTTTAGAAGGCATCTTTCACTATCCCAATGCACCTTCTGATTTTGGTGTTGCACTTTCTGTCTTCTGTTAAAACACATTCCAGTTATACTTGATTCATTTTGGTATCTCCAATTTGTATGTTGGGCTTTTACTGACAACCATACATTCTATTTTCTTACAATTGATGTTTAGTTGTTTCATCTAGCTTTCCTCCACTACCTTCAGTAGGAGTTCTTGTAGTTTCCTTTCTGTGTCTGTTATCAACACTGAGTCATCTGCATATCTTATGTTGTTAAGATTGTGCTCACCAATGATGAATCCTGGTAGGACACTTAATTCTCTCAGAATTATGATACATTTACACACATAAATTATGATACACTTACATGCATAAAATATGATACACTTACACATATAAATTATATGCACAAATGCTGCTTGACTAGTTGAATGCACATGAAGTATGCTTAACCAATGAAAATCAAACAACACAAAAATAAAAATACAAAATTTTTTTTTTCCTATTGTAGTGGATTGTTAATTAGGATTGTACCTATTTGCATATGTTTCCTCCTTTTTAAAGGTGGGCATCACTGGCCAGAACCTAAAACTTGCTTCACATTATCTCCAGACCACAGCTCAACAGGCATAGAGTTGGATCTGATCAAGATCCCAAATAAATAAAATTAAATAAAACCATGATCACAACACAATGCTACTTCTGACATGAAACACATCTGTTTACATTCCATTCTATGTCATTAATAATGGTCACTATAAGCACATTGGAAATTTCAGTTGCAGTTGTAAAAAGAAATTGCAAGAGACTGAAACTTATACAAAAAACAATACCCTGTCTCATGGCAAAAGCTGCTGTGGGCACCAGGGGTGGCAGTACCACCTTAGTCACCAAAACTGTTACCTTCTCTGGTTGGTGGCTGATGAGGACAGGGTATCACACTTGCTTTCACATGTTGTATGTAGAGAATTGTTAAGTAGAAGAGATATAAAATGTATAGTAAACTAAGAGACAGGCAAGAAATTGACTATAGATCACATCTTGTAGAACAATACAACATTCTCTGATAAAGCTTTAATAAAAGTGAAACATGTTACATTTATAAATGTTTCTTATTTGTTCTTTATTCAATCATTCTGTTGGATTCTGATCCATATTTGATCCCAATTCAAAAGCACAATTATAAAGGTTTTTGTTTTGTTTTGTTTTGTTGTGCTACAAATCTGGTCAATATTTCCAGATCTTATTATAAAACGCAGATTGTGTGTGTGCGTGTGTCTGTACGTTTATATATTGGATCGGATTTCCTACATTTTTCAACTGATTTCAACAAAACTTCACAGGACTGCGTAAAATTACCTTGTGGTGGTTCTGACAGCACCAAAAATTGGAAAAACACAATTGTTTTTGCATGAAATCAATTTGAAAACACAATTTTGTTGCCAAAATGAAAGGGGGACAACACCTATCGAGTTATACTTATTATAAAAACCCAGGTTGTGTGTGTGTGTGTTCCTTTATATATGGGATCGGATTCCCTACATTTTTCAACCGATTTCAACAAAACTTCACTTTTTTTTGGCAGATAGTGTTTCTTATTGTCTTGCACACTTTTTTCTTTATTTTTACATTCAGAATGCTTTAAAAATTCCATTTACAAGACAATTGTTTATGATAAAATTCTATTCAATCGATAGACTCATAACGATTGAAAACAATGTTTTTGTTTGAGTTTGGGTTTGACCAATTCGTAAAAAAAAAAAAAAAACTAATTAAGACATGCGTGTCCATCAAACTTAAACAATAATCTTTGTCAATTTTATTTTTCAGTCTTTATGATGGTCGATACTTGATCTATCGCTTACTGTTACATCCCCGGGCAATGCCGGGCTCTACTGCTAGTAATGAATAAAAATGAATTTCTTCTATGCTTCTTATTTTTTGTATATTTTATTTTTTTAGATCTTTGAAAATGAGGGAAGAATCATCTTATCAATGGAATATTTGGAGAAGAATCTGGACACCATCAATGACAGATTAACACTGGCAATTACAACTTATGCTTTAACTTTGACAATAAGCAGCAAGCGGATAGCTGCCTGGAAAAAAATGACAAGTAGTAAGGAAAAAATACTTACCAAAATTCTTTCAAATAAGTCATAGTTAGAATTATGAACCATCAGTTTATTTATTTCTTCTTCTTATCCTCATCATCATTATGACACAGTCTTTTACCTGAAACCTGAGGTAAAGGAAAGATTAGCTTAGAAATTTACTGAGTATATTACATTTGTAAGAGTTTTCAAAGTACCATATTTTATTTAGTATAATACGATTTTGTTTTTCGGAAGTTAAAAACAGGGAATAAATTATGTCCTTGAATTATAATACAATGCCATATACAGCCATCTTGATGTAATTTTTTTTAAATTTTACCATATTATACATTAAAATCTCAATGTCATATACACATGATATTTTGCAATTTAAAATTAGAATACCAGCATGTACTATTTATATAGTGATATAATTATGTTAGGGTTGTTTACAGATCTATTTTGTATTTTTCTTTTTCTTGAATAGTTTTCAAAATAAATTCTTGATAGAATATGAAACAAAAACCCCATAGCATGGGAATTATAGCCCAATTTTTCAAGCAGTTAAAATTAAAAATGTACATAAGTTATATAATAGTTAGGCCTTTATAGTAACATTAATGTTTTGAAAACATGACAGATCTTGTGTATTCCCTTTATTAATTTTTTAATCAATTTTGTTGAATTCCCTGTCTTTGAGACAAAAAAACATTTAATTACACTGATTCCCAATGAACTAATATTGCTGACATATCAAAGACTTTTTGTAAACAATTGTTATCAACACCTACCTACTTTGCATTTTATTATCTATTGTGCTGAGTGAATTTGTAATCTTGCTGTTTCAAATAAGAGGCTTTTTCAAGCTGAGTATAAATTTCTGAGTCTGTCTATATTTCTGAGATGAGGTATTATGTACATTATTCAAACTATTGTCCTCATCTTTTTCGCCATATCTATCACAACATTTCAGCCGTTGTACACTTCAGGTGGTTGGAATGTCGAACCGAACCCTTTATTTCGCTCACTGGGGTAGACTGTTCTAGTTCCATGTGCCATGTTTGATGGATATCAGTTACCTCCTTGAGGACACATGGCACAGTGGATAAAAGCGTTGGTTAGATCCAGTGACAGGACCCAAAGTGTGTGAGTTCAATACCTGGTTAAGGCAGTGGAGAACTTTCAGAGGGAAATTAACAGGATAGAATAGAAAGGTATATAATAATGATAATACCCCCATTTAAAAAAATTCTAACATAAATCAATTTCTATAATTTGTACTGTATTTTGTATAAGATACACCTTTTTTACCACCAAATTTGATATCAAAATCTGCTTGCTTCATATACACCAAAGGTATGAATAATTATATATATATAAAAATAATTATAATTATTTATATATATATATAATAATGATTATATATATATATAATTATTTATATATATATATATAATTATTATATATATTTGTTTTTCCTATTTTATTTTGTTGATAATTTTTAAATTAATGTCAAACATTAACTGCAAAATATATCAATCTGTGTTTTTTGAAATTAACCACAATATGCCTATATATGTTAATTTACTATTCCTTTTCTTCTTTCCCCACATTTTTCCTCACACCCCTGCTCCCACATTTGCTTTCTTATATCTTTTCTTCTGTTTTTCTTTTTGTCTTGCTTCTTGTGAGATGACTTATTAAATACGTCAATGTCTGATCCTTACCCCCCCACACCTTACTCTTAAGTATTTTAATAAAAATAGATTTAAAATTATTCCTATCTCTCCCTTCCTTTTCTAATTTCAACCATATCTGTCCCCCTCTCTCTATCACCTTACATCAACTTAAAACTATCCCTCAAAATTCTATAAAAATAATGCATAAATTTAAAACCATTTTTTATGCTTGGAAATGTCATTTGAGGAATCAGGCCAAAAAACACCTTCCTGGGGAAATAAAATATGGACCACTAAGGCTGTCTGTTTTCTAATTAAATTAATTAAATATATATAATCACTTTAAAAGTTATTTTTAGTGGATACTTATATTTGAGTAGAGATTTCATTTATTTATTAAACAGTATATTTATTTATTTTTGTCTACTGGCCTAAATATTTGAGAAATCTTATTAAAGAAAAATATGAACTCTGTCTGGATTTGAACCTGCAGCCTCCTGGGCAAAGGGAAGCCATTGTTAGTCTGATGAGCCACAAAGAAGCTCTGCTGACCAAACAAGGTCTGAACAGTGTCTTGAAGCAAAATCCTTTCCATTACAAATTCCTCAAAATTTCTATATCTGCTCAGTTTCATATCCACACATAAACAAAGCAATTTTCTAAAGAAGTAATGGATTTTTATTTATTGATCCAACAGATTTTTATCACATTAAATGTTATTTTTTGTGGATACTTATATTCAAATATGACTAGCTTTTATCCAAAACTTTGTCTTCAAAATAAGGCCATGTCCTATCCATCAGTGCTTATATTTCTTATATTAGGAAAAATATGGCAGTTTATAACAGTGTAGAAATTTATACTAACCCTTTTTAAACCTCCCTTTCACTTATTCTAACAATTATTTCAGAGTAATAATTAACCAATATTACCTTATATACTTTGATTTATATAACAGTGAAAACATGACTATTTTATTGCAGTAATTTGTGTAGTTTAAAGAAAATAGTTTCACACTTCATACTGATGTTAACCTTTTATTTAGGAAAGATACTACGAAAATATGTTGCCTCTCTGGGCCAGCAGTAGCTAAAAGAAAGAAATCTAAGAGGGCCTTAAAGTTTACTGCATCTCTTTTCTTCTAAAGTCTTTGCCAAGTTTGCAAGTAAATAATAAAGGGATTGAAAACAGACCAGTTAGTATATATTGAAGTGAATTTGATATCAATAAGTACGTAAATATTTATATAGTATCACTTTAGTAAAAATTACTGAATGTTTTTTTTTGGGGGGGGGGTCTTTTCAAGGTAATTTTCAAAATTATTTTTTTGTTTATTATATTCAATCATTATGTCCAAAGTTTGTAAGATTGCAGTGTTAGTTAACATGGAATTAAAAACAATTCTCTCCTCAACTGAGATGACATGTAATATGAATTTTTTTTCCTGCTAAGGTTTTCAAAACTTATTGAAATATTTACATTAGAATTTTTGTTTAAAAGTAAAATGATATACACACACACATATATCCAATTTCAAAGTTGTTGATAGTTTTTAAAATATATAAAATTGCAAGATTAGTTAAAATTGTAATAAATTATGATGTTTTATATTTTTGATGACTTATTTCAGTGGTTCAACCATGGCAGGAAGTTAATTCTTTAGAGAAGCCATCCTCAGAATCTGTCCTGATAGCTTCCTATGCTCTTCTGACTCAGCTACAGTATGATAATATTACAACTGCTTTTCAAATTTTCAATTGGTTGATTCAACAAAAGGACAAAAATGGTATGTTCAGCTCTACACAGGTAGGTAGAAACAAATGTCACCTTTTACAATACGTATATCTGTCATAAATTTCAGTCACGTGTGAAACAAAATCATGTGTTCATGTGAAAACAGTACTGAAAAATACTACAAATTTTTGTTTCAACCCATTACATAAAATATCAAATTCCTTAAATCTACTTTGATATGTCTTACAGAGATTATTTCGACAGCTAAAATTTGGTAAATCAATTTTAGTGTTATAGAATAATGTCTGTACCCAACTATAAATTAATGAACACATGTTGTATAATATTGCATTATTTTAATTTTCAGTGTAAAGAAATAAATTTAAATACTAATATCACTGTTTCTATACATGTAAAGAGTCTTGGAGGCATGTTGGAGTAATGAATCATGGCTTTGATTAAGGAATCAAGGAGCAGAGTCCAAATTCCAGTTGAATTCATTACATTTGATAACATGCAAATACCCTTGGGAAGGTATGAATCGATCTCTTCTCTCTGGTAGATTTATAAATGGGGAAGATGGATTCTGATGAGAAAAATTGTCCAGCATGACACAGTGAACCAACTTTCCTAGCAGTAGACATAGCAATTGATTCGATAACTTCACTTCATATCAGTGGAAAAAGTAAGCCCAAGAAAGTGCAAAGTGTTCCTCTCCTGGAGTTTAGCATTAGCCATGCTGATAGTAGACAGAAAAGGTTCTGTATGATGATTAAATGAAAGCAGCTTTGTTTTGGAGGCTTAATGCCTCCAAAACAAAACTGCTTTTACAAGCCATTCCTTGCCTCAGTTAACCACTGATTGGATGTCCTTCTCAAGAGCAGTTGCTAGTTTTACTTGTTCCATCTGTCAAATTTACTACTAAGATGGGAGTAAATAACTGTGTCATCAGCATAAATACCTAGTTGGAAAATGATGACATTCGGAAGAATGTTGATGAAAATAAGAAACAAAGTAGATCCAAGGATAGAAGCAAGAATGTATCCTAATAACTCTGACCATCTACTGAAGACTAAACTTATAAATAATGCATATAAAATGTTTTTCATGATTAAGCAAGTGCAGTGGCTGTAACATATGTTATGAAAGCAATGAGCTTTCCTCTTTGATACCCCAACTTCATGAATTGAAGCACAGTACTAGATTGGCAGATAGGTCTCATAATTTCTCTTTTGAAATTGTTAGTTGTAACCATGAGTTCTAATAGTTTCTTCTTCTGCACTACTTGCTTGTCAAACTCATTCTGGATTCTTGCTTTCCTGTCAAATATGATCTTCAAAAATTTAAATACAATATCAATCAAAATACTCTGTTACCTTAAATCCTGTTCTTTTATTGTCTTTTCTTCTTCTATATTTCTCACTCTCAGTCATCCCTTGAATCATAATGGCTTTATTTCCTTGCATGGGTTGAAATGATTTTAAAAAATACACATAGATATTGAATCATAAATTATTTACTCAGCTAGGGATAGAGCTTATAAAACAAATAAATATTTAACTTATATCAACATAAACAAACCTTTAGATATTTGGGTAGATTTAATGGCTTTGAAATGATGAATAATTAAAAATGCAGTTCCATCAAGCATTAACATTTCCAGATCGTAAGATGCCAATTTCACCAGACAACTTTAAAGTATAATTTAAAGCAAGTTCTTTGAAAATGCAGAGCTCCTAGCATTTGATCCTTTTGCTACAAAGTTAATCTGAACTTTGTATCTTTTGAGTGCTGGTAAACTTATTGAATCATGTGTACATTGTCTGCTTCTCAACTGAAGAAAGAACATCAGCTGATAATGATTTAATGCTACCCATAAATAATTCATCTAATTTCATGAGTTTTGTGATATCAACTCGTTGCCACTTTTATGATGCTAACGAATACTCATTGTCACTTTCGTAATGCTCGTTGTAGTAGAGACATTGTAATCGTAGATACAACTTATAGTATGCTGTTGAACAATGCTGGAGTCAGATGCCTTCAAATATCACTTGCACTGATATTGCCATGCTGATGGTAGACAGAAAAGGTTCTGTATGATGAGATAATAATACTCGCTCAAATAATAATCCATATAGTGATCTGAATAGAGGAATACTATAATAAATAGAGTATAGAATAGCGGTCCGTATAGTAATAGAGGATACAGGAGAAATGGTGATCTGTATAGTAATAGAGGATAGAATAGAAATGCGATTGTTTAGACATCACACTAATATCTCCCATATATGCATTTCCTCTATGGTTACGTGATCTACTTAATTCAATAATTGGATTACCCATGTTTGCACACTGGCGATCTATATTCAAACTCAAGTGCTGGCAGCAACACTTTATTCCTCTATACAATGAGGATGAATTTTGTCATTCAATTTCAATTTAATTTTATCATAATTCCCTAATTAATAATTGATTGCTCCTACACAATAATATTACATTTTTAAAGTAAAGACAAAATTTAACATTTAACAAAAATGTTATTGATGAAAATTAAAATAAAGAAAAAAACAGGAATTTATTTAAAATGTCACTCTTTTGCAGAAGAAAAAACAATGGTCTTTTTAAATGAGATCCTCTGTTTCTAAGGTATATTTACCTTTTCAGTCTTAAAAGGCCATTGACAATTTCATGGAACATGTTTTTTCATATGTGATTTTTAATACATGAATATTGATATATTTTATAACTATAAATGAAAAATATTGAAGCAGAAATTTTTTCAGTTGCTTCAGACACAAGAATAATTTAATTCTGTTTTACTTTTCATTTATTTTGTTATTTATTTGGTTATTTAGTTTACAAAATATATGTGGGCAGCTTTGGTAGTATCTGCCATCAGCATAGATATTTACCTAAACATTTAAAAACAATAAGGACAACCATGGAAAAGTCAACAATTTTCTAGAAAAAGAACATGCTAACAAAGTATAGAAATGTATGATATGCCTTCTCTCTGACCATGAAAAAGAAAACTAGTGGCTTTTATAAAAGTGATCTTTATTCACAAGTTCAGCATGTCATGGTGCAAGAGATTGTGCCTACTTATGAGTTTTAAGTCATATCTTAGCAGTATCTACCTAAAAACTGTACAAACTGGGTTTCACTAGTGGCTGTTAAGGATGACATGACTGTGACAGTGATTATGAGAATGTGCTGTTGAAATGGCCACCACATTTACCTGACTTGACACCTTGTGATTTTTTCAATGCATACTGGGGAAGAAGAAAGTTAATCCAATAGATTGTTTTAAGGTCTCAGGATTTGACCCCCAAAACTAATTGTTTGATGATGAATTATAGAGATTTACAGATATATTTTCAAAGAATATAATGCAAAAAAGAACAAACAAATTACAATTTTTTTTCGTACAAAGGATTTAGTTCTCATTTTTTTCAAACAAAAAAAATAACTGTTGAACTATATTACATTGGAGGGGTTACTAAAAAGTACTCAGCTCAACCCACTTTTGAAAAATAAGATTTCAATGAACAAACATCGGATTTTCTTTTCTTTTTCTGAAAGGGTTAAAGAAACTTGAAAAATGATAAGCCAAGTTTTTAAGGCTTTTTCTTCAAAAATTTAAATGCAATGTCAGTCATTATCTTTTCTCTTCTTTATTGTTGTATTTTTATTGTTTTCTTTCCTTAATAGTATATTTTTCTCATATTCTCTAACACTCAGTAACCCCCGCCCCTTACATCTTAGTGGTTTTATTGCTTCGCTTGGAGTGAAATGATTTTAAAATAAGTGTGAGGGAGAATGTGCAAAATAATCTGTAGACTTCACAGCTTAAGGTCATTGTTTTTAATTTGGCCAAGAACATTTCAGCGTCCTCTCATATTTTAAATTTCTCATCAAATAATCTTACAAAAGTGTTTCTCATATACAAAATGTCTCGCAAAAAATTGAAACCATTTTGTAGTCTAATAACAATCTCAAATTTTAACAAAATGTATAAAATCTAAGTTGACTGTGTGGACTTACCTCAATGAGAATCTAGAATGAAGATAAATTGGGTGTGCCAGTGATTATTATACAATGTGCTGTTGAAATGGCCACCACATTTACCTGACTTGACACCTTGTGATTTTTTTCAAGAGGGCTATGTGAAAGGACAGGTGTATATTGCTCCTCTTCCTACAAGCCTAAAGGAACTTAAACAGATAATCACTGAGACACTGGAGAATGTTACGCAAGACATGCTACAGCATGTTTCGTAGAAGCTGGACTACCGACTTGGCGTGTGTCATGTCACAGGTGGTGCACATATTGGACATTTGTGATGCTTTGTGAAATCGGTTATAAAATCTACAACCTTTTGCATGTCTTGTTCAAATTTTGATAAATAATTCTTTTATTGTTCAACATAAAGCCTATTAAATTTTGTTTGCATGACTCAGATGTTCACATTTTAAATGATGTTGATTTTTGGGGGACACCCTGTATTATGAGTATATCAAAGAAGACCATATACATTTTTCCAGGTTTTCTGAAACTGTTATCTTTATATTTTTTCCAGAATACTGTCATTGCTCTGCAGGCCTTGGCTGAATACAGCATCAAATGGAATGCTCCTGATTTGAACCTGAAGATCATGCAGCTAACTAAGAATTATAATATGAAATCAGATGCAACAATAAACAAAACATCATTTTTAAAAAAAATAAATCCATCAGTTGTGAGTTAAATAGAGAATATTTTATTCTTTACTTGTGCCAAAAAGTAAAACAAGGCGAATGTGCAAAATATATAAATCTCAATATAAACTTACTTTTAAATGCCTAAATCATGGTTAATGGCAGCAAAACTTGAAGAATTATCATTTTATAATTTTTTGCAACACTCTGATGTGTGTTGAAATTCTTACAGTATTTAGTATTGTTATTTAGTATCACTAACATTTTTTGTTGAGATTTACAAACTCTGTTTCATTCAATAAAAACTTTTAATTTTCCCCAAAATGAATGAAAATTAATTGTATTCGGCTATGCACCCTAGTACTTCTCCCCAAAATTTGGTTTTGATCAGTCAATGTATGGCTATTTTAGAGGGTCTGGTGGATGGACTAATGGAAGTCACAGAATTTTATATATAGATAGATTTGTTTTTTTTTTGTTTTTCTTAATATGAGCTGAAGACTTAACAATTATACACTGTTAAAAGAAACTTTTGAATATTTGTATGCAGTAAATTTTAGAAGCTAATGTTTTGATGAAAAAAATGGCAACTTAAACTTTATCATTTATTTTGAAAATTAATGGCAGTAATGATTTTAGACAAATGATACAACTCAGCTCAGTAGTAATGTAATAGACTTTAACCAAGAGAACAAATTTTTAGTCTTCTGCTTAATACTCAATTCCAGAAAAAATTTGTTGGACTAAAGACCCCAATTATCCCCATATATAAATTCCTCAAATGTGTAACAGGGTCGGATATTGAGGTAGTTAAAGTAATTACCCTGTTGTCCCATGTAGTAATTTGTAGTAGTAATAGTTGACAGAGAAATCCTTTTACTTTTTTTATACTGAAAACAAAATGAATAAAAATGTACAATAACATAAACAATAAGACTATGTGTTGACATTAATAACAAGAATGTGTATTTTTCTTTTTAGTGATGTGAATTACAGATATTAGTATGATGTGTGTTAAAAATGTTCTCAGTTTTACTGTCTCTTTTTTTTTCTTTAAAAGTTTGTGCTTATTTGTTTTTGTTTGTTTTGAGAATTTTGTTGTTAAGAATAATGTTTGAGATTGTCAACTTTTGATTTTCTGAAGCAATATTGATACATCTGTGTTGAGCCTTTTTGCTACTGCTACTCTAGTCTATTGGCCCTACTCTTCTGACTGCCCTCGCTTCTAGTGAAGAGTCATTTTTATAATCAGATTTTAGAATGATGAACTATCTTTCTCATCTTTCATCACTGGTGGCAAGGATTTTCTTAGGATGATGAAATTTTTTATCTTTATTTCAGGGATGATGAAATATACTTATTTTCTATCATCACTGATTGCAAACTTATTTTTAGAATGATGAAATATCATCATTCTGGATCATAACAAATGATTCATGAAATGTTATGTTGACTTCTCTTTACCTTAAGTTACATACAGTAATTTGTCAATTGAGTTAAGAACTTTCAATTGATCTAGCAACCCATGTAGAGCTAACATCAAAGATTTATATACAGAACAATAATTTTCATCTTTATTTATCTATATTATTAGATAAATAAACTTATCTAGTAATATAACTAGATTACTATTAAATAAATCCTCTTCTACTAAAGACTAGATTAAATACATGGTATTTTCTTTCCTCTAAGCAAATCCACCATTTTCTTTTTGGGAATATTTTACATATGAGACACGCCTGAATCCATTTTCATCCAGGAAGTCAGCCATTTTCTCTAGTGTTACATTTTCCTACATAAAATTATTGCTTATTCATTTTTTAACTTTGTCAATTAAGACTGGTATGAGGGTGTGTGGCTTTGGGGATTTTCTTTGAACATGGTTCTTCTTCTCATGAGAATGTGAAAGACTTTTGCTTTCCCTTTCTTAGTGGGACACTTCTATAACTTCCTGTCATCCAGTTATCATGTGCTTGCATATTCTAAGGTCAACAGGGTTGACTACCTGTTTACATGTCGAGAGCAGCCATTGCCATTTTTGAGACACAATTTTGCACCTAGTGGCTATGAGATCACTTTCCAGCCATTATCATTAAAAAAAAAAAGAAATTAAAATTCTAAATTATTATAAACACACAGACACAGTAAATGGGATGTAGAATTATTTTCACTAAATTTATTGCTTTTTATTCAAAGATGTTTATGTAATTGAATAGAGATTTTATGATTTATAAAATATGATACCATCAATTATGATTTTGAACAATAATGAATTTTTCCAATTCCATTTTCTCTCAGGATGCCACAGAAAACCAAATAAAGATCACTTCAATTGGAGTACCTTCAACTTATGTACAAGTTTTGACAGATTTCAACATTTTCAACACCAAACAGAAGAATTGTCATTTTACCATAATTTATAGCATGGGAAAGTAAGTCATGAATTTAACTCTTCTATCAGAATTTAAAACAACAACAAAAAAGCAAATAATTACAAGCATTGATTGAAAAGTAAGGTCTCCTACCAAAGGGTATTACTAATAGTAGAAAGAGTAAAATATCTTTAAGATGAATAGATTGGCAGCTATGTTTCATTATTTTATTGTTGAAATAGCTAGATGTAACTAAGTTCTATTCTAATAGTTTCTTTCCTTGCCTTTGTAGTATATAAAGTCCTGTTCAAACATACTTTGTTTGAGTGACAGCATCTGTTAGCCCGAGTATGATGTCCTAGTGATCAGTGGGGATGAATTTTACATTCATCATAATGACCCTGAAAACAAAAGGCAATCTATGGAATATTATTGCCAATGTTCTCAGGAAGTAAGAAAATCCAAAACCGTCCTTTCAGGGCAGAAAACTATGCTGACAATTTTTGGTAACACAAACAGAACCATTTACATAGAATTTCTGCCAAAGGAAATGTTGATTAATTTGATAAAGTATTGTGAAAACTTACTAACACTCAAAAAACACATCCACACAAAATGTCCTAAAAGAACTTTTTGGCCTCATGAGAACACAAAGCTACATTGGCATCAACAAAAAATAGAAGTGGTTAAAAGCCTGTAATTCATAGTTGCTGTGTGTTTACTGTATAGTCCCAATTTGGTATCATTTTCTCCAAATTGAAAAAAAAAGAATTGAACGGTTAACATTTTTCATGTAAGTTGATGTTGCAGAGCACAATTGGATCAAAATTAAGCCAGAAATATTCTTCATAGAAAAATGTGTAGCAAACATGATGACAATATTGAAAAAAATAGTTTTGAAGAAAAATAAATCAATTTCATTTGATACCAGTTTCATTATTCTATCTTATCTAAAACTAGTTTTATATGATTAGAGACCTTATTTATCAATCATCATGTTTAATTTTGAAAAGTAACAAATTCATTTCATTTTCATACCAGTTTAATTATTCTAGTCTAACAATGTCTCTATAGGATTGAAGACATTGCTTAGCAACCAACTCATATTTTTTGTGGAATAAGTTTAAGAACAATAATTTTAACTGACCCCCACCTAACATTAATGTTTTCAAATTATTCAGGGTTCAGAGAACATAACTTCTATTTTTCTTTGCATAAATTCTGATATTGTAATGGTTTAATATTTTTTATAAGTGAATATTGTTATGCATTATTACAGTAACAAATTTTATTTTCTTATGTATTACAGGTTCCCATCAGTCTTTTTATTTATAAATACATACTTTCTGCATTAAATCAAAAATTTGAGGTCAATCATTTACATCACAATATTTCTTCTTATTGTAAAATACCTACTTTTGTCTATCTTCATGTTATTTATCTTTGAATTTAATTTATAAAATATCTGATTACGACAATATTTTTGTTCACAATCTCTCAATCAGCATTAAATATTCTTAATTAAAATATCCATATTAAATGAAAAACATTGTTAATTTTATTGTTACTGTAATTGCTTTCAATTAATGGATTTATTATTTACATTTGAACTATTGTCCTGATTTTTATTGTTACTATCACAATGTTTCAGACAGAAATTTTAACAGATTTTATGTTAAAGAATCACTTTCTGTTTTATGAGACTTTCATTTCAGCCTTTTAATTTTTGTTTAATTAAAAACAACATTGGTTCTCTTAAATGTAAATTTTGTTATAGTATTTTTATTTCTCTTTAAAAATGCACTAAATTTATACATTTTCCTCCACTTAAAAATTTTCAAAATTAATAAATGTAATATATCTAAATGAAAACAGTCTCCTCTTTTGGGTTGAATAAAGGGTTCAGTTTTAAAATCCCTGAAGATTACCAAATAATATGAAGTCCAAAAGAAGGCTGGAAGGTAACAACTGCTAAAATGCTGTGACTATTAACAAAACAGGATTGTACTCAATAAACTGAGTGAGAGCACTTCACCAGACTATAGAAAAATATTTCCTGATGAGAAATTTCAGTAAAATTAAATAATATCTAATGGTTAAATCCACTTTGGCAGAAAAGGAGACCAGCTTGCTACTGCCACTCCTCAGAATACATCCATTAAACTGTAGTGTAGGCAGTGGCATAGCTAGAGTAACCCCGATTCACTCTATGCTGAATGGTTAGCTGTAGCTAAATTTTCATACATGCTCTATCTCTACTTCACTCTACTGACCGGTACGTTACTGTTTACATGTATGATCCAAGACAAAATCCAATACTACAAAATAATCAGTTCAAATCAAAAATGAAAATGCAACTGTTCACTTTCAGAACACGGCAATACACAAGAATGACATTCGATACTATGGTCTTAGAATGAATGTTTTCTTGTTTTCATTGTGGCAAACTGGTCAATGACATCGTCAAAATCTATTTGTCTTGTAAACTCGTTTTCAATGGACAGCACAGCCAGATCCGAGAGTCTCAATGGCTCATGGTTGACGTAATTTTCTGTTGCTAATGTTCCGGTGTCCAATTTTCCGTTGCATCATTTTCTGGGTACCATTTAATTATCAATGATGTTTGAAAGTATTTTTTTGACAAAAATGTTCTATTTAATTTTTAAGCATTTTTCGGAACATTGTAAATCAACTGCATTCTTTTAAAGGTTACCTAGAGAATTTATGCAAAGTTTATTTTTTTGTTTTTCTTTATACAAGTAAAATAAATTTACATCGTATTTTGATGTTATTATGATTTTAGTTTTAGTGATAATTTAAAAACAATAAATATTTATCATTAGTACCAATAATGGAAAATTAAGTTAAAAATTTAAAAGAATCGTTTAGGCACAAATTTTTTCGATACCGTTTCCGATACCCCAAAAAGTTCCGATTCTCGATTCCGATTCCGATTAATCGTCCCAATACTAGTAGATATATTCAAAAGTATATCGCTCACTCAATGGAAAATTGTATCTCAGCGAATTGATACACAGGCAAGACTGAAATTGTTGCACTTTTGGCTTCGTATTTCACTTTGTTGTTATTAATGATGCAGAGTTAAAACAATATATCATCCAATAAAATGTTACAACAATGTCTCTTGTTAGTAACCAAGATTGTAGCAACTGAAACACATGAAAGCTGAAAACATTGCTATTTTTCCTACTCACAAATTTCCTGACAATTTATTAGAAAATTTCTAACGGGGGGACCAAACTGGGGGGTCATAAATTATTTCTGCGGAGTCATATGCCTGCCTGCGAAACCCTGTGTCTCCACCACTGTTTTCAGACTATTTTTGGCACCTTAGCCTGGTTGAAAAATTTTGCTAGGGGTGACATTGTGTCACCCCTCCTGTGCTGGCACCCGGGGCAGTCCCCCCCTCGCCCCCCTTAGCTACCCCACTGGGTGTAGGAGTCTAATATCTTCAGAAATTGGTTAGCCAAAGATGGTGAGAGATGGTGAGAGCCACAAGAACCAGCATAGTTAACAACTATAATGACCAAGATGAGGACACTAGTCAAATTAAATCACGGTCTAATAATGGCAATTTCTCATCTCCAGAATCCAAATAAAAAATAAAACAGTATTTTCACTTTTTACTTAGAAAAATATTTCTACTTTTGAGAATAAATAATTTTGAGTTTCAACTGACCTACAGCAAAAAAAAACAAATGTAACATCTCCTTTTATAATTTATGAAACTGTTCTAATTAAAACTGTTACAAAAATATTGGAATGTGCAATGCCAAAATCACATTTTTTATTTTCATTCTGATGCCTCATAAAGCAGCTTCTCCACTTATTCTAATGCCATTTTTCCTAATAAAATTATAATTTTTTTTATTTTCAGAAAAACTCCTCAAATAAACAGTTCCCATTACTTAAACATAACCCTCAAGTAAGTAATATTTTTATTATTTAAATGAAATATTTTAAATTTTCATTATTCTCTGATTGATCAATGTGACTGCCAAGTTTTTAAAAATAGTCTGTAGGAATCAGGAGTTTGGTTTTCTTTGTTGAGGTCACCAATTGTAGGAAATTTAGTCATCTAAGTTCATTTTATACTAAAAATACAAACATCCAAATTCCAAACAATAATAAAATAAAAATAAAGAAAACATGGGTATGACTGTTAAATAAATTATTTTTAATTGCAAACATATGTACATGAATATAAAAAAATGAAAAGGAGTAAAAATAGTCTTTAGTTGAGTTAGTCTTTGGATAGTTGGTGCACAGCAAAATCTGTATTTTAGAAAAAAATTTTAAATGCTTGGTCCACCATAAAAAGCTGTGGTATAGAAAAGATTTTATTAATTGGTTCACAGTCAAAACTTTGATTGAAAAAAGACTTCTATTGTTAGCAAAGATTCACTGACCATCTCTGTTGTCGGAGATAATTCATTTGAAGTTATTGCTGGCTGTCCATACTGTTGTTGGAAATGATTCATTTGAAGTTGTCGACTGGCTGTCTATACTGTTAATGGGAATGATTCATTTGAAATTGCCAACTGATATGTCCTGAAAAGGGATATATTGGTTTGAAGTAGCAAAGTGGTTTTGGACTACTGTAACCAAGTAAAACAATCTAGGAAGTAACCGTAATGGACTGGTCCTCATCGTAGTGGTAGGCAACAGGCATAGGCAATAAGTGAAGACTATAGGCATAGCCAATAGGTGTCGTTCTGTACCTTCACATCAGTCTGTATTTATGGCTGACACCAGCCAATCATATTACTGTGAGGTGTATGCATATTCATTACATCACCAACATATGTTTCTTTCATCATATATTTTGGGGAGACAATCACATCTCTACTCAGTGAAAGTCAAAATCTAAGAATTTTTATAAGAAAATTTTCCCAGCAGTGGGTGAAAGAAAAATAGAGTTTTATTTTTTTCTGATTGGCCATATATTTTACAAATTTTGTAATTTCTAACCTATAGACACTTTGATTTAAATGGTGTGTGTTGTATTTTGGAATCTTGTTGGGATGTTTGTAATATTCTCTGTTATTGGGTATAAAATAGAATTTCTTTCTAATAAATAATAATTTACAGTTTTATAAGATAATTGATAAAATAGTGAGGAAGCAGAAAAATAACCTGGTTAATTCAAGTAACTGAAATTGTATTAAAATATCTGATTAAGTATGTTGTCTGTCCCTAATTTTTCTCAATTTGATAACTGGAATTTATCCTTGAGACTGTAATATAAGCAATTTTAACTCCCTTAACATTTCGACCATTTTTGCCCTCCTGCCTTCCTCAGGTGTTTATTAATCCTCCATTGGTGTATCACATCAGGTCCATACTGATTGAATAATTTTGCCTGAATTTCTGAGATGGGGAGTTAAGCCTGAGGAAGGTTGGAGGGCACAATGGCTAGTGTAGTGATAAAAACAACAAAGATGAGGACACTGGTCCATATATAAATAGTGTAAATAATCATAAATTCCATTCATAAGTAAATAAAAATGTTCCTTTCTCTGAAGATTATGAGACTAAAACTTAAAAATATTGACACAATCAATTACAGTTTTTTTTAATCTACATATCAAAATGTATTAATTATATATATATATATATATATATATATATATATATCAAGAAAACACCTTAAAAACCCATATTTGTTATAATTCATTGAATGAATATTGTTATATTCATCTCTTCAGATGGATAGTTTTTGAGATTTTCTTAAAATATTTTGGTCTGAAGAGACGAATATAACAATATATATGAAATAAATTATAACCAATATGGATTTTCAAGGTGTTTTCTTGATTTATCATTATATATTGCTCTGTAACTTACACTGAACTCTCATCAGATTAATGTCCTCCTTGGAATTATCCCTACCAATTACAAATTGGTATTTTATATATATATATAATTATTTATTTAAAAATTATAACATAAATATGTTATAAAATCACTACAAAAATAGCCATTTTGTTTCAACACCTCCAGTGTCTTATCAAGTGATGATATTGAATGTAAAATAAATGGTTTTAAAAGTTTCAAATTAATAAATGATCCTTATGTGTGTGTGTGTGTGTGTGAATATATATATATATATATATAATCATCATGATATTATTATTATTATTATTATTGCAATAAACCACTATCCCAACAGACACAGACACAGATAAATGAATATTCTTGTGCACCTGGCTACTTACTGAACCTGAACACATTTATATGCACATAGACACTTATGTACAATTCTTGTCTATTTTGGCATCATCATTATTAATAATTTTTTATCATTTTCACTTGATGTCACGTTATCCTGCATATTCTGACATGATAGGAAATGCTAAAACCATTTCTACAAACACACACACAAAATTTAATCTGTGTACATTGAACATTTTGGGATTGCCACTAAGGTCTAATAAATAGAATTTCTGATACTTGAACTACTTAACATTTTATTGTCATTTGCCATGCTCACTCCCAATTTTTACAACAAAATTTTATGATGATCAATTTATGGTGCAAAAATGTATGATGTCTGAACACATAATTATAATCAACCAATCAGATTGATTGCATTTTAAATAACAGTCTGAGCCTCCTTTTTTTGTATAAAACAGAAATAATTCTTCAACTTCAATTAGATATGATATATATATATATATATATATATATTATATATATATATAGCCACATGTCTCTCTATCTCAATTTAATTTTTAAAATCATAGAACTGTGAAACTAGCAAAGTTACTCTAAATAAATATTCCTGAAGACTTCAGTTGCATTTTCAACTTCTTGTGTATATATATATATATATATATTTAAATTACAATAAACGTGCAATCAATTTACAAATACATGAATTATTCACACAAAACTAATGCAAAGGTTAATGATTTAAATGGCGAGACATCCATCTCGCAAACAATTCAAATAGTACACAAAAACCTCCAGATCCGTTATGAATGAATTGATCCTTGTTTATATAAATTTCTGCCGTATTAGTTGTTATTTTTACTATAAGCTTTCGTCTGTTCCTACAGACATCTTCAGGTATATAATAGATGTTGTTCTTGTTTTTTTCTCTTAGTAATAAGAGGACATCTAAAATATATGTGTATTGTATCCGAAATGCTATTGAAAATGAGATATTGGTTTTTAAACGCAAACACTTTAAAAAATTTTTTCAAACTCAGCGTTGCTTTGGCGCGTTCAAAAACCAGAAAAGAGAAAAAAACAAGAACAACATCTATTATATAACTGAAGATGTCTGTAGGAACAGACGAAAGCTTGTAGTAAAAATAACAACTAATACGGCAGAAATTTATATAAACAAGGATCAATTCATTCATAACAGATCTGGAGGTTTTTGTGTACTATTTGAATTGTTTGCGAGATGGATGTCTCACCATTTAAATCATTAACCTTTGCATTAGTTTTGTGTGAATAATTCATGTATATATATATATATATATATATATATCACTCATTTCCTAGAATATCTGTCTGCTAGAGTAGCTAGCATTTGTGTTTGTTCAACATCCACAGTCAGGCTATTTTATATTGTAACTACACTTAGCAGAAATTAGTTACTATTTCTGGGAGGGACTACATAATCTAGAATGATCTCCAGTTTGAACAAGGCCAGTATACTCAAATCCTCAGTCTTGATGACTTGTAACTTCATACTAGTACAATCATTGATGACTTACAAAAAGTTTCCTCTAATTTGACTCACAAGGCTTTGAATCAAACTGTGGTATGGTTTTACTGGGATCATCTTCCCAGGCTGATCATATCAAAATGTCACCTTGACAAATCAACTATGGTGAAATTTGAAGCCAGATCTCATGATCAAAATACTAACATTTTAATCATTTGACCAAGATCTTTCTGTCTTTCTGGCCAACTTCTCAAGAAGGTAACTTGATATTTGCCTGGAGAAGAAGTCCCAATATGCAGCACCATTGGGAAGTACCTGAAAATACACCACAGGTTGACCCAAGTCTTGTGTGTAAAATTGGTTAAACAAAACTGTTTGGAAAACATCAAATATTGTGCTAGCAAAAAGTTACAAGTCATTAGGACTTGGATGTACTCACCTTTTTTTTTCCAGAAAGCCATAACTAATGTATGCTGAGCATAGTTGCAGGTTGGCTCTGTAGGCTTTGTAAAAACAAAATATACCTGAGTGGGCATCTGTAACAAGGATTGCCTAGATATACTAGTATGAAGTTTGATAATACTGATATTGATCCCCACATTTGTTTTGATATTATTTATACACAAAAAATAAAAATAAAAAATTTTGGAAAATAGGCAAAAAACACCAGTGGATATTATCAATATGGATGCATAGAAACTACAATATCTCTCTTTCTTACAGATAATATTTGTGTTTATGACTATCTTTTCATCTTAATCAAGAAGGTATTTTTCAGAAACTGACATTTTTAACATTTCATCATTGAAATTTGCTCTGTTACTTAACTAAATATTTAGCTTTATTAAATATTCCATCATTTTTTACTTTCTTGAACTAAAAAGAAAAGATACTTAATTTTTCTATTGGTTATTCCATGCAAAAACAGAAGAAACTTTGAAGCCAAACATAAAGCTATTAATGTCTGCTTTTGAAATACCAAACTAGTTGACATGTTTAACACTGTTTTATATTCCAATATCAAAATAAAGTCTGCTGACCTAAAAAAAACACTGTTCAGTTTCTCTTGTTTATAAATTCAAATTTCAAAATGGTAGATGAAGTGAAAGTTAACTACATAGTTTTTTATATTTATTATCACTGCTTCTTATTTTTTTCAGATACAATGGTACCTCAACAATTCAAACACCAGTTATGGAATTGGATTTGATTAGTGGATATTACATGAAGAATACTGTATTAAAAATGGTATAAATATTTTATCTTTACTTTTATTACATTGTATCTACTTTATGTTTCTGTCTTCAGCTTTTATCAATATAAATAAAATTGTTGTGTCAGTCAAAAGTTTGTTACCCTTGAATATTTAACATTTTTCCTGAGTATTTTCAAAATATACATAAGGTAAAACAACTCCAAGAGTTTATCTTTTCTACCTCTAACCAGGGCAACCTAGCATTTCAACTTCTCTTATCATTTCCATGATAAGAACAATGGATCACAAGGCTTCACTATGCTAGTCTATAGTATATTTCATTAACAATTTATGCTCCAGGCTGGATAACTGATTCTGTTGTTATAGCATGGCAGATGTTTATTAATTAATATCTGGTTTACTCAACATTGCCATAACACTTAGAATGGCTTTGCTTTATGCTATACTTTTGTAAGGTAAAATTTACATACATTATTTTAATGTTTAACATGTATACTTTTCTTCTTTAATCTCTGAGTCTGATGGATAAGGACATTTGGTTCAATGAAAACTATTAATGTGTGCTAATTATATTAGAATGTGGATTTTAGCAGAAATTGAAATTGGCATGTCACACTTATTTCCATGGCCAGAAAAAACATTACATAGGATCTTACAGCGCCAATCAGAATCACTTTTGGGAGCGTATAAAAAGGAGCAACAAGATACTTCTGCTTTTTTCCCTCTCTGGACATTAGTCACTAGGCTCAGCTCTTTTCTTGTCAGTTTGTCATTGTAGATAGATGCACATGTTAACATCTCTCAAAATGAAGCTCTCACAACCAGGGTACATTTCATTGTCCTTAAAAAGACACCCACAACTGTACATTTTAGGTACAAACATTTTATATAACAATTACACATGTGCATTACTTATTATTTGTTTCTTATAAATTGTTTTCTGTGCATGTCACACTAAATGGTTCAGCCTTATTACTGGTTGTATCCTGTTTTACAGGATTTGCCTTTCTTTCTTTTTCTCTCCAAATCTGCTTTTTATGTCTACTGGGTTTAATTGTCATTCCTAATTTTCATGAATAACCTTCCTGATAGCATCAGTTCTAAACTTGGTATCTATGCTGATGACACAAATATTTACTCCTGACTTGATAGTAAGTCTAATCATTGTAGCTGATCCTAAAAAAATAATCTACAATCTGCTGTTAAGTGGGCAAGGAATGACTTGTTGATTTTAATGCCACCAAAATGAAACTGCTCTCTAACAATCATCTGAGAAACCACTTTTCTACCATTCATCCTTGTTTTGAATATTGCTGCCACATCTAGTCTGGTATGCCTGCTATATATTTAGAGATTCTTGATACAATACAAAGAATCTGCAATATTATTGATCCTGACCTGGCATCTCAGCTTCAGTCACTTTCCCACTACCATAATGTAGCTTCCATGTGCCTTTTCTATAAATATGTAATTGTTCAGATAAGCTCTTTACTATGGTACCTAAACTCAATGAATTTAAGCACAGTACTAGATTGGTGGCAAAGTCTCATAATTTTACAGTTGAAATTGTTAGATATAACTAAGTTTTTATGCTAACAGTTTCTTCTATCACACTTCTAGATTCTTGCTTTCCAGTCAACTTTGATCTGCAAAAATTTAAATGGAATGTCAATCATTATCTTCTGTTTTTTATTCTTCTCATATTCTATAACACTCACTAACTCCTTGTATCATAGCAGGATTTATTGACTTGCTTGGGGTGAAATGATTAAAAAAAAAGAAACTCTCTCTCTCTCTCTCTCTATATATATATATATATATATATATATATATATGTGGATGGTCCTGCACGAGGCCTTCACCACTATAATCAAATCTCATGTGCCGGTGTCGGGATGTCGGTTTCCTGGGGACTTCGACCCCTGACCCTCATACGTCGAACACCACGGGAGAGTCAATTATATATATATATATATATATATATATATATATATATATATATAATCAAATCAATATAAATAAATGTATGTGTAAGTATTCACATACATACGCACACACACACACACATACATATATATATATATATATATATATATATATATATATATCCTTTAGTGTAAATAAAACAGTGCTCAATGCAATATAACAGAGCAAGTATATATTAATAAATATACATAATACCCAATGCTGACAGTATGACTAAGAATTTCATGCAATAGTCTATAATATAAATTTCTCTAATAACAATTTTATTCATTTTTTTTCTGTCAAAACTTAAATATATAATTAAAATAAGTTTGAAATAAATAATGTAAATATTCAGTTGTTAATTTCATTTTTTACCTTTTTCTTGATACATTTTTTAATCTTTATTTCAGATGGAGTCTCTTAGTTACATTACCAAAATTGAAAAAAATGGACAATCTGTTTTAACATTTTTTCTTCAAAAGGTAAATATCTAACATTTAAATTCAGTATATATATATATATATATATATATATATATATATATATATATATGTATATAATTTAATAAATTTTGTCTTTTTACTATCTCTCCTAAAACTTGCATTTACTCAAGCTTGCTAGTTAGGTTATATGTTGTTTTCCTCTGTCTCTCTTGCCTTCAATATGTCCTGTGAGCATTAAATTTTCTAAGCTCTCTTTCCTCATTATGTGCCCTAGAAAAGTCAACAATTTCTGATATTAAGTATAAGCATCTTTTTTGTTTCCATTTCATTCTAAAACTTTGTTGTTGCTCACATGTTCGCTCTTCTGTACAACCACATTTCTATTGCCACAATAATTCTCTTCCCCATCTGTGAAGTGATTGTCTAACATTTACTGCCATATAGGAGACACTGATATTTATGTAACAATTCAGTACTCTTTTCTTGGAAAAACATTAATAGTTTTAACCCCTTCTATGCCAATTATTTTGAGAAAAACGTTTCGTTTTCAGACAAGTTTTTTATTTGTTTTTAGTATAGAAACTAAGAAACTGAAGCACCCTAGCAGTGGCTAACATCTCTACTAGAAATATAAGTTGATAATTGGACTTTTTTCAAGCCCAAAAGGGCATAAAAAGAATCAAGATCAACATATAAATATGTCTGTTTGAACATGATGTTTTGAACATGTTTAATCATCCATATCTGAAAAAGACACTTTCAGTAAAAACATGTATACACATCTACACCAGGGAAGAGATTATTAATTTCTTAAAGATTTTTATACAATTACCTTTTATAAATGGTATAATTATCTAATGCATAATCAAAAATTTTCAGATTAAATGTTGTCATATAATAACATCATTAAGATAGAGCAAATTTAAAATTTAGCTGACAACAATAATTAATGTTTAATGTAATGTATTTTAAAATATAGATTTGGTATCTGTGAATAAATTCAATTGATTTATCTCACTCTGATAACTAAATCTGTGTCTGTAAAACTAAAAGTCCATGGCATAAAGTTGAGTGATAATATTATATCAATTGCAAGGTTTACTGCTAGGAAAGGTGTTTCAATGTATTACTGCAGACAATTTTTGTGAAAATCTATCTTGCACATTTATAAATCTGTGCATTGAATATTGTTGCCATATATAGTATGGTGCTCCCGCTATATATCTCAAGATTCTTGACAAAATCCATAGAAGAGGATGTAATATTATCGGTTCTGATCTGGCATCTCGACTTCAGTCACTTTCTCACCACCGTAACATGGCTTCCTTCAGTTTTTTCTACAAATATTTTCATTGCAATTGTTCTGATGAGCTTTCCTCCTTGGTAACTTGGTTTGCATGAATTTATGTGTACTACTTTATTGGCAAATAGATCCCGCCATTTCATTGTTTAAATAGCTAGATGTAAGTGCAAGTTCAATTCTAATAGTTTCTTTTCTTGTACTTTTCACCTGTTGAACTTCCTCCCTGCTTCTTGCTTCCATGATACCTATGTCCTTCAAAAATTTAAATGCAATACCAATCACCATCATCTGTCTCTTTGAAAACTGTTCTTTTCCTCTCTCCTCACTAAAGTCTTCTCATTCACTCTCCTCTTTCCCTTCCAGTAACCTTTGTGTCTTATTGGCATTATTGCCTTGCTTGTGGTGAAAAGATTAAAAAAAAAGAAAGTCATTGAATTTTTTTACTTATCTCTCTCTCTCTCTCTCTCTCTCTAAATATATATATATATATATATATATATATATATATTAAAGAAAAAATATATATTAAAGAAAAATAAAAACTGTTGGTTGAACCAACAGACAACTTGTTAGTATCTAAAATGTCAATATTGAAAAAAAAAAGAGAAAAAGACCTAAAAGCAAACATACCTACTCAGTAAAATGGTCAAAGCCTAGATTAAGCAAAAAACACTTACCAACATTAAATCCTATGAATGGATGGGTCTAGTCATAACTTGAGTTTTATGCTCACACGATCTTCAGACGACTTGAACAGATCATGTGAGCATATATATATATATATATATATATATATATATATATGCACACAAATGGCTGATTACTTGTTTCTGAGTACACCTGTCTGTTAGGATGGCTAGCTAATCCTTGTTGCAGACACCTGCTCAAGCACATTTGTACTTGTTCAACATCTAAAGAGCCCACTGGTGGTTTCTACTGCAGCTAAATAGACCTTAGTTACAGTTTCTGTCTGGGAAAGAACATATAATATGGTATGATCACAATTTTTAATGAGACTAGTGTGCCCAAATCTCTCTCTCTCTCTCTCTCTCTCTCTCTATATATATATATATATATATATATATATATATATACAAATGTTTGGAGGTACAAAATTTATATATAGTTTTAAAAACAAGGAATGCATTGATTTTAATTTTAAAAGTCTCTAGGGCCCTTTCAGCCAACATCTCATCAGGAGACAATCGTTGGATTAGCGAAAAGAATATTAACGATAATGAAGAGCAAAAACAGTGGGAAACACACTAAAATAACAAACAAGTATATATACTTGTAACGAGGGGAGGGGAAATAATCGTGTAAATAAATTAGCGAGGGACAGTTAAAATAAAATATCCCCCAACAGATTAAGAGACTTTACAAATTCTTTCTGCTGTAAGTATTTCACCCACATTCACCTCTAATGATTTTAATATGCAATTTGTGTATAATATTGTTTTATATACAGAAAAGATAATAATAGTTTGCTTTAAGTAAATTTGGCTATTTTTTTTATTTCTTTCATTCATTTCAGCTTGAACCTGGCAAGGAGATTGTTTTGAATCTCACCCTACAAAGAGGGAATGAAAAACACTTGACACCTTCTTCAATAAAGATATACAATTATGATAAACCACGTAATTTTACTTTTGGTATTCTACAAGAAAGCAGAAAAAATTCAAAAATAATTAATACACTGGAGTGCGGAAAAGTTCTTGGACTGATAAAGAAGTGATTAAAAAATAATTCTGATTCTGTTATTTGACTAAATTTTAGGAAGAAGTTGAGTCAAGAACTTTACCATCCAATCATATTTTTTTAATTTATTGACATTTTTCTTGTAAGTTCTACAATTAATGCCATTAAACATAAAATAAGGTTTCAGTCCTTTTGGTCTTAGCTGTAAACGTTAGAATTGGTGGAACTAAGGAATGTAGTTTGTCTGAACACTTTCCACAGAAATAGCAACAGAGCAGCAAGAGGCTTGAAATGTTTCATTTGTGAGAAAGGATTTGACAGATGGTAAATAATTTGTCACCCACAAAGACGTGGAGATTCTTTTGGAATCTATTGAGAATGGAAAGTGAAAACTGTGCAGCTCCTGTCTATATATGCTTGCAGTACTCTACCTGAACTGCTTCTTGTTAAAAGTAGAGGATATCAAGAGGAGTCAAGTACTTACTGAAGCGTACAGGACTGGCCATTTTTCTAGTATCTTTTACAATGGATCATATGTATGAGTTCCAGTTAGAGTTTGGATTGAACTTAAGTCCCAAGAGGCACCCAAGCCTTGCCTCTTTTCTTGGTGTTAAGTAATAGTTTCAGACAATTATTTTTAGTGGCAGTGTATTTTGACTCAGACTTTCTGAGTTGACCTTTAAGATCAGATAGTAGACAAAATAGGAAAGTCAAGTTAGATTGGCTAAGCCGAACATGGGAATGAATTATAGATTAAGGTTTTACAGGAGTTTCTGTTTGGCTGCAAGCCTAATGAGATGTGTTAGATTGTGGTTGTGTAAATCTGCTCCACCCCAGTGGAGAAAGGTCTTTCAAAAGTTGGTTGTTACACATCAAAGTTAAAAGCTCTCTTGTTGATGCTTTTCATCTTTGAACCCAAAAAACATTTCATAACAATGATCAATAGAAGAAGAGGATTGAGATAAAAATGACCAGTGATCACCACCAAGATGATTTTTTATTTTGTAAAATAATGAAGCAGACTGTGAATTTATTCAAAGTTTTTTCTTTTTTAAAAAATTGGAATATTTTTCATCCATAAAACAAATGAGTTATAACATTAAGTTCTTAACTTATTCTAATGGAAACCTTTCTTATACAACATAAACTTAATTTCTATAAAATTCTAGCAAACAAGTTTTCATAATTATTATCCTCAAATGTCTTGTATGAATGAAGTAGCAAAATTTTTAGTTTAATTCAAGCACCAGACAGAAATAAGAAGTACTTAAACAAATCTAGCATGTTTGGATGCTGTTTTTCCAGGTCATTCAGTTTTGGCTTTGGTGTTCACTGGTTATTCAATAAATATAAATGGTCTTTGACTGAATTTCTGGGATTGTCTTATGGAACAATGGCCTAGTGGATTAAAGTGTTGGTTTGTGAATTTGGTGATGTAGAGCTTGTAAATTCAATCCCTGGGTCAGGCAGTATGTACTTGGACTCAATAGAAATGAGCAAGCAATAACTGATCAATACTATAAATAAGAACTAGTTATCCCTTGACATGGACAGTGAAACAAGAACAGTCTACTCTGTAGATTAAATAAAGAATTTAATTCAGAATTCCCTGTAGGTTACCCAGTTCATTATATGCACCTGAAAAAGGCCAAAGGGCACAATATCTGAAACATTTGATAATAACAAAAATAAAGGCAATAGTCTGAATATAAATAGTGTAAATAAATATAAACTGATGTCAAATTTTGCCAAATCCATAAAAATGAAAATAGAAAGAAAAATATTTATTTTCTGTTCCTTGAAAAAGTTTTAGACATAAAGATAAGTAAACTTTGTTAATTAAAATAATAATCTTAGAGTCTTGCTTGTTGTATTTCTCAGCTAGATTTGAAATGATTAGATTTAACTTGCCAATACCAGTATCAAAATATTTGTCTTTATAATCTTTTTCAGATGAAAGCTGTGTAACATTGTATCCAAAGGAGAAATATTTTGAATTGTTCTGTGATTCCAATATATGCATGTGTCCAGAAGGTTAGTATCTAAAGTGCTTTACTAATTCACTGGTCAAGAAAGGAATTCAACCAATATTGTACCTAATACACACTATATAACAGCATGTGTAGTGGACTCATATCTCAACCTTCGTACTCACAAAAACATGGTGTATCAAAAGGATGGTTTTTCCCTTGACACTGCTATTATTTTAACTATCTTCACACTTTGACAATGTTTGTTTTAAAAAATGATTAGAATTTTAATAAAAACCTAAACGATTGATGAAAGTGAATTTATACATTTTATTTGTTCTTGAGAATTTATAACAAAAATATCAACATTATTTATTAGATTGTTTATTTACAAGAAGAATTTTATATTTGCAACATTCTAAAAACTAATACAATTGAAATTAATGCAATGTAATATTTATCATTTACCAATTTATAAAGAAATAAATATGAAAACAATTTTTTATTCATAAATTTATAAACATTTACAAAATTATTAAAATATGTGAATCAATTATAAGGAAATCCTTATTATTTACCTTATTATTTATTTTATAAAGTTTGAATCGATTGGCAATTACCTTATGTTTTGACAACCTTTACAATCAGTCTAATGAATAGTGTTTAATATTTTTGTTATAAATTCTCAAGAGAAAAAAAAATGTATAAATTTTCTTTCATATGTTTAAGTTTTATTAAAATTCTAATCTTCACTTTCTAAAGTAATCAATATTGCCTAGGAGTGAAGCTCGTTAAAATGATAGCAGTGTCAAGAGAAAAAAAAAATCCTTTTGACACACTGTTTTTGTGGGTATGAAGATTAAACATTGTCAAAATCTCATTAGACAATGAATATCACTTGATATAAACTGAGCTGATTATTAAAAACTAATGAGCAAGGTGTTAATTGAAATAATAACTGAAAATTTTTAACATATCACAGTTTAGCCTATTTGTAAGCTATAGGTAGTGTATTTTTACATTAACCCATAAATGTCATATCTATATATCATCAAAATATATTTCAAATGTCTTCTTTTCCTCACAGTTCAGTTGATTTCAGTTGATCCATGAATCTCTATATATCACAGTTCAGTTGATTTCGGTTGATCCATGAATCTCTATATATGACAGTTCAGTTGATTTCGGTTTATCCATGAATCTCTATATATCACAGTTCAGTTAATTTCAGTTGATCCATGAATCTCTATATATCACAGTTGAGTTGATTTCAGTTGATCCATGAATCCCTATATATCAGTTCAGTTGATTTTGGTTGATCCATGAATCTCTATATATCATCAAAATATATTTCAAATGTATTCTTTATACATCACAATTTAATTGATTGTAGTGAATTTTTACATTGTCTCATAAATATCCAAGTATAAATATGAATGATTTGAACCAGTTCAATGCATAAATTAAATTTACCAGGTTCTTATGAATTTACAAGCATGTTAATGTTTGTTCAGAATTTCTTAGCTAAATACATAAACTATGTAATTTATGTAACTAATTTTGAAAAAAATGTAACTGTTTTTGAAAATTTATGCAGGAACTTTGTTTATATCTGCCATGAATGAATTATAGTAACCATTCACTGATTGGCAAATGTATTTAAAATTAAAAATATAAAATGGATTTACATAAATCTAAATAGAAGCTGATAAAAAACTCCTTCTAAATACTCAATAGTATACTCCAGCCTGAAATATATAAGATAATTTATTCTACCTAGCCATTTTTTCCTTCAAAGAGGATTTCAGAAGGTATGTAAGGGACTATAGTTTTAACTTTTATTTTCCACCTTACCACCTCTTTCCTCACAGACACAATGCTGCAAGCCTATCATAACTCTATCATTATTTCCATGGCAAATGTTCAGAAGCACTCCATTCACTAATTCAAACCTTTATTACAAGGACATGCCACTTCCACAGATGTGAATCGTACTTATTTCCCCCATGTCCCAAATGTAAGAAAGTAGTTCCATTCAAACCATTTTTCCCAAGAACTACCACTTTATGAACAGACTCTTGCATGGATACTTTCCTAAACACTTTAATCTTGACTTTTTCAAATCAAGGATCAATCAGTATCTTTCTTTTTTATTCTCATAATCTCCAATTCCTACCACTTTCTCTTCCTTTTGTATCACAGACCTTCTCCCTCCTGGGTATGACAATAAACTACATCTGGTAGTGAGGCCTCTGATCGGGAGGTTTTGAGGAGCATGGAACCACACCGTAATTCCTGTTGTTTCCAGGTTCATCCTGATCTGGGGTGGTAACAGCTGTTTGGGTCCCAGCTATGGGCAAATAGGGAACCCCAAAACTGGGGTCAAAACGCTATGAAAGTGTAGAAATGCATTTTTATAGTAAAGGTGCCAGCAATACATTTTCATAGTAAAAAAATTACCAGCATTATATTTTTGTAAAAAATTAAAAATAAAAAATATTACCAGCTATACATTTAAAAAAAAAAAAAGATAGTACCAGTAATACATTTTTGTAAAAGAAATTACTAATGTTCCCAAGAAAATTAAATTTCAACATTAAATGACCCATAAGAAGTTGATATACCATTAAAAAAAACAAAAAGACAACCTCCATCATCATCACCACCATTTATACTGTAACCCTCTATATTGAGTACCATATTAAATTTCTAAAAATGGATTTTCTTTTTTAAGGATGTTTCACAAGTCCCTTTTTGAAAACAAAAGACATGTGGAATATTTTTTGCAAGCCAAATCAAGTCGGTAAGTCATTTTTTTCATTTTCTTTATGATCTTTTATCTCTAAGTATATGCAAAACTTCCAATACACCAACTTTACCATGAGTCCTGATATTTCTTTGAGAATATGTCAAAATGTGAAAATCTGCCTGTCAGCTAACTTGGTCAGCATCAAAGAATATTTCAATCATTTTGTTTATATGAACATTTCAAAAATACTAGTGTTGTCTTTAAACATTTAAAAGGCCACACTTGTAATGACTTCTTTATTTTGTAAGATTGCATGAAGCAATTTCTTTTAAGAGTACTGAACAGTTATGTTGCATCAGTCTTCTTATAAGGCAGTGAAGGCTGGACAATCTCCTCACAAATGAAGAACAGGCTTGAAGCAGAAGAAATCTGGTTCTACAGAAGGATGCTGAGAATACCATTGGGCAGAACATGTGAGCAATGACAAAGTTTTAGAGAAAATGGCAAAAAGGATACTTATGCTTAACATTAGGAACAAGTAGTTGAAATTTCTGGGGCAAATAATGAGGAAAGAGGGTTTGAAAAATTTGATACTCACAGGGCAGACTGAAGGAAAGCAACACACAACCTACCTAGAGAGTTTGATTGAATTGATGGTGGGGCAGGGTTTGGGGGAGAGATGGCAAAAGACAAAAATTATTAAGAGCTACAAAGGACAGAAAATTGTGGAGAGCCATGATTGTTAACATCCTAAAGAGACATGATACAAAGAAGAAGAAGGATTCTCTGTGGTTTTAAGAACATTTTCTATTACATCTTTCAAATCTTCATCAATAATTAGTTGTTATAGTGTGCTTCCTTCTCAGTTTCCTAAACAAATTACAATTTGGCTATGTTCAATTTTTCAGATTAAAGTTTTACTGTTTTTTCATTAATAAAATTCTCCTCAAATATAAAATCCATGTTCTTTATAGTGTCAGCTCCATTTTGCTTCAGCTTCAACTTGTAGAAATATAAAATGTTAAATTCATTAATTGAAATGCTTTCTATATTTGTAATATTATTCCATTTTCTTAAATGAAGCATTGTTAATTATTAACTTTTCCTGACTTTAGGTAAAAAAAACAAACATTAATAATGCTTCATCTACAAAATTTAAATAATATTACAACTAATACTATTAATTGCCAAGTGAGTCCCAAGTTCAAATCTCACCATGGGCGATTGTTCAAGGAAGTGACTTTCTGATGTGATTAGATTGAAGAAGCAAACTCAGGATGTAGCAACTTTGGAAAGTTTCAGAAAGTGATACCACAGGTTAACCCAAGCGTTGTGAGTGAAATTAAGTAGGCAAAAATATTTGCACACAAATCACTGAGGGTTTGATCATGTCAGATTATGGACCCCCCCTACAGAAACTTTAACTAATGTCTGCTCAGTATAGTTGCAGTATAAACAACAGAGCAGCCATCTGTAATAGGGCCTGGCTAGACACACTGGCAGACAGGTGTGCTTGGAAAAAAGTAGTAGCTGGCCATTATGTTTGATCTTCACTGGGTGCCTCATACCTTCAGCCATATCTAAGCCATGCTTAGAAAATCACCACTTGGACACTCCCACATGTAATGGTTAGCATGCTTGACTCACTATAACAATTACAACTGAATAGTGAGTTTGATTCTCACTGAGTTCCCTCATACTTTTAACTTGTGCCATATCTAATCTATGCTTTGAAAATCACCATAAGCTTATGAAGATATACTGGCATTTTCCCATCAGTCAGTAGGGTTTTTTTTCTACTACTCTTTTGACAGTATTTTTTTAAGGTATTTTCTTTTTCTTATTGTTGTATAACTTCTTTACCAAATTCTGGTTCCTTCTAAAGTCTACTTCAACTCTCTACTTCTATCGTCTCTGCCTAAGCTCTGAAATTTTATTCACTATTTATTTTTTTTTCTTTCAGTTAGAGTAGATATGTTTGCTCTCTCAGAAAATGCCTTGTTTCCTGTTTAGAATTGGGTTACCAGTTCCTTTTCCTAAAGTATTCTCATTCACTTTCCCTCCCAGTAGCCCCTTGCATCTTAGTGGCATTATCATTTTGTTTAGGGTGAATTGATTTTAAAAAAATTCAATGGCCAAAAATCAGAAAACTAATTTTGAGAAAAGGGTTGGACTAAATACTTTGCAGCACTTTCTTGTATAAACAATCTTTTCTAATAGCATCATAGAAAATGGATTGTGTATATTGTTGTAACCTAGAGAAGGTTACTGAATAGAATGATCCCATGAATAGTGGTAATGAACAATAATACTTAGGACAAGAACAACACATATAAGATTCGCCAGCAGCAAGTACAAGAAGTAGTAAACTGCTAGAATTGAGTCAAGTGAATTCTACAATGAATCTTCAACTGCAGACCAATGTACTGTATTTACTACTGTATTTATGTGAAAGGGGACATACCCATTATCATCCATATATACAAAAAAGATGTTATTTAGCAGGGCCAGTGCAAGAATCTTGTCTTCACACCTGAATCTACTACATCTCAATTTAGTATTCATGCAAAATAATAATTATAATGTAACCAAATTATGTAAAATAATTGATTATATTAAATATTGGTGAACAATTCAACTAGAAAAAATGATAATTAAATGCAATGTATCTAAATACAAATTAGAGACATGTCATAATAGATCTTAAAAAGACTAATCTTTTGCGTCAATTTTTAATATCAACTTGAGATTTATCTTGTTAAAAAATTGAATCATTTTACCACATTCAACATTATAGATAAAAAATAGTGAATATATAGCATTTTTTTTTAATCTTAGCACTAGCAAAACAAATTCATGGATTTGGATGAAAAACATCCTAGGTTGACATCAAAATCCATGAAAATCTTTCATCCTTTAATAGTCAGTTGTGCTTAGTTTAATTTGTAATGTATATAAATGTAAGTAGACAAAAAGCAAATGTTGATACATTTGCAAGGGTCACAAAGCACTTGCCCAGGGCCCTCAATCAGGTTTCAAACCCCCATCCCCCTGGTCATGATACAAGTAAAACATGCCGGCCCTCTTAGGAATTATATGTACATTTATTAACTTTTATTTTCTTTAATTTACTTCTTTTTTTTTTTTTCATTCTTTTTTTTTTTCAGGGATAAGTGTGACAATTCAGGATGAAGAAATGAGAAATCTAACAGAACAAAAGCAGTCCAGAATAATTTACAAAGGAGAAACAGATAAAAGATTCACAAGAGATTCAGGTAAATTAGGAAATTAATTAATTTTATTTTTTATTTCTTTTATTTTCTTTTTTTAATCTTATTTGATAATCCAGAGTTTGCATGATTGGGTAAAACATACTCAAAGATCAGTAATTTGATAAGGTCTGCCTGCCTATGATTAATATTTAAAGTGATGACAAATATTCTATTTACTTTGAGTTCACAAACAGAATTTGGAACAAAGCCTTTTACCATATATACCCGAGTACAGTGTGAGATTTTATGATCAGATTTTAAGCAAAAGATAGGGGGTCACACTATACACAAATAATTTTTTTTGAAGAGACCAGTTACACTATAGAGAGGTAAATTTTTTCTGGAAAGGTTACAATTCAGAGGTTGCAGTATACATAAAGTCTGTTTATACACAAGTATATATATTTATACACAAGTATATATGTTTCTACACAAGTATATATGGCAATTTCCAGCAACATCAAGAATGGGGTAGTAGCACCTATTAGGGTCCCAGCTATAGGCAAAATGACCAACAATACATTTTATTATCTGCAAACTATATAACAGAAAAACATGCTGTTGTGATGATATAACCCAACTTCCCCATTCACGATAATGGACGGACTGGTTGCTGATTAAGTATGACCACAGCGGACTGTCAGAAGGTCTTCATTTGTTAACACCTATTGAGGTTAGCATACTCCCGACTCTGTCTCTGTATTTTGACATACCTACATCTGATTATAAAATTATTATTGAAAACCAACACTCGGGTTTACTTTGTTTATTATATCTTGCACGAGATATAACACATGCATTTGCTCTGGGAGTGTGAAGTTATGTGCAGAGTATCTGTAGTTGAAAGCATAAGGTTGCCTAAAAGGTAGTTGGATTTCAGCATTGGATACGCCATAGAGTTTGATGTGTCACTAAACAAATTCAACCAACCAACTCCAAGAAGGAATGAGAAAACAAAACTGTAGATATGGCAAATAACAATAGTAAAAAATCAGCAATCAGACTTTAGCTTTAGGTCAATTAAAAGGGTTCCATAAGTAGTGAGTGCTGGTCAATCTTGTCAAAGATGAAAAATAAGACTTGAAGCAAAAAAAATGTGGTTCTACAGAAGGATGCTGAGGATATCATGGACCAAACATGTGAACAACAACAAAGTTTTAAAGAAACAAAAATGAAACTAATACTTAACATCTGGAAGAGATAGTTGGGATTTCTGGGGTACATAATGAGAAAGGAGGGCATGAAAAATCTGATACTCATGGGACAGCTAGAAAGCAAGAAATACAGAGGAAAACAATGCATAACATACTTAGTGAGCTTGACTAAAAATGGATGACAGAATAGGACTTAGTAGAAACTAGCAGTAGAGCCCGGCGTTGCCCGGGGATGTAACAGTAAGAGATAGATCAAGTATCGACCATCATAAAGACTGAAAAATAAAATTAACAAAGATTATTGTTTAAGGTTGATGGACACGCATGTCTTAATTAGTTTTATTTTTTTGTTTTGTTTTTTTGTTTTTTTTATGAATTGGTCAAACTCAAACAAAAACATTGTTTTCAATCATTATGAGTCTACCGATTGAATAGAATTTTATTATAAACAATTGTCTTGTAAATGGAATTTTTAAAGCATTCTGAATGTAAAAATAAAGAAAAAAGTGTGCAAGACAATAAGAAACACTACCTGCCAAAAAAAAGTGAAGTTTTGTTGAAATCAGTTGAAAAATGTAGGAAATCCGATCCCATATATAAACGTACAGACACACACACAATCTGCGTTTTATAATAAGTAAGATAACTGAAATAACAAAGTTTATTAAGAGCTACAAAGTTCAGGAAATTGTGGAGAGTCATTATCAATTATGTCCTGAGGGGACACAGCACATAAAGAAAGAATGAAGTATGAGATCTGCAGATAGGATAACAGATATAGACATGAAAAGTTGAACTTAGTGAACTGAATTCAAATTCCATGTTAATCTGTTGCATTCAGAGTCACACAAATTCCCTTGGGAAAGTTATAAATCTATCTCTTCTCTCCCCAGTAATGAGTTAAATAGCCAGGTAGAACTTTGTTCTAAATTTTATTAGTACACTCAAAGATCTATAGTTTCCATCAACACCAAGAATGAATGAGAAAACAAAACTGTAGATATGGTAACTAACAATAGTAAATTTTTTATATCAATAATGAAACAAATTGTACACAAGTGTTTGTTTACAAAACATTATGAAAAGGTTCTTGAAAAATATTGAAATATTGTTCACTTTTCTTATTTTGAAATATGCTTTTTTAATTGTTAAAACTCAAGCCTTTAAAAGCCTTTGATTTCTGTAGATTGACAAAAGGCTTGAGAGTTATTTTATCATGTCGATTCAATATAATTTTTCTCCACAGGTATAATAGAAGAAAAAAAGATAGTAGATGTCATAATAGACAGAAAATGTTCTATGTCAGACTTAAACAAAGGAGAACGCTATATAATTGTGACGAACAAGTATAGGCAATATTCCACAGCCAGGTAAGAACAGTTTCTTAACTCTAGTTTTAGAAACTCATTTGCCCAATTTAAATTATTCTATCTCTTACATACAAGTGGGAAAAGTAAACTTTTCAATTTCTGACTTTATTGCTTTTTATTTGGTTTTGGAATGACTACTGGCTTAAGGATTTCAAAAACTGTTGTATTTTCATGTGTAAATAAGTTAATTCACACAAGCGGAAGAAATGTAACAGACAAAAGGATGCACAAACACAAGGTTTATAGATAACATATGCAAGAGAGAAAAAGAGGAAATTACAAGCTTTTAGTTGAACTTGCAGAGCCAAACTTATTGGAAGAGTCTGCTTAATTGTTTCAAGATAATTAACTTTACGTCAGAAGAGATGGCTCTTGCCAAATACATATCTTTTTTTGGATGACTTCAGTAAGCAAACAGGTACAGTTTAAGATTGGGGTTTTTGGTTAAACTAAACAGACCCATCCATCTTTGTTGCATTTCTAAGGCAAGGAATGGCTGATAAATTTTAATGACTCCAAAACAAATCAGCTATCATTTAATCACCATAGACAACATTTTATACTTCCAATCAACAAGGCTGATGGTAACCTCCAGGAGAACAACTCTTTATGCCTTCTTGGATTCACACTTTCTACTGAAGTGGTGTTGAATCATTTGGAAATTTACTGCAAGAAAATTTTATCTATTAACAGAGAAGAGTTAATTTTTGATTGCTTTATTTTTTTTAAGAGATTCAAGCATTTGTTAACAGGTACATTAGTGTATAGGGATTTGACATCTAAACTAGCCCCAAGTTTATCTGTCATGTTTATCTCCCTTAGTTTTTGAACAAGGACCATTTTCACCTTACTAAATTACTCTCCCCTTCTTTGCATTCTTTAAGTTGATCATAATTTCAACTTACAGAATTCAGTTTTAGTTAATAGAATGTAATTAGTAGGTAATTTATCATGGCAGAAATGTATAGGAAGTTTACATATTTCTGAGTCTTCAATGGTAAACTTAAATCTAGTCTTATACAACATATCCAAACAAAACTAATGCTATTACAATATGGAATATGGAAAAAATAACAGTGGTAGAAAACTGAAAAGTGGTGTGCTAGGTTGTGCATCTAGACACATCAGATACAAGAAATTTAAAATTTGAAGTTGAGCATCCCTGTATCTTACATCTTTCTCTAAATGTATAATTATAAACAATGTCTGTTATATCTCAGTCCCTTCCTCTACATCTGATTACATCAGTAAAAACATTTCTTTAGTCTGAAGAAGTCCTTTCAAAGGATAAAACACATGATGCTTTCCATTTTATCATTCATTTTTTTTAAGCAATTCTCCCCTAATCAAGGCAGGAGTGCCACTAGCATGCAATGGGTTACAGAGGATTGAGAACAAGAGCAAAGATGCATGTTTGAGGGAAGGATACAGAAAAGGACAGGGAACAAGCTTATGATGTCAGATGTCAATTGACATTACACTTGAATATTTGAAGATTATAGTCAATGGGGAAGCAAGTAAGAGGAAGGTAGTTCCACAGATAGGAAGTGCGAGAGAAGAAGCTGTTTGAGTAGAAGAGACGGTTACATTTAACCATTTTGACAGTGAAATGGTGCAACTGAGATGCCACCCTGGTAGCTCACTTAAATTCATGCAGTCTGGGAACCAGTGAAAGTAGCTCGTTGAAACAGCTGTAGAAGAGACAGAGGGAAGCCACAGCACGTCTTCGGGATAGTGATTGTAGACTAGATGGCAAATCAGGATCTATCATATTGCATATTCATCTCTAGATTTTGTCAAGGACCACCAGACCATATAAAACAGCAATATTCCATGCAGGGACAGGTGGAAGCAAGTATTCTCAACCATGGAGGAATTTCAGGGTTTCTAGAAGGAGAAAATCTTTTACTTTTTTTGTTTTTCATTTAGAGAATTTTCTTTATTGAATTACAAATACCCTGGTATTCTATTGAACTTTCTGTTTATTGAAGTATGCTTCAGTTTATTTATTTAATAATTAGGTATGAATTAAAAGTTACTGTACATGTATTCAAATTAAAAAATGCATCAACATTTTTTATTGCTATTAAATTTGTAAAACTTCTCTATAAAAAATAATCCATGTAAATGTATATGTACCAATATGGAAAAGAATGAAAATTTTCAATAATATATTCATATTTATTTGCACTATTTTTATTC